CTGGCCCAAGCCGAAGTTTCATTTTCGAAAGAGTGGGCGGGCGCTCAGGGCAACGAGTGCATCGACGCAGTGGAACATCGCAAGCATTTCAAGGGAGCCAAGAATGCCGCACGTTGGGGCAAACACTTGGACCAACAAACCAAGTCCCCCAACGGCCACACGCAGTCCATCAAAGCCAAGGTCGCCTCTAACGTGGACATCCAGGCCATCGAGGACCAGATCGCCAACCTGGCCGACCAGTACAAGTATAATATCAGTGGGTTTCATGAACGTCGTGTGGAACTCCAGCAGCTCGAAGCCCGTATGGCCATGGCAGCTACAGCGGCAACCCAAGAAGCTGCGGAGTCCGCAGACGTTACCCAGATATTCCAAGCGGCCCTCCAAACGAAAACGCTACAAAGCGGAGTCATCCCAGAAGTTTTGTCCAAGAAGGTGCAGGAGTTGGGCCTCCTATTCCATCAATTTCAGGAGCAGCACGAGCGCGCCGCCCCCAGATCAACCAGCCCCAGTGGCACCAGCCGCGATGCCTGGAGTTCCAGACCTCAAGCAGCAGCTGCGGCGGTCGCTGCTGAAGGGTCAGGAGCTGATGATAAGACAGCCCCCGCAAAGGACTAGGACGAGGACGAGGACACGCCCCACACCTTCAGCGGTATCAGGCGCGTGGCGGAGAAGTCCGACGAGGCGTCCAATCTCATGGGGAGCAGGAGCGTCGACAACGCCAAGGAGCGCAAGGACGCTTCGGCGACATCAGCTTCCGCATCCGAGGACAAGAGTTCGGCGCCGAGTCCCGCCAGCAAATAGCCGTGATGACGTTCAACGGCAGTTGCCCGAGTACCTTCAAGGAAGTCATTATTTCCCAAAGCGCGCTCAAAGCCAATCCCATCTGTGTCCAGGAAACACAAGCTACGAGGCTGCGACGTGGCCGCGCAGCGTGTGCAGAGGCGCCAGCGTGCGGGATGGCTGGCACACACTGCTGCAGCTGACATCACTGACAAGGGTAAACTGACCAGCGGGGCAGCCACCCATGTTGGGATCAACCGAGGTACCGGCGCGCCCAGCATGACGATACCTCAGAAGGTTGCCCGCAGCAGGTCCACCGGCGTCTTGCTCAACTTGCCCAGCCTGCCCAAGATAGGTCTCATAGTATTCGTGCTGCAAGGCCTCAGCTGGACTGGGGGAAGTCGGTTTAGGCCCGTGAGCAGGCATTACAGTTCAACAGGAAGTAAAGCAGGGCCGATTGATGTAAGTGGAGTAGACAGCCTGGCTCCGTCGAGGATCGGGGGCTCCGATTTCCTTCACAGGGCCTCTATGAAACTGGTGTCCCCGCAGGTCACGACCTACCGAGCCAAGAATACCCAATCCGTTTTGGACTGTTTCCTGTGCGGCGGGCCATCTGGGGAGCGCATCCTGGACGTCAAGATCGCTATCCGCTGTTTCCTCACAGGCCAGTATCTTTACGTATGTCAGAAGTGGAACACTGTTTGGCGCCAGTATTTGCGAAGCCACAAGGCTACCCACAACGGCGTCAATAAGACGCTAGCTCGAGGACAAATCTTGGATCCAGAGTGAGCAAGCAGTTTGCTACGCCGCACATCTGCTCGCCGATGCCACCCAGCCCATCAGGGACCCAGCCTCATCACGGATACCCCTCTCCGTCACAGCGGTGCCTCACGAGCCAGCCCTCCTGTCATCAAGTGGGTGACAGCCCAAAGCAGAAGTCAAAAACTCAGCGCCACTTGGAAATCCCTGGAGACGCCTCCCAACTGGCTGAAGAATCGGCTGGTGGGCGCGAGCAGAGAATGCTCCAAGCTGGGGCATCACAGGATGCTCTCCATCGTGGCCGGCTCGTAGGACCACCCGGACGAGGTCAACAGCACATCTTCACTGCAGGGGGGCCCACGGCGCAGCCTCGATCTATCCTCGCCCGATGTCATCCTCGCCCTGGCCCCGTTTCAGGGCAGGGGTGGCTCTCGGCCGAGGGCCCGCGGCGACGAGGCCCGGGGAGCCGAAGGCGACGGGCGTCGGGCCCGCGGCGACGCGCGGCGGCCCGCGCGCGAGGCGCGCGCCGGCGTGCGGGAGAGGAGCTGCTTCTGATGGTGCGTCCTTTGGCTGATCAGGGCCCCCGAGCCCCCTCTCCAGGTGCCCGATGCGGGGGGCTTATTTTAGTCGAGGCAGGTTTCCGAAATCAGGTTTTCGTGAGGCTTAGCTGCCTGTAGTGGCCCTCAGCGTTTGCCCGCCTGGCCCGCGGGGATGGGTGGGAGAGGGCCTCTCCCCCCCATCCCCCACGCAGTCAAGACGCTGACATCAGGAGCAATTTGGATTCGCAAGGGGCTCAATCTTCCCTAGATTCCTCCATAGCTGCTCCTCTTGCCCTCCTCGGACACGGATGCGCTTGTAGGGCCAAAAAGGGGCGTCGTATCTCAGTTAGCGTTCCTTCTTTCAGCGGCCCGACTGTAGACCAGAGACTGGCTGCTCTTGGCGGCTGCTTCTGGCGACTGGTCAGGGCCCCTTTCCCCCCGTGTGCTGGCGCGACCGGCAGAGCTGGATCGACTGATGCACGGGCCCGGAGCCAGGAAAAACCTCCTCCCCTACCCTTCGGCCAACTGTCGAAACCAAGAAATTGTAATTTCAAAACGCCTACAGGCTTCCCCCCAGCGCCTCGCGTTGCTTTTTTTGTGTGTGTGCCAAGGAGGATAAACCACCCTGACCCCCAGAATTGGCGTTTACTAAACGGCCCTGGGCGTTTACGAAGCGGCCCTGCCCTGCTCAGTTCCTTCCTTCGGTGCGTTTGTCGGGGTGTTTCTTTATGAGGGAATTGCTTACTTGGCTCCAACAAAAGTTCCCTTGGAAACTCGCAAGAGGAATAATATGTATGTAAACCCGTCGGCAAGATGAAAAGTCGCGCGCGCGCTCAGCGTTCGCACGCACGCGATCCCAAGACGTCCCATGGCCACAACATGCTTCCAGGAATGCCTCAGGCCACGGACGATAACGTCCAGAGGACCCAGGATGATGCCGCCCCAACGCGATCCCGCCATGGATTCTGGACCGTCTCAGGCCGACTCGCAGATGACGAAACACATGAGCAACGCGTGACGCCGAGATGGCCCGATGGCAACAAGATGGATCCAAGCGCACCCAGGGTGGCCTCATAATGACCACACGATGGTTGCGTGATCCAAACATGACCGGGATATGATCTCAAGATGACCTCAAGACGACCCCAACACGACAATCATACTGCAACTTATGAGCCCCATCTTACTTCGAGCCGATCCCAGCATGGTGGGATCCGTGAACGGCCCGGGATTTTGGTCTACCCCATTTTTCATGGGTGGGATCTTGATCGTCCTGAACTAAATTTCTAATATTCAAGCGGAATAAGCCAGGCGGGATCCCGCCCGGCCCACGGAGGAAGACAACATTGCTAGGCTTCTACGGGGGTGGGGGGTTCGGAAGGGGCGTCGTTTACTTCCGCTGACATTGGCAAGCCTTCCGGCGGCCTTCCCCCGTCTTCCGCCTCGTTTTACTTCCGTCGACTTCCGCCAGCCAGCGTCGTGATGAAAATTCCAGGAACTTTCATTGGGCCGACGTATGCTCGCTATTCTGGGCCGCCGTGGGGCCTCTCGGCAGCGAATTCCCGACCCGACCCTCGCCGATAAAGGGTTCAGGCAATTGATGGGCGGCGGGGGTAGGATTCGGGTTTCGTCGAGCACGTGGCGAAGTCCGAGCGCTACCCCCGCCTCGCACGGGTTCGGGAGAATCGATAGTTGGTGTGGATAGGGTTTGGATGTCGCCACCTGTCTGTGGCGCACGGCCCCCTTCGTGGTAATGCGAAGCAGAAATCAAGTATGCGGTTGGTTCGCGTCGTGTCGACGCGGCGGCGACCCCGCCGCCGGCCTTCAACGTTGAACGCCGCCAGCGACCCAGAATCGGACGATGTGGAACGATTTTCCGTTTCGGAAGTGCCGATCGTTCAAGGTTGAACAATCCCCCTGCGTGGCAATGCGAGGCAGAAAAAGCATACACTTCTCCGGGCTCCGAAATAGTAATGGTCCTGCATGACGCATGGCAATCGTACCCTGCGCATTGTGCCCGTGCTTTTGGTGCTTGCTCAGGGCTCTCTCGCGGTGTCATCGGCGCTCCCGGTCGCTTGCTCGGGTGCCCAAATCGTCGGAGCAATTCGAGTCACGCGGATGGGGAAGGCGGTTTCAAGCTGGTTTGTAGATTTCTACCCCGCGCTCTTCCGGATAAGCTGTGTCCAGCCCGCTCATAGAGAAGAATGGTTGACCCCCCATCGGGGGTAGGAGCGCCGTCTGCGAGGGTGGAAGGGACGAAACGGAGAGAGGGAACGAGAGAGAGAGAGAGAACGAAAGAAATGATATATGAGAGAGAGACAGACAGACAGACAGACAGACAGACAGACAGACAGACAGACAGACAGACAGACAGACAGACAGACAGACAGACAGACAGACAGAAAAAGAGGCAGACTGAGATAGACTAAGGAAGAACGAGGAACCGAGAGAGAGAGAAGGGGGAGTAAGGTCAGATTGAGAAGACAGGGTGCCATCCTCCCCGACCAACGGCAGGATAGCACCCCTGACTGTCCGATCCTGCCGTGCTTTCATACTCCCAGGCGTCCGACCCTCAGCCCCTTCTCTGGGGTGGTTTCTTGCTCGGGAGTGTCTGTTTGATTGTCCTTGGGCCCCGAAACCTCCGCCCGAGGCCGAAGTGGAAGACAGCTTCCGGGATTGAGCAAGAACAAATCTTCCCGAAGCTCGAGCTGGGCTGAACCCAAGACCCCTCGGGTCGTGAGGAGGAGGAGGAGGATGAGGAGGAGGAGAAGGCGGAGGAGGAGGAGGAGGAGGAGTAGGAGGAGGAGGAGGAGGAGGAGGAGGAGGAGGAGGAGGAGGGCGTCCTAAGCTTTGGCTGGTGGCACTGGGAGCGCAGCGGCAATCCGCCTCGCCCGTCGCCCCGCGCCGCCACCCGCCTCGCAGGCCCGTGGAGAGCCGCTGGTGCTGATGCCGGCGCCGGTGTGCGGCCAACCGGGTGAGAGTCAAGCGCTGGCGCGCGCTAAGCGCAGGTTCAGCGTTTGTGCCAGCCTCGCTCGCTTCCTGCTGCCGGTGCCTTCCGTTGGGCGCTCCACGGAGGGCCTCGTTGGCGTCTCGCCCTTGACGGAGGGCGGCGGAAGGGTCGGCGGAAGGGTCGGGCGGAAGGGTCGGCGGATGTTGGTGGCGGCGAAAGTTGCTCCCTCACGGATGGCAAGTAGTTGTTTTTCATAGATTCTGGAGTTGGCCAGCCCAGCGTTTGTGTTCGCCTCACGTGGCTTCATTTCCCAACCCTCCTTGGTTGGGCATTCGTTTTGAATAGAGCACTGCGGTCGCGTCCTCCCGCCCCCCTCCCGTCTCCCGTCTCCCGCCGGGGGCTGCTATCTGCGAAAATGTCGCCACTTTCGAGGGCTGCTGGCGGTCCAGCGGAAGGAGGCACCGCGCAGAGATTTGAGCGGGACCTCGCCGTCCTTGCGGGTCTGCGATCTGCGAAAATGTCGCTACTTTCGAGGGCTGCTGGTGGGTCCAGCGGAAGGAGGCACCGCGCAGATTTGAGCGGGACCTCGCCGTCCCTGGGGGGCTGCGATCTGCAAAATTGTCGCCACTTTCGAGGGCTGCTGGTGGGTCCAGCGGAGTGAGGCACCGCGCAGAGATCTGAGGTAGACCTCGCCACCCCTTTGGGGCTGCGATCTGCGAAATTGTCGCCACTTTCGAGGGCTGCTGGTGGGTCCAACGGAGTGAGGCACCGCGCAGATCTGAGGTAGACCTCGCCGTCCCTGGGGGGCTGCGATCTGCAAAATTGTCGCCACTTTCGAGCGCTGCTGGCGGTTCCGGCGGGGGGAGGCACCGCGCAGATCTGAGGTAGACCTCGCCGTCCCTGGGGGGGCTGCGAGCCTCGCGCAGGCCGCTGACAGAATCATATGCGCCCATGTCACGTCACCACCTCTGCACAGCGTGTCCCAGGCTACTCGTGCCCCGCGTTTGCGCAGGGGTTGGGGACGCCGCCTGGGTAATGTCCCCCCCTCTCTACGCTGTGCGTGCAGTGGGTTCCCTGGCGATGACCGCGCTGAGAGCTCGCTGAAAGGATGGTCGTTGGAGGGGCGTGTGGAAAGCGGCCCTGGACGTCTGCTTCAAAGCGCGCGGAGAAGTCGCCAGACACGTATGTGCCGTTGTGCTCGCCGCGGCGGCAGGGAACAGTTCACCAGAATGCCATTGTTCACCGCGTGTCGGCCAGAAGGCATTGGTGTTCTACACCTGCATACCACCCATGTTATGCAGCAGGCGCAGGGGATTGGCGTGCCAACTCCGAAGAACAAAGAGCCACAGTGAGGCCGGCGTGGGCGTGCAACCGAGTTCTCAAGCCTGCAGCAGAGATAAAGTCAGATGTGGGCGGAACCTGCGAATTCGTTGCAAGCGAGTGCAGATACGGCGAGATGGCAAGGAGACGTTGGGGGAGGGGGGCGCTTGCTTTTAGAAGCGTGAGCTCTGTAAGAGCCCCCTCGGATATCACACAAAGGCAGTGTGTATATGTGTGTATGTGTGTGTGTGCGTGGGTGCGTGTGTGTGTGTGGATGTGTGCGCGTGTGTGTGTGTGTGTGTGTGTGCGTGAGTGTGTGTAAGTGTGTGTGTGCCGGCCGCGCACGCCCGCTCCCGCTGCTCTTCGACTTACTCCGCCTCGTCGCTGCGCGAAAGGCCACGACCGCCAACCATTATATGTTTGCGTGCGTGTGTGTGTGCGTGTCTGTGTGTGTGTGTCTTTGTCTTTGTCTGTGTGTCTGTGCCTCTGTCTCTGTGTCTTTGTCTGTGTGTCTGTGCCTCTGTCTCTGTCTCTGTCCATATGTGTATGCGTGCTGTGTGTTGGGTGTTGGGTGTTGGGTGGTGTGTGTAGTGTGTTGTGTGTTGTGTGTCATGTGTGTTGCGTGCCGCGTGCTGCGTGCTGTGTATTGTTTGCTGGGTGATGGGTGCTGGGTGTTGTGTATTACGTGTTGTGCGCGTGTGCGTGCGTGCATGTGTGCGTCCGAGGTCACGGCTGCTTTCGTATGGCCTGTGCGCTTGTGACAGATCGTGGGGTTACGGGTGGATGGTTCGACTCAGAGAGTGCGTGGCTTCGCGCCCCCCTCTGAGCCGAAAATTTGCGAGGGGGAGGAGGTGGAGGTGGATGTGGTTAGTCTTAATTAATGCCGCCCAAGATCCTGATCCGCGAACGTATCCCCCAGAGGTCTCAGGAACCCCTCTGTGGCCAATCCACCTGAAACCTCGACCCCCGGGGGCCGCATTCTTGGGCCGTCCAGGGAACGTCGCGGGGCAAACAAAAATAGTCCCAGGGAGCGGGTCGGACAATATGGGAGGCCTGCCCTAAGAACCAGAGGAGCCAGAGATCATGAGAATGCTACGTCCCCACATGGGCCGGATTCCCCAGACCCCCTCATGGTCCACACGGGCTGCAGAAGCGCAGGCCGTCAGATATTCCGGAAATCCTGGATCGCTTCCTGAGCCAATCCTATCATGGCAGCTTTTTCGCCGCGGAGAAGTACAGTCGAGGTTGACTGGTAGGTCGACCCCGCCAAGAGTCAAGGGCAACCTCGTGCCTTGTACTTCTCGACACATGCCCTTCACATTCCTGAGGCAGTGCGGCCCTCGGAAGGGTCTCCTCCCCTCTCGTCGCGTGCCCTCTCCAATCAGAAGCCTGCCTGCATCAGGGCACTCGGGAGGTCTGGGGCCGCCCTGCGGCATGGTGCCGCAGGGTGCCTGGTGGGGCCTGGGCGCAGCGTTGGAGGTACTGGGCGCACCGGCCTCGTCTGCCCGCGCGCTCGGCAGACGAGTGGCTCGGCGGATGCCATCGGCTCGTTGCAGTCAGCGCGCACAGTAAGGACGGTCCACCTTACCGAGGGTGCCCTTGCATCCTTGCCTCGGTCCATCCTTGGCCGCTTTCGCTGGCCCCGCCCCGCTTGCTGCAAAGTGTCAGCATTGCCTTCCACGGCCCTTGCAACCTTACAGTGCGTCCTTATCATACGGGTTGACTGTAGCACCCTCCTCCTCGTCCTCCAGCCCCCCCCCCACCCAGCAGGGGTGGGCGACGAGGTGCGGGCGGAAGAGAAAGAGCCCAAACATGCGATGTCCTCATATTCCCAACGCGGGTTCCCCGGAAATCCCGACCTTTTCCCCACGGCTGGTTTTCATCCCGAGCCGTTTTTGAACGGTCCTGGGGCCAGGCGAGGGCCCCTGGAGGCCGAAACGTCAAACAACAATCTCGCCGTGATTTTCTCACGACACGAGCATGGTTGGGCAGGCGGTGGAAGAGAACGAGGCGAGATGGGACGACGAGACGACAAGCAGGAGGAGGAGGGAGGAGGAGGAGAAGGGGGAGGAGGAGGAGGAGGAGGAGGAGGAGGAGGAGGAGGAGGAGGAGGAGGAGAGGAGGGAGGAGGAGGAGGAGGAGGAGGAGGAGGAGGAGGAGGAGGAGGAGGAGGAGGGAGGAGGAGGAGGAGGGAGGAGGAGGAGGAGGAGGAGGAGGAGGAGGAGAAGGAGGAGGAGGACGACGACGAGTTGCCACGGCCGCAGGCACCGCCTCTCCCATCGCGCGGCGCCGGCTCAGCCCAGGCGAAGATCCGCCGCAGCGCCCTGCCCTTCCGCTGCCGCCGAGCGTCGTGTCGGCGAAGCCCCTGCGCAGCGCGCGCGCGCGCCCGCTCCCGCGCAGCTCGCCAGGAAGCAACGGGGTCCTTCGGTCTCTCGCTGGCTTTGGCCGGGCCCTCTAATCGGCAGAAGTCAGAGCCCCGGATCATCAGGGGTAACTCGGGTCAGGGCTAACTCGGGTTCGCTTTTCGGGATTCCGAGCACGAGTTACCCCGGGCCCGAGTTACCCTGGATAACTCGGGCGTCCAGAGCCCCACATCATCAGGGGTAACTCGGGTCAGGGCTAACTCGGGTTCCTTTTTCGGGAATCCAAACCCGAGTTACCCCGGACCCGAGTTACCCTGGATAACTCGGGCGCCCAAAGAAGGGGGACGAAGAGCGACGGCATCTCCAACTCCTCCTGAACAGGGAGCCGTGCTGGTGTCTTCGCGGAGGGTGCCCGTTCGAGACAGTGTGGTCGCCTGCCCAGCGGCGGCCGCCGTCGAAGTTGGGCAACATTGGCCACCGGACACTGCGCAAGGCTTCCCGGGCCCCTGTCGGGCGTGCCAGCCCACGGGCCCCGGGACCGCCAGGAAACGGCTTGGGATGATGAGCTGGTCTTGGGGGAAAGCCGCCAGCAGGGTCCAGGACCTTGATCACTCAGGAGCAGCTCCACTCATGCCAAGCAAGTAAGACTAAGCCGCGCCTCAAGAGCGGGTCGGGAAGACTGCCGCTTGCCGATTGGGATCAGCGGTGGTCGGCTGTTTGCAGATCCCGAGGGCCGCCAGGGGGCCCCAGGGTGCCCCGAGAGGGGGCCACAGAGGTCCACCCCGACGCCGCCAAGAGGCTCCGCGGCGCCCCCGAGAGTTTTGGAGAAGCCCCGCGATCTTCCCGACGGCGCAAGATATGCATGCAAGTATTCTCGATCAATTGCGAGGCAGCGGTCTAGTCTAGCACCGACCTGGAAGTAGCACGTGACAATCCAGATGTCGGTGGGATTGGAGGTTTCGCCAAGAAACGCGTGTGAAGCTTTGGCGACGTTGATGATTGACAGACGTTCATCCTGTCATGTATGAAATAGCGACTTCTGGGCAAGTTGAAACGAGTACCACACACGTATGGACGCGCGTGGAACATATCGGAAAGCACGTGCATCAACGCATTGAACAGCATCGCTTTCTCCACCCGCCAGGTCGGCCGCTGGCTTGCATCACAGCCTAAGTGCATGTTTGTTTGTTTGTTGGGCTGCTATTTACCAGGGATGAATCGCCCAGTGCGCGCATGTGCGTTGGCAAGGCAGTGGGACCAGGTCTCTCGGGGACGCTAGGATGTCGGCCACGTTGTGTCACTTGCGACTGCCTCGCACGATGTCTTACAGCAAGGCCACCCCTCGTGCCCATCTTGTCTGCGGCTCCTCGTTGGCATGTGGATCTGCTCCTCCACTGAGTTGCAGTCCTGGCACGAGATCTACGCCGGCCCGTTCCTGCCCGCCGTTCGCATTGCTCGTCTGGATCGCGTTCGGCGCGCCCTGACCTGCGCACCTTCGCTTTGGACAAAAACGTGCATAGTGCGCGTGTGTGCTCGTTCCTGCGTCCACCCATCTTAGCTCTTGCCTTACCTCTCGCTGCAGTGGCGTCACTCGGGCGCTGTATGACAACTATTCGCTCCTGCCCGCCTCCAACACGGGCGAAGCTCGGGCTCGTTTTATAAAGCCTCAGTGCATTATGGTGTCGGTGGCCCGGAGATCTTTAGCACGCTTTGGTTTCATAGCGGCGTCGCCGGCGGTGTTCGGTAAAGTTCTCATTGGCACCACGCGATGTATGAGTGATGCGCAAATTGCGTGGACCAGGTGTGCGAACGCAGCTAGTGGGGCCTTCGGTGGAGTTCCCTACGGGCCACGGAACATGCTAAGGATGCGCCGAGTTGGTGTGGACCAGGCATGCGAACGCAGCAGTTGGGCGTTTGGTGGGGCTCTTTCTGGGAACACGAAGCGTCTGAGGGGTGCGCCGACATGGAGTGGACCAGGTATGCGAACGCAGCTACTGGTGCCTTCGAAGAATTCCCTACAGGCCACGAAACGTGCGATGAGTGCGCCGACATGGCTTGGACCAGGCATGCGAACACAGCCGCTGGTGCCTTCGGGGGGGGGCTCCCCATGCGGCCACGCGCGTGAGGAGTGCGCCGACATGGAGTGGACCAGGTATGCGAAAGCAGTCATTGGGGCTTCCGGAGGGGACACGAAAATTGTGAGGGGTGTGCAGGAATCTTGCGGGGCAGGTGTGCGAACGCAGCTACTGGGGCCGCTTTGGCGAGCACCCCATGGGGACGCGAAATTTGTGAGGGGTGTGACGACATGGACATGCGGAAGAAAGATGCGGGGGGAGGGAGGACGGGGAGGACGGAGCAGGAGGATGCGCTCGCGTGGCGATGCGCATTGAAAACGAGGACCCTACTCAACACAGGATGGTTGGGAACAAAATCAGTTTCCGCTTTGTTTTCGCACGAGGGCGGATGGGGGCAGCACGCGGCGACTGGCCGCGAGTGCCCCAGCCGCTGGCGGCCGCCCGAAGCCGTTTTCGGCTCAGCCAGCCGCTGGCCCGCGATCGCGGACGGGACGCGCCGAACCCGCAGGCGGGCGGGGGAGGGGCAGTCCGGCCGGAGGCCGAGAGGTTGGCCCTAACACCAAGAGACACAATCTTCGTTTGGCGCTGCAGCCGAGAGCGGATGCACATCAGGTTTTGCTTGGTGGAGCCCCCTCCCCATCAGTTGGGAAGCCGGCGGTTTTCATCGTTCTCGGAGTCTGGAGGGACAAGCAACACATGCGATGTGGTTCCACCAAAATAAAATCATCCCGATTTCGGCGACGATGGTAACAGTCGGGTTTGCCAGGTGGTCCAAATATCACCACCAACGTTCAAGTCTAGGATCAATTCGCCAGTGAAAGGCCCCCCCCTGTGTTGGTGTTGGTTTTTGCTCCTGGTCCAGAGTTTGTGGCGGTTGTCTAATTGACGCGTTCCAGGGTTTCCGTATTGAATGTTTTCATGTGTTTGGAATGTTCTGGGGCCCCAGTTGGTCGGAGGTTGATAGACCTCCTACCCTCATACGCCGATTCGCGAATTGGCCGTTTTCGGTTCGCGAGAGGGCGTCGCGGCCGTCGTTTCTGCGGGTCCAGGTCCGTCGGTTCCGGTCCTAGGCCGTTTTCATGAAAGGGAGGTTTGTCCACCGCCGAGTCGGTTCCCATCCGCTGGGCGTCGACACCCGGCATGCCGAGGATGCCAGGGTCGCCCCGAGCGGCCGCAGCCTGGAGTCCGGAGCTGCGGCCCGAGAGCCGTCGGGGGAGGGCCGGCCGAGGCCGCCGGGGCCGCCGAGCCCGGCTCGGGGGCCCCCCCCATGCCTCTCGTGGAAGCTTCGAGGCCAGTCCCAGAGAAAGGTTGGCTTGTTCTCCACCACCACCACCCTAAGTTGGAGGGGGGGAAGGAGGAGGACGAGGAGGAGGAGGACGAAGAGGAGCAGGAAGAGGAGTAGGAGGTGGAAGAGGAGGAGGAGGAGGAGGAGGAGGAGGAGGAGGTGGAGGAGGAGGACCCCCTCCCCCTCCAACTTATGGTGGTGGTGGTGGTGGAAAACAGGCCCATCAACCAAGGCTATGCCCTCGCGCCGCCAGGGTCTGATGACGCGGCGCCCCTCGTCCCCCTCCGATGCGGTGCGAGGCGGCGCCCCCGCCGAAGCCTGGGAGCTTTGGAAGCACGTCGTTGGTCATTTTCCGAGAGGGGGCCGGGGGCTTGGCATCGCTTGGACGTGTGCATGTTTCTTTCGGCGAGGACCATCGAGGAGCATCCTTGATCTTTTGGCGAAAAGACCACGCACGAAACCAAAAAAACACACAGGGAATGGACGTCCGAGCGATGGCCAGGGGGAGGGGGAAAGGGGGAATTGGCACCGTAAGGGGATGGGGACCAAATGGCATGTCCCCCCGTAGTAGTAGTAGTAGTAGTAGAGTAGTAGTACTAGGTAGTACTAGTACTAGTACTAGTAGTAGTTAGTAGTAGTAGTAGTAGTAGTAGTAGTAGTCGTAGTAGTCGTAGTCGTAGTACTAGTCGTTAGTAGTAGTAGTAGTAGTAGTAGTAGTAGTAGTAGTAGTCGTAGTAGTCGTAGTAGTAGTAGTAGTAGTAGTAGTAGTAGTAGTAGGAGTAGGGTGTAGGAGTAGGAGTCAAGCTAGCCAGCTCGAGCGAGTCAAGCATGGCATGCCCAGTCCCACCCGCCCTCCCACAACATAAGAAGCAAAGCTGGCACAACTGGGGGCCGAAGTCACACCGGCCAGCCGGTTTGGTACAGCTGATGCGGCCGCGATGGCGGTTGCCGACGGGAACTGGCGAGCGCGTGTTGAATGCCGCGCACGCATTGCCAGACGAGTCGAGAATGGCCCGGTACACCGCAGGAAGCCTGAAGGCCCCAACTTGTACTGTTTTTTTATAAAGGGGGGGTTTGGATGGGCGGGCGCGGGGTGTGCGCCGCATCCCATTCCTGCCAAGCATTTTGCGACGTGGACGACAGGACGTCCATGCTGAGAGGAAAAACGTTGGTGCGCGGCGCCGAGGCGAGAGCGACATGTCACCCCTTCGCGCGGGGTGTGCACCGCGTCCCATTCCTGCCACGCATTTTGCGACGTGACGACAGCACGACCATGTTGACAAGAAAAACAAAAACTGTGTATTGTCTTTTGCAGATTAGAATGGGACGGATTGGATGGGCGGGCGCGGGGTGTGCGCCGCGTCCCATTCCTGCTATGCATTTTGCGACGTGGACGACAGGACGTCCATGCGACGGTGCCAATGACGGCGACGACTCTAGAAGGATTTGAGCATGCGCTCGCGGCGACGCGCGCGCATGTCGCCCGCGTGGTATTTTTTGCACAGGATTCGCGGCCTGGGTGCATGACAGAGCATCGCGAGTGCACCGCGCGATGACGTGAAATCGCTGGATTTGACAGAATTCTTAAGATTCCTATGGTTTTCCTATGATTTCAGCAAGAGAGCCGGGCAGGAAAATTGTAGAATTTTTGTGAAAAAACATTGGGTTTTTGATGTTTTTATGTTGAAATGCTTGCAAACACACGGTGTTCGGTAGGATTCTGACATGAACGCGCGCGTGTGCTCTTTGTGGTATTTTTTGCAATGGATTATCGCCGTGGACGACAGGACGTCCATGTCGAGAGGAAAAAATAAGAAAAATGTTGATTTTGTATTGTTTTTTACAGGTTAGGATGGGACCACCCGGATGCGGCCCCTATGGCCGGCCTGAGGGGGGAGTAGGAGTATATTCTAATAAGGAATAAGGATAGGAGTAGGAGTAGAGTAGTAGTAGTAGTAGTAGTAGTAGTAGTAGTAGTAGTAGTAGTAGTAGTAGTAGTAGTAGTAGTAGTAGTAGTAGTAGTAGTAGTAGTAGTAGTAGTAGTAGTAGTAGTAGTAGTAGTAGTAGTAGTAGTAGTAGTAGTAGGTAGTAGTAGTAGTAGTAGTAGTAGTAGTAGTCGTAGTAGTAGTAGTAGTAGTAGTAGTAGTAGGTAGTCGTAGTCGTCGTAGGAGTAGGAGTAGTAGTAGTAGTAGTAGTAGTAGTAGTAGTAGTAGTAGTAGTAGTAGTAGTAGTAGTAGTAGTAGTAGTAGTAGTAGTAGTAGTAGTAGTAGTAGTAGTAGTAGTAGTAGTAGTAGTAGTAGTAGTAGTAGTAGTAGTAGTAGTAGTAGTAGTAGTAGTAGTAGTAGTAGTAGTAGTAGTAGTAGTAGTAGTAGTAGCGTTCGCAGGAGTAGTAGTGGTAGTAGTAGTAGCAGTAGTGGTAGTAGCAGTAGTCGTAGAAGGAGTAGTCGTAGTATTCATATTAGGCGTAGGTGGGTCGGTGTATTGGTGGGTCGGTAGTGGTTGTCTTCGTCGTATACCGTAGTGGTAGGAGAAGAAGCCGTAGTCGAAGTTGTCGTCGGGGTCGTAGTCGCATCAGTAGTCTTAGCCGAAGTCGTAGTCGTGTTCGTAGCCCGAATCGTAGTTGTAGGGGTCGTGATTGTAATCGTCGTGGTGCGAATCGTAGTCGTATTATTGGCGGTGGTCGTGGCAGGCGTACACGTAGCCGGATTACGGGTCATCCTCGAGCGCGTTTGCGCGTCATTTTCGTGTTGTGTGGGTACGGTAGCGGCATCTTCGTGCTCAGTGCCTTTATGCCAAGCAAGATTTGTCCCACGCCTCAGTTTCGATAATTCAGGGTTCCTCTTGGTTTTTCCGGAGCCCATTATGTTCCTGAGTTCTCCGCTTAGGGCTTAGGAATGCTGTGACGCTCTTGTGGGAGCGCTGCACGGATAGTATATCGCTGCCGTCGGCCAATCCCACCAGCGCCCCTGTGTTGTAGGTCAGAGGCCTCGGGGATGCATGCCGGAATCCCCTGGGAGGCTGGATTCGGTTTTGGTGTCTTCTGAGCCTTTTCGGAGGTCTTTTGGGAATGTCTTGGGACCTGATTTGGGCCTCTGAGAGGATTGTGGAGCTTGCGGAAAGCCTCTTGGAGGCCTGCTGGCTATCTCTGAGGGGCATCTCGGGGCGAAAGGCTCGAAAGTTTGATTCGTGCTCCTTGGGGCCTTTCGTGAGCCCTCTTGGGCCGTGTTGGGGGCCTTTCGGGCCGTTGTGGGTCCAGCTTGGGCCGTCTTTGGGCGCTGTTTGGGCCCTTTCTTGGGCCGCCTTGGGGCAATGTTTGAGGCTTGAGTGCCGAAAACACGAAAGGGCGAGGACACTAGCATCTACCAGAAACCTCCAGAAACTCATTGAGTTTGACATCTCGGGGCCTCTTCGGGGGTCCTCTTGGATCGTCCTTTGAGCGTCTTGGGGGCATCATGGAATCTTTGTTGGCCACCTTGGGCGTTTTGAAGCGATTCTGGCCACCCGGGGCCAATTTGCACCGTTTTGGCAGCATCTTGGGGCCCTGCTGACCCATGTCACGCGGGAATGCCGGGAAGGATTGGGATTTGGGGGCCCATATGTGTTTTTTTGCATTTTCCAATACTGAGTGGACCGTATAGAGAACTCTCGAAGCCTTGGGAGCACTCCGTTTCGTGCCTCGAGGCACGGTGGCGGGTAATAGTACGATAGGGGTGCTAGAACAATGATATGGGAACGCTACAGGAATACCCCTGTAAAGGGGTACTATTACATGCGACAGGACTGTATAGGAGTACTGAATAAATTTGTGTGTGTGTACAATAGTGTGAGAATTCGCGCACGTCCGTAGATGAGCATGTTTACATATGTGTATGCGGTCCGCCGTTGGGTTTTTGTTTTCCACGTACGTGTCTGCGAATCTCATCTGCGATGTGTCACGGCGATTTTGAAAGATTGCGAAATCGACGCGCGACGCTTCCTATGACAAGCTGACCAGCATTTCGCTCTTGCACCGTGCTCTGCTGGGAAAGAACCCAGTTCGCCAGAGTCAAACAAAAATCAGTTCGCCAGGAAAACAGAGAAGAAGGCCTAAGTGTTCCCCCCTTCGATTTCTTCCACCTCCCCGTCTTGCCAAGGCCGGCGGGTGCTCGCGGTTCGAGGGTTTTGCCTTTCCCTGGGGAGGGGGAAAAGGGTCCTCCCAGTTTCGGAGGGGCCCCTTGCTTCGTTTGTCTGCCAGGTGCCCGTGAAACGCGCCCCCTCCAAAACATTGGCCCTGGCTCCCGGACCCTCCTCCTCCTCATCATCTTCGTCCTCCGCCCATCAGCCTCAAGGTCCGATGCCCCATCAGGAACACATTTGCTGAACCTCACCTGGCAGACACTGGCGGGCTGCAGACACCAGGGAGTCTTTGGCTCCCCAATCTCTCACAGACACCTCTCACGGGCCGACAAATCTGCCCCCACACAAAATTGAGACGCATCTTCCCAGGCCGCCCCTCTGGCTAGCGAGTCCAAGGAGGGGCGTATTTGTGTGTGCGTGTGTGGATATGGTGGCCGGGGCCATGGCCCCCTTTTCCTTCTCGGGGGTGGACAGACCTCCTACCTTGACACGTCGATTAAGGAATTGGCCGTTTTCGCTTCGCGAGAGGGCGTCGCCGCCGTTATTTTTGCGGGTTCGGGTCCGTCGGTTTCGGCCCTAGGCCGTTTTCAATAAGGGGAGGTTTACTAAAAGGAGGTTTGTTCACCGCCGACCTTTTTCTCCCTCCACACCCGCTGGTCCCCACACCCGTCCGCACGTGACGCGCACCCCAGCCCCTCTTCCTGGCCCCCCCTCCCCCTGAAACATGGCAAAGAATGGCATCACCGCGAAAGACCAAGACCGACGCCCCAGTCAATCTTTCTGCGCCCTCTGTCCAGCCGGATCGCACTGCGCGGGCCCCAGGGGGCCGAGGCTTGGCGAGAGCGCTCGTCGCGAGGAAGCTGCAGCGCCAGGCTCCTACGGGTCTTCGCCCCCTCCCCCCCAATTGGGCCGCTCCCACTGCTCCAGACGTGGGCGGCATGCGACATCCAGCCCCGAGCCAAACCTCCCGGTCGCTTCGCGAGGTCGCCGCGGCGATCATGGCGGCCACACATCGGGTCGTGCTCCCCGCCCGCCCCCCCCCTTTTCTGCGATGCAGCCGTGGCTCCTAGCTGGCAGACTATATAGCGACAGGGAATCGCTGACTTATGCACAGCCGGGGCCCTTCTATTTTTTTGGGCCCCGGGGACCAATCGGGCCTGATCCATGCCAGACCCCAGGACTGAGCTGGACTCCGCTGGAGGAGCGGGGTTTTGAGCCAGTTTCGGTAGGAAAATGCCGGATTCGGCGAGCTTTCGACGATAAACCAGCGCCCGTGACGAGTTGCACCTCTCAAGAGTTGCATCCCAAAGGGGGACAAGGAGGGAGGAGGGAAGGAGGGAGGGAGGCACCGAGGGAGGACTCCCACGTGGGAGTCCTCAAGTCCCCCTCCCCCCCCCGCCCCCCCCGCGCGCCGCTCCCCCCCGGGCGGCGCGCCGTTCCGCCCTCCCCCCCTCCCCTCTCGGGCCCCCCTCGGCCTCCCGGCAGGCCCCCCGAGCGCGCCGTTGCGGCCGAGATGGCCAGCAGGACCCGGCTTCGCCCTCGCCGCCACCTTCGTCGCCGCCGCCGCCGCCGCGGCCCGGCGAGCTCGGGTCCAGGACGAGAGCACACTCGAACGGTGAAAATTGCCGCGGCACGACCTGCCAGCCGCCACGAATGTCCCAAACTGCGACGCCGACGTCGGTCGTCGCAGTCGCCGCCGCAGGCGTCGCCACCGTCGCTTCTGTTGTCCTCGTCCTGCCCCGTCCTTGTCGTCGCGCTCCCGTTGGCGTCATCGTTTCCTGCTTGTCCTTTCCATCCTTCCGCTTGCACTCCCGCCTCCTCCCTCCAGTCCTGGGGTGGCGGGGGCGCCGCGTCCACGACGGATGCCGGTGCCCCCTGGCGCTTTTGAGTCGGGCCCCCATCCTCTCCTCCTCCTCCTCCTCCTCCTCCTCCTCCTCCTCCTCCTTCTCCTTCTCCTTCTCCTTCTCCTCCTCCTCCTCCTCCTCCTCCTCCTCCTTCTCCTTCTCCTCCTCCTCCGTCTCCTCCTCATCATCAGCAGCATCATCATCAGCATCATCATCCTTTCCCGCCCCCTAGTCAATCCTGCAAACTCGTGCTTGGCCGATTTCGGGTGGCTGCCGGACGATCTCGTGCTGTGCGACGGCTCATGCCGACCGCTGGTTGATGCGCTTCAGTCGTGGGGTGGGAGGCCGCTCTGTTCCCGATGGAGCCGTTTCATCGTGAGCTCATCCTCGGCAGACTCCGGGCGGCTGCCAGGCGGTCTCGTGCTGTGCCACGGCTCGCGCCTGTCGCTGGCTGAGCCGCCTCAGCCGTGGGGCGGGGGAATCTCGACGCGCCAGGGGAGCGCCTCCTCCTCCCCCCCCCTGCTCCTCCTCCTCCTCCTCCTTCGCCTCCTTCCTCTTCACTCCCCCCCCCACTGACCTCTTCGCTCTTCCCCCCCCACTGACCCCGCCTTCCCACCTCGCCCCCCTGCTCCTCCTCCTCCTCCTTCGCCTCCTCCTTCCTCTTCGCTCCCCCCCCCCCACTGACCTCTTTACTCCCCTCCCCCCCCACTGACCCCGCCTTCCCACCTCCCTGACAGTCAGGGCGCCGAAATATGAGGACCGCTCGGGGGCTGGGGCGGGGCCCCCGGGGTGTTTCGAGTCGTGATGTCGCACCTGTCTGCGGCCTGGGCCCGCCGTTGCGAGCAGAGGGCCCAGTGGTTTTTCTGCTATGATTAAGGAGGGGAAAAAACACACAGACACAATTAATCTTCGATCCCCAGAAAAGATGGGAAAATATGGGAAGTGGGGGGGAAGACAGAACCCCAGAAAATATAGGAAAATATGGGGAATCTTTTTATTTGTGTGTATTGATTTGTGTGTCCCAGTTCCCCTTCAATGATGCCTGCCTTGTGGCAGCACGGTGGCGGCAGTCCCCCCGCTCTCCGCGAGCCTTCGCGCCCGCGGGCCACACGAGGGGTCCAAAATGGGGCCCCGGGAGCCGGCCCGGCCGCCGTGCTCTCGCGGGGCCGTCCTCCTGGACCCTCGCGCCGGAATCGTAAGACATGCAGAAGGAGAGCGTGATTCCCGAGTGTCGAGGGCGCCGCACGTGAATAAGTTGTCAAGATGTCCCACGCGGCAGTGCGGCTCCTGTAAGAAGTGTGAGAAGTCCCGAGCGAGAGCGTCCCGCCTCGCCCTTCGCAGCGTGCGCGCGCGCGGCAGGGACCTCGTTCCCAGATGCGAGGGGGAGCTTCCAGCGAGGCGCTCCCGGTGTCTTTCGGTGGAGGGGGGCGGCGGCGAGCCAGACGCCCTCTCGGCGTGGAGAAGATCACGGCGGGAGGCTTTTCTCGCAGTGCTGGGCCTCCTGGGGAGCCCTTACGGGGCCTCGGGATTCTGCAGCCATTATTCAGGATGAGACACCGGTCCCTTAGAATGGGTCGAGACCTTTGGGGGTCGACGTCGTGAACAATTGCCGAAGTCGGTGGTCTGGAGAGGAAGGAGGAGGAGCAGGAGCAGGAGCAGGAGACCGAAGAGGAGTTAACCCAATGGCCGTTGGAGTCCTGGGGGAGGGAGATCCGCAGTCTCCTCCCCTTGCACATTCTGGGCAGCGGGCCCCGTGATCGGGGAAGAAGCGAGCTCCCCGCACGGCTAGAACTGGCACGCATCACCTCATTATTCCCCCCTCCCCGGCCCACGTACCTGTAGGGGGGTGCTGTGCCTCCGTCCTCCTGTCCTCCCCCCTCCATGGAAGACCCGCCAACCGGCGTGGGTGCGGCGCGTCTCGGGGCCGCTGGCTTGCCCACCGCGCGAGGCGCGGGCGCCGCAAGCCTCGGATGCTGGGGTCGCTTCCGTATAAAGGCGTTGGAAGAGATGACCAGATCATCCGGATCATCGTGCATGTCGAGCGTCCTTATTACACAGTCGTGCACCCTATCCTCCCAACCCCATCCTCCCAACCCGGTGATTGTCTTTCTGGGCAAGGCGATCTTCGATGCCCGGGGCAGGGGCCGGGCGGCAGCGGCCAGAGGCCTCCGCGGACCAATGGGGACTTGCGGCGAGCCGCGGTTGGCAGCCGAAGCGGCGCGCACGCCTCCCGTCAAACTTCTGGTCGGCGCTGTGGCAGATTCGACCTCCAGTGGCCCTTGCTCGAAAATTACGTTACAGTCGGGGCACTGAGGAAGGAACCATTTTCGTTGGGGAGGGGCTCGGTGTTCCTTAGTTGTTTTGCAGTTCGCCTTTGGTTTTGCTTAGGGCTTCGATGGGAAATCGAAGTTTAACTTATGGGGAAAAGAGGCATCGTTCATTAATTAGGGTTCCTTAGGTAAACGCCCCTGCTGTACAACTAGTGTCGCGCCCCTGTGTTCCGACGGGCTCGCGCTTGCGCGTCGGCCCGTGGCCGAACTCCCCAGAAACACGCCGAGCAGCTACGTCTTGGTATCGTGCGGCATACGACGGATCAGCGTTCCGCCACGTGAGACTGCAGTATTGTGGACGTTTGATCTGCATGGTGCAGCATATGATCGCGCAGCATAGACATAGATGGCGCGGTGCACGCGAGATCAATATGGCGCAGAATGCCGCCTGGGAATTCTGAAACGCCGCGTCAAGCGGTCGGCCGCCGAGTGGGTAATGTGGAAAGGCAGCCGGTGCCTCAAAGTGCGGGCTGATGCAGCCGAGCGCGGGCGAGCGCCTGGCCGCTTGCAGGCCCTTGCTGACTTCCAGGACCTGGTGCAGGCGAGTGCGGGCGGGGGCCTCGAAATCGGAGGTTCTCGCCGGCCTGCAGCGTCAACTGCCCTTTTGCTCAAGAGGAGAGCGGCAAGGGGCTGCTCCTTGCTCACGAGGAGAACGGCAAGGGGCCACACTAAGCCCATTTGGCCTCTGGCGATCTGGGCCTGCGATCCGATCGATCGGTCGGGTTCGATCGGCGCCTGCCGCCCGATCGATCCCGCCTCGCAGGCCGATCGCGAGGCCGGGCTCAGCGCGCCGCGGATCGGCGATTCGCCGCCTCCGCGGCCGCGCCCTGGCCTCTGGCGGCTGCCGCGCGCCTTCGGCGCGCCCTGGAGATGCCCGACGCCCCAGGAGCCCGCCTGGCACAGGCGGCAGAGAGAACGCCGAGCCTCTGCACGAGCTCTTCTTCGTGTCGTGAAGGCGGCCGACCTCCTCAGCGGCCACCACTCCGCGCAGCAGCACCAGCGCCCCCAGCAGCACGTGCTGCAGGACTTCGAGACCAGCGCGATGGCAGCCAACGCCAAGTCTCACGGTCATCCAGTGGGCGCCAAGCCGTGGCCATGGAGGTCAAGCACACCAGCATCTGGCTCCTCTCACCGCCGACACCACGGAGGGCACGGACAGCAGCAGCCACGGTACCAGCCCCAGCACAACCAGCACCACCACACCTCCTACCACGACGAGGACCGACAGCAACACAACTACGCCCAGCATCAGCAGCAGTATCAGTACGATAGCACCACAGCGAGAACGAAGCGGCCTCCCTCGAGACGACGCCGCCTGGCCCCCGAGGATACCACCAACGACCACCGACATCTACAAAAGATGACGAAACGACAGTTGGAGGTCACTGACAAGGTAATGCCCGCCTTGCTTTCGGATGCCAAGGGACATGAAAGTTTTTCTCTCCCTCCCGACGAGCCAGACATACGTCGGGTCTGGCACGCGACCAAGGTGGCGAGGATGGCACGTCTTGCCGACCAAGTCCTCGGAGCCAGGCAAGCTCAAGTTGACCCAACCCGCCTGATCGAGGAGCTGGCCATAGTCAAGACCATGCTACATCTATTGGACACGCCGACGGCTCGCATCGCTCAATATAGGTCTCAAGTGGAGTCACGGATCCAGAGACAACAGATCGTCGAGAGCCAGCTTCACGACCTCAATAAGGAGCACGACGAGATCAAGCGCGAGATCGCATCCCTCAAGGCACTCATCTCCGAGGCCAAACAGCATCGAGAACATGCGGACCTTTCGGAAGACAGTTGTGACGGGGACGGAGAAGATGACGCGCGCCACCGTGTCAGGGGCAAAACACCACACCCTGAGGGACGACAGCGACCACCAGTTCGTCAACCTGCGTCCGAGCCAGCGCCTGCTTCGACTACCAACGACGACAGCGACCTGCGGAAACTCATTGACGTGCTGACGAGGAGAGTGGATGAGCAGCAGCGCAACCACGGGATACACCAACACCATCTGGCGTTTCTCCATCATGAACGTGCCGAATCTGATCAACACGAAGCACAGCGTCAACTGCAGACCGAGCAGATTCAGGAGCTTTCGCAACATCTACAACACTGCCAGGAACAGTTTCAGCAAGCACAACTCCAGCAGAGACAGTCGTACTACGACGAGATCCAAGTCTTCCGACGGCGCGAGGAGCGGCTCCGACACGAGGCTCGCGAATCCATCACGGAGAACATGGCTCACTACCAGCGGAAGGAGGCCTACCTGCGCGACCAGCTCAAGGAGGAGGAGTCAGCGCACCTCGCCACTTTCATCACCCAGAGGAAGCAAGAGGAAGAGACTTTCCGACACCAGCTACACGAGAACGCCGAGATCATGGTCCAACAATATCAACAACGCTGCCACGAACAACAGCAACGTCTTCTCTCCGAGAAAGCTCAGGCTCAGCAGGACATCAGCAACATCGCGAGGCTTGAACAGAACCAGCTTCAGGATGCCAAGGAGCTACTTTTGGAGGAGTTCGGACAGGTCCAGGCTCAGAAGTACCGCACTTTGACGGCCCAGAGCGAGTACAACAGCGAGATCGACAGGCTTCGAGGCACTTCCCGTGACATACAGCGCTTCGAGAACGAACTCCAGGAGCAGCACCAACTCCAACTACAGGAGCACCTTCAGCAACACAGACAGGAGCGCGAGCGACTGCACTGCGAACTACAGCAAGCCCACGAGTTCGGCACCAGCATCGACGTGGACATCCTCAGGGAGCTCGACACACAACTCCAAGAACGAGACGAGGAAGACGCACGACTGCAAGCCCAAGCAGACGCTGAACAAGCACATGCCGACCAACAGATTCAAGCGGCACTCGACCTGCTGACCCCACCTTCTACCTCCGAGGACTCGGGCTATCAACTCTACCTCAGAAACCGCGGCAGCAGCAGCGGTGGACAGCACAGCAGCAGCGGACAGCGCGGCAGCACACCACCACCACGACCGACACCTGCGACGCCAACCGCTACTCCGACCGCGCGACGCCCATGCCACGACGCCGACGACGCCAGCGTGCACACTCCAATCCCAGCCGACGACGACGACCTTTGCAGCCCAACCCCTGTTGCGAGCGACGCATATCCCTTCCCTGCCCCTACGCCATTACCTACCCCCGCCTCGCATACGCCGATTCCCACCGAGCAGCCTACGCCCATCGACTTCCACCCACCCGACCCGCAGAATGACCGACCCAGCTCAGCGCCACCACCACGCACCAGAAGGACAGACTCAACTCGGCACACCCACCCATCCACTACTCTTCTCATTGACATCACATCCGACGACGACGCACCACCACCTTCCACCCCAGTGCGCATTCCACTAGCCGACATATCCCCTACCGCACCGATGCAGCCACTCCTACCACCACCCCGCTTCCACCTCGCCACGCCCGACCGCGCCACCTCTGCTCCTCCACCCCGCACCGCTCTCCGAAAAAACGGATCATCTAGCCGAGCGGCCAAGCCCAAGAAAGTCCGTATCTGCGACATCGGAGACGGCTTCACAGACCCAGGAGACCGTGTGCCAGCCTTCCTCTACGACGAGGAAGCCCCTGCGGTCAACTCACCAAAAAACTAACGAGGCCCTCGCCCCCTGGGGGGCAACTGGCCCAGGGGGAGCGGCCCAGCATCATACCAGAAGACTGCCAGCGCAACGACGGCACTTCCGACTCCTGCAGTGGTTACGCCGACGACGTCACGCGCCGACTATTTGAGCCCCTGGTGAGCTCCGATTCACCATGCGACACTTCACAAGTTTCACCTACCCTCTCATCAGCCAATAGCGGCATGCGCGTTGGGGACAGCGCACCTCCAGATCTTTACGAGCATGGCGACATGTGGGAAATCCACACACCGCCCAACATGCTACAGCCTAGTAGTGGACCGTGGACCATCCCCTCGGCCTCTACCTCTCGCTTGGGGAGCGCGAGAAGGCTGTCTAACACAGATCCCACACTAGAACCACATACGCTAGCTGACCGACCAACTACCGCCACCCAACCTCGACGGCAGCATGTCGACTCACATCCTCCACCAGCGGAAGCCCAGTCACGGTCGTTCCCGACGATGACGACGCCACCGCCTACGCCTCGAGAGGAAGCATCGCTTTGTGAGTACGACACGGGGGGGGCCTCCATTGGGTGCGGCCGTCTGGGGCCAGAACGACCAGAGCCACCAACAAGGCATCGACGCACTAGCCATTTTGGCCAAGATGGCGATCGAGACCGACAATTTTGTGACTCACCGAGCCGGCCATGTACATCAACTTCCTGCCGGCTACAACCTCCCATTTTTGACTCCCTTGACGCTACCCAGATCCCACGCGGACAGACCGACCTGCCAAAGGCGGAGAGCCACGAGGCAATACGGCATGTTCGTTTCTCCCGCGAGGTTCACACCCGCGACCATCAGACCGACAATATCCTCTACCATATCGACTTCGACGAACAGGAGCCCTTACTCCAGCACCTTCGACGACTTCAGGCTCCCAGGCTTACCTTCGACTTTACCGACCGTTGCCACAACGAGGTTTCAGATTACATGGTGCGAACATTTCCATACCGACAGCTTCCACGAGATTCTCGCCTGTATTTATACACCGACGGCTCCAAACACCCACGCCAACATGGTCAAGACGGATGGTCGGTTGTACTCGTCGGAGAAGACGAAGAAGGTTTCTCTTTTCAAGGCGCAATAGTCGGCAAGCACCGCGACTCCACCCTCGTAGAGATACAAAACCTCACGGACAACGAGACCACCTCGACATCCAGCGAGATCACAGCGCTCATCTGGGCGCTCGCCTACATCATCCACAAGGACATCAACCACAGTATCTCGGTCCACTCCGACTCGCTGGGAGCGATCCAACTGGCCAGGATGGAGGCTTTTACTAACCGCGACGCCCACCTCGTGCAGCTACTGGTGATCATGTATTCGCACGTCAAGGAATATGTCGACCTGCGTCACGTTCATGCCCACGAGATGAACCCGTGGAACGAAGTTGCCGACGCCGCGGCCAACTACGCCCGCATCGAGGACTACCCGCACCCACAACCTGAATGGGCTAACATACTCAACGCGTCCCCTCAGCGCAGCTGGGAATTCCTACTTGACGCCGACAACCACACCAAGGACGCTTACCCATCCTTTTCACCTGGGATGCTCAAGGCCCAGCGCATCGATACCACGGCAACGACAGCTCACCTTTCGACACCAGCCAAGTCCACGAAGACCTCGACCGAGATAGATGTCAACATCGCCACCTATAACATTCAGTCAGGGCGCGAACCTGGCCACGGCGCTCGACGACGCAAAGAAAAGATCCACAAGCTCAGAAAGACTATGCTCAACCTGTACATGGAGGACCTCCACCTGATCGGCATCCAGGAAGCCCGCACGCCCTGGGGAGTTCGCAGCGGCAACGACATCACCAGCACGAGTGCGTACGCCTACCACGTCATCTCAGGGGGCCACGATCAGTACAACCTCGGCTGCGAGCTCCACATACTCACCAGCAAGCCGTACGGAAAGGCAGGAGCCAAGGACCTCTACTTCCGCCCCGATCAGTTCACCGTCATCGAGCACAGCCCTCGGCATCTCGTAGTAAGGATCGAAGCTCCAGGCTTTCGACATACAGTCTGCGTCGCCCACGCACCACATTCACGAGCCAAGCCACACGAGAAGGATATCTTCTGGGAGATGATCGAGTGCGCAACTTCTAACCACAATATCAACATCTTCTTCATCGACGCCAACGCCCGAACGGGCAGCTTATGCAGCCAGGCAATCGGCGATCAAGGCTTCAAGCAAAAGGAGGACGACAACGGCGAACGCTTCCACAAGGTCCTGCAAGGCAACTCTCTCATCGCCGCGAATACCTTCAAAAGTGGAGGCCAGGACCACTACACATGGGACTCAGGCAAGGACGTGCACAGACTGGACTACATAGTGGTTGGCCACGAGCTCTTCGACTCCATCTCCTACACGTCCGTAATGTACGGTATCGACACAGAACACGACCACTCACACAAGAACGACCACTTCCCTGTCAAGGCTAACCTCGCCTACACCGTCGAGACCGCCTACCAGCACGGCACGCCCAAGCTCGACATCGCTAAGCTCGACTCCGAGACAGCCAAGAACGACTTTCAACGACGCCTGCAGAAGATCCAACACCCCCCCTGGGAGACCAACCTCAACGACCATACTAAGAGCATCGTCGATCAGATAAAGGACGCAGCCTACGCCAGCTTCAAGAAGCAGCATCATGCTCCCCGCAAGCCCTACATTACCGAGGCCTCCTACGCGCTTCTTCGATTCCGACGCACCCTCCTCAAGACGATCCGCATCGTGAAAAGGAATGGCATTGGCTCCAAGAAATCACGCAGACGGATCCGATACACCGCGCACCTCATCGCAAACCAGTCGGCCTCAGCGTCCCCTGACGACGTCATCCACCTCATGGACATCCCTGGATATACTCAGCTGATGATCAAGACCATCCTCTTCATCAGCCACGCGGACCCCGACCATACCACGGCTCCACACCACGACAGCACCTACTGCACTACCACCTTCACTACTGATCTTTTCGACTCATACATGAGCTTCATCCAAGATACCGACCGCGTTCTCAGAAACCGCCTCGACCACGACCGCGACGCCCACCTCGAGCGCTTCTCCGACAACATGATATTATCAGCCGCAGGGAACGCCCCGCGGCAGGAATGGGCAAACGTGAGGGCCTTACTCACATACGGCGGCCGCACACCTAAGAGAACTCCGACTCCCAAAATACGCCAAGACGATGACGGCGCTCCACTCACGACGCCACAAGCCATTGCGGAGCACGCCCTTCGATACTACGGCAACATCGAGAACGGCATCAACACCGACATCGAAGGCGTCGTCAAGTACTACAACAACAAGACCGCGCACACAAAGCCGATACCCCACATCGACAACGTCCAGACCATCCGCAACCTGACATCCGCCCTGGCAGCCGCCAAGAAAGGCAGACGCGGCGGACCCGACGGGAACACCGACGACATGGCACGAGCAGCGCCGCGCCAGATTGCCCGACTTCTGCACCCCATCATGATGAAGATGCAACTGATGACGACGGAGCCCATTTCGGCGAAGGGCGGTTTCTCCACCCATTTCTCCAAAGGACAAGGACAGCTTCATCTGCAGAAAGCCTACAGGGGCATCCTCCTGAACAACACTATTGGCAAGATCAACAGCAAGTTCCTGAGAGGCCTCTTCCGCGACATCTTACCCGACCTGCTGATGGATACACAATGCGGCGCCGTCCCTCACAAGGCGACTGACTTCATCACTCACACCGCCTACACCTTCTTGGACGACTGCCGTACGCAGGCTCGCACGGGCAGCATCCTCTTCCTGGACTTGAAAGAAGCCTTCCATTCGGTAATCAGGGAGTTCATTTTCCAGCTGCCGACTCAGGAGGACGAGCTCGAAGACGTCATCGACAACATCGAGATTCCCATCTGCCTCCTCCCCTCACTACGACAACGTCTTCGCTGTCCAGCACATCTCAACGCCCACGTCGACGACTCTCACCTCTGCGCCCTCGTTGCCGACCACCACACGGCCAACTGGATGACCGCCAAGGGCACCGACGCATACGTGATCCCTCGCACCAGTACCAGGCCAGGGGTGCCATACTCCGACGCAGCTTTCAACATGCATTTCTCCCTAGTGCTTCAGGCCATCGCCGACGACACCGATGGGGCAGAAGACGGCGAGAGCGGCCACCACATCCGCCCCTGCGACAACCCGCTCTTCTCTACGGCTCCTCATCAAGGCGGCAAGCTGACCAACATGTCCTTCGTCGACGACCTCACTGACTTCAACTCGACCACCCGCCACTCCGACATCATTGACATCACAAGAACTTCAGCCGAACGTCTATGCCGTACAGCCTTTACCTACGGGCTCAAGCCACACCCAGACAAGACCAAGGTCATCATCTCCTTTAACGGGACGGGCTCCAACGTCGCACGCAGCAGGCTCGCACAGCAGAACATTACATCAATCCAGCTGAGCATCATGTCGATTTCGGTCCAGATCACAGACCAGCACCGACTCTTAGGCACCATCCTAACCAACGGCAGCATGGGCCCCGAGGTGCAGAATCGCATGCGACGAACCGACGCTTCGGCACGAGCTCTTGAGAGGCAAATCCTAAGACGTCGACGCCTACCCCGCAAAACGAAGATCAAGTACGTGCACGCCCTCTCGACTGCCTCATTGACCTGCAACCATCACGTCTGGCCAGCACTGACCCAGACTGACCACCAGCGCATCTCCAATGCCTACTCGAAGCCCTATCGCACGGCAGCTGGATTACCCAAAGCTAACTCGCAGCTTCATCATTTCACGGCCACCGAAGTAGTAGCTTACACTGGCATCCCCGACTTCGACCACCACCAGTCTGCTGGACGGCTGCGATACTTACCACGGCTTCTACGACACGCTCCTCAGCAGCTCCTCCAACTGCTTGACAACCAGCGACGGAGAAAGGGCTCATGGACATACATGCTTTTCCAGGACTTCGACTTCCTGCGCACATACCTGGACGACCAGCGCTGGCCCACGGCCAGCAAGCTCGACTCCGACGCTTTTGCATGGGCTCGCACCACGCCGAAGCACTTCACCAACTCCGTCAACCTGGCCGTCACAAACTACATCCGCGCCTCCAAAGACCACGCCCACGCCGACAAGTTGACCAAGGTGCTCAGACCCGACGGTCCCATTGGTGCGGGCCCCACGCCATCACGCGACAACGGCGCCAGCAACTTCATCTGCTACGAGTGTGGAATCGTTACCAAGACCAAGCAGGGCATGGCAATACATATCGGACGTGAACACCGACGACCTGATCATCCGCGAAACTGGGCATCGGGTACATCGTGCAGAATATGCCGCCAGAACTTCCACTCCTTCGCCAAGCTAGTGAAGCATCTAACGACGGTCGCCCGATGCCGACGGTCATGGCACCTGTGGTATTTACAAGGACCTGCCCTCACGGAGGAGGACGTGGCCACCAATCAGGCGATCTACGCGGCCAGCATAGCCGACAACAAACGTAGAGGCCGCCCCGAACTATACCACCCTATCCCTGCCCATGCATCCGACGTCACTCCCTTACCCTCCCTTGACCTATCACCTTCACCACCGCCATTCTTCCCGACTGTACCAGAGCTTACACCACCACCACCAGCCCACTACCCTCGTACACCGACCAGAAACCGATCTCTGCTTTACCTCACCAACACCGATAGACACCCGAACGATCCGCTCGACATTACGGACCAACGACTATGCTACAATGGAATGGTGATGGAACGGGTTACTCTGACCTTCGATGATCTCTACTCTGTCGATCACCCATCCCAGTACGACGTCCTCGACTCGATCCACCAGCACATTCGACAAGGCGTCTTCGCGGGAGTGATGATCAACCTCTCACCCAGCACTTGGATCGACCAAGTCGATGGCGACCCGCACGACAGAACGGCAGCATCTTCCAGAACAACCACGGACCCTTGGGGCAGAGTAAACCTTGGAGGTGAGGCAGCCGAACGTCGACTGATCGCGAACCACCATGCCCGCCTCGCCATCCACACCTTCCATGCTGCTCACGTTGCCGAAGTACCAGCACTACTAGCGCAATCCGCAGCCCCAGCAGGTCCGTCGGTGATGTGGAATACTGAGCTGATGTTCTATGCTACGGAGAATCTTGCTACGAGACGACCGACCATGGCAGACGCCACCAGCAGCCTCTACGCCATCTACTACGGCCTCTCCCAGGAATACGGCAATCCCCTCGACGATTTCGTCACCTCCATTTTGGGCAGCCTGCCCCAGCTTGAGGTCGGACTGCAGCATGCTGATCCGACGACCCGATCTGGCCGTAACAGGGCCCATGATGGTCGAGACAGGCGCCCACAACGGCAAGACGGCCGTTGCGCTCAAGATGGCCGCCAGCCCCATCCTGGACACCCCCTCGAGGGCGAGGGGGGGGAGGACACGGTTCAGGCCTGACCGACCTGGGCCGCCACCCGCGTGCAGGCCGTCATGGGGGTGGTTTCCCTTCCTCCTCAGGCCTTTAATGAGCCCCCTCCTCCCGCTCCATCTTGCCACCCCCATGCGGCCTCTCCCTTATCCTCCATCTTGTCATCCTCTTTCTTCCTTCCTCTGGCCGCTCGTCCCCGAAACTCCTGGGCCCGTTTTTCTCGGTCCTTTTCGGCCCCCGCCCCTCCCCTTTCGAAGCCAATGCGGCTTTCCCTTTGTCCTCCTGGCGGGGGTCTGTGTCGGGGGGTGGCCCCCCCTACGCGCTTTGGGCGCGCGCGCGTAGCTCCGGCCGCGCGGACGGCTGCGTCCGACAGGACATCGAGCCGATAGCGATAGCGATAGCGATAGGGGCCACACTGCGCCGCTCTTGGCGGTGACCTCCCACGCGAGGTGGGTCCAGCAACTTGCGCGCAGTGCCTCGAGCACCGTTGTCGGGGGCGCGACTGGGGCTCAGAATCCAGCAGTGGCGAAGCGTCCTGGCTCGCCTATAGGCCTACCAAACAATGTTCTAAGAACAGTTTCTGGTTTCCACGACATGTTCTCAGAACATTTCTGGCGGAGTCTGTCTTGTTTCATCACGTCGGGTTTAGGTTCTGAGAACCTTGTTCTTGTCCTCAGAGCATTTTGGGGTTCTACGAGCGCGTCGTGGTAGGACTGCAGGAATGCCGGGGCGGTCGGCCCCTGCTCAAGGCCCAGGGAGCCGAGCAGCGTCGTGGCGTCGGCGAGGGACCTCGCCGACAAGCTCGGCGCTATAGAGCGGCCGCCGATCGCGAAGAACGCGCGCGCGCTCCTGGTCAGGGCGGGGCCCGGAGACCCCCTGGGCGCTCGGCGGTCGGTGTCCCGCCCCCCCGGGCCCACCCCCGCCGTCGGCGCCCCGGGCCCTGCGGGCGCAGAGGGGGCTTGGTATCGCTCGGACGTGTGCACTTGTTCTCGGCGGGGATCATTAAGGAGCGTCCTGGATCATCCTGCGAAAAAAAAAAACACGCACGAAACCGAAAACAGCACAGGGAATGGACGTCCGAGCGACGGGGAGGGGGTTGGGGGAGGGGTGGGAGGGCTTCTTAGAAGCACCCCTGCTTCTTAGAAGGCGCGGGCCTTACCCATATAGATGTAAGGCCGGCGCCCTCTAAGAAGCAGCCTCCTCCTAAGAGGCCTTCCCCCCTCCCTCCACCCCCTTGTGCGCGCCGCCAGAGGGGGGCCCCTGAGCTTTCTCACGACCAAGCGGGCAAGCGCGAGCCCATCGGAACGCGGCTCTGTGCTGCGTTCCGATGGGATCGCGCTTGCCCGATCCGATGGGCTCTGCTATGTGCCGATGGACCTTGCCGAGGTCCAATGGGCTAGCGCGGCTCCAGAAACCCTGGACCCCAAAGTGTTTACGTCTCTGTGTTGTTTCCGCAAGCTTCAGCCGGCGGAGCCGCCGCCGTCTTACTTAGGCCTGCATCGACGCATGGGAAAATAATGACGATGACGATGACAATGATGATGACGATGACGACGACACCGATGGCGACGGCGATGACGATGACGATGACGACGATGACGACGGCAACGAGGACGACGACGATGGTGATGATGATGATGATGATGATGATGATGATGATGATGATGATGATGATGATGATGATGATGATGATAATGATGATGATGGTGGTGGTGATGATGATGATCATGGTAATGGAGACTGTGATACTGATGGTGATGATGATGATGATGATGATGGTGTGAATGACTATGATGATGACGATGATGCTGATGCTGATGATGATGATGATGATGATGTGGGTGATGGCGATGAAGATAGTGATCGTGATGGCAATTGTGGAGGTGATGTCGATGGTGATGATGGCAATGGTAATGATGATGATGATGATGATGATGATGATGATGATGATGATGATGATGATGATGATGATGATGATGATGATGATGATGATGATGATGATGATGATGATGATGATGGTTTTGGTGATGCTGATGATGAGGATGACTGATGACGGTGTCAATGATGCAAACGATGATGATGGTGACGAGGATAATGATAATGAGGATGAGGAAGAGGATGAGGAAGAGGAAGAAAGGAAGAGACGCAGTCGGCGACTTGGGACGGCCATTGAACCGAAACTTGGCTTCTGCTCTTCTGGCTCCCCCATCGATCTTTCCTTCACTCCCCCTCCTCGGCGTGGCCATCTGCGTTTTCCTCGTCGTCTTCCTCTTCCTCTTCCTAGTCCTATTCGTCCTCTTCCCCCTGTCCTTCTCCTCCTCCTTCTTCTCCCGAAGGAGGCGGACGCAGATGGGGACGGGAGAGGGGGGAGAAGAAGGAAGACGAAGGGGAACATGCACAGGGGTGATGTGGTGGGACCCAGCGGGAGGATCGAGGGCCACAGGAGCAGAAGCCACGTTTTGGGTTCCAACTGCTGGTCCACACCATGAGGAAGGGGGGTTTGGAAGAATGCGAAGAAGAAGACGAAGAGAAAGACAGAAACTCCCTGAAGCACTCAGATCCGAAAAGGGCTGCTGGGAGCATACCTGGGATGCATCAACGATGCTGCGAGACACCCTCCCGCCCCGAGCCGCTCCTCTCGGGTCCTCCCTTCTCGCACCGCGAGCGAGGTGCCCCGTTGAGAGGCCCACACAACGCACGGGGCCAGCCGCTCGGGCGAGGGCCCCGCTCTGCACACGGAGCTGCCCTCGGCACCCTCCGAGCGTACCGTGCGGCACGCGAGAGGAGGGGCGTGAACACACAGCCCAGCGGGGTGCTCGGCGACGTCTCCGCGCGGTGCGCGACTGCTCACCACGAGCTCTGAGAGGGCCGCCCCCCCCCCCCCCCCTTGCCCCACCCCGTCTGTGCGCCCCGCCCACCTTCGCCTCCTCTTCCCTCCCCTTCTCCTCCCCAGTGGCAGGAGCATGGGCCGCGGGTCCTCCGCCGTGGGCATGATGGAGGGCGCGTTCTTCGTGTCCAGGCCCGCCGCGTCACGGGGGGGAGGCTTCCGGACACCCTAAGGAAAGAGAGGGGCGGGATACGTGTGTGCTATCCTCCTCATCCTCCACCCCTCTTCCTTGTAAGCAGCTCCTCAGGGCGGGCCGGGCGTTTCGCTTGAGATTTCCCTGTTGATGATCTTGACGCTTGAATCCTGCAGCACATTCAGTCATGGAGGGCGTGTAGTTGTCCAAACGAGGTTTTCGCCCTAGCGCCCCGCGCTCTCGTCTTGAGCAAGTGCAGCAGTTTCAGGGAGGAAGGGCGGGCGGTATTCAAACGTGGGGAAAAACACACAAACAACACCGTGGGGAAAAACAGACACATCTGTGTGTGTGTGTTTTGCTTGTTTTTGTGTGTGTGTGTTTCCCCACAGTGTGTGTTTTTCCCCACAGTGTGTGTGTGTGTGTGTTTTTCCCACAGTGTGTGTTTTTTCTCCACTTGCTCTCGACCCAGCGCCGCGCACACTCGTGCTCAGAGCCTGCGACGCCTGCACGGACGGAGGGCGGCTCCTCTTCAAAAGTGAGGGTCTGTCGCTGCAGCGCCGCGCGCACCCGTTCGCGCAGGAGCTTCGAGGGTGCGCGTGGTCGGAGTTACGGAGGAGGAGGAGGAGGACGAAGAGGAGGAGGAGGAGGAGGAGGAGGAGGAGGAGGAGGAGGAGGAGGAGGAGGGGGGAGGAGGAGGGGAGGGTCCACGGGCTAGGGCCGCGGATTCCGAGCGCCCTCTCGGCCTTTCTTTTCCGCGGGCGGACGGCGCGGGTCGTGCAAGAGCTTCGAGGATGCGCGTGGTCGGAGTTACGGAACTGGTGCCCCAGCAAGCGTTGAGACTGCCGTGGCGTAGCCCTCACGTTGATCCGCGGTGTTGCAATCCCAGGATTGGCGTCCTGGCCCGATACAGGACTGTCAGGACGCAACGGCCATGTTGATTCGCGACGCTCAGATCCCAGGAGCGTAATTGAATTTTGGCGCGACTGAGGATTCTCAGATGGTTGTGTTCCAATAGGGCATTCCCCGCAATGGAAAATAAGCGCTTGTAGGGCCCAGTGAGGAGTCAACTTGGAGAGAGTTGTTGTTGTTGCAACATGGTTGATGCGTTTTGGGTGTACACTGGTCCTCCTCATTCTCCTGTTTCTCTTCCTCCTCCTCCTCCTCCTCGGTCGGTCGGTCGTGCGCGGTAAGGAGGGGGAGGCGCACCAGGGGCAAGAGGCGTAACAGACGGGCGTGAGTCCTTACTCGAAATGTCTAGACAAAAGGATGGGGAACCTGGAGCGGATGTCCTGAAGCATGGTGAAACGAATCAGGACACATTAGCCCGCCGGGTAAGCCTTGGCCGCAGCAGTTTCCCAGGTGATATCGCTCACTATTACACAGGGCCCCATCCAGTCATAGTTTGTCGAAGCTGATCCATTGCAGGTAGATGCACACAAAGCAACACGGGTGGTTTCACCACTCTTGCCCCAAAGCGACATTGGTGCAACACATGTTTGGAAACTCCTTGGCGGGCCTCTACCGCACACTCTTTTGGAAGAAACCATATGCTGGGGCAGTCCTGAACTCTCTTGCCCTGGGCGGGATATTCCAGTACGGTAGCTATCCCGTGTACCCAAGCCTTGCAAAGAAACAGCAAAGCCGTGCGTAGGAGTCGGTTGCCTAACTCCATTTGGGAGCCCTCTCTTGTCGTCACATGGCCCAGCCCCCAAAGTTTGTTGGCAAACCGTAGTGGACGGGGAGGCGTAGCAACGCCAGGAGCAGGCTTGTGCCTTGCCACTGACCAAGTCTCACAACGCGAACCCTCTACTACCCCCGCAACTCTCCCCGACCTGAGGGAGTCCAGCCAAAGGTGCACCGACTGGGCCCAAGGGAGGCCCCCCCAAACGGGACAATTGACAGCATCCAAACTGAGAGCGTGAAGTTTCGTGAGGAACCTAGTTTGTAGAGCCCGAAATGATCCTGGAGCAAGTGCTGCCGCGTTGACGTAGCCTTCGACATCTTGAGAACAGGGCCGATTGCTGGTCCTTGGCGCTGCAACCACGAAGGAGAAGCGTGAGAGTCAGACCTGCCCGCCTTTCGGAGTGTGGCTGCTTCGTTCTTCGCCTCCGCACTCGCCTCGTTGAGCTCCTCCTCGCTGGATCGGAACCTGGTGGTTGCCCAAGATTGTCGACACGTCGGCGAATTGCCAAGATGCTTAGCGAGACGGCATACCTGTCGGACATCTCCAAGGAACACCTGGCAACATGTGCCAGAGGTTAGTTATCCTTTTCCTCCTCCTCCTCCTCCTCCTCCATCAGTCTTCCTTAAATATAATCCTGTCGCACCCCGTGGCCGGTCGAAGGGGCAAGCCAGGCGCTTCGCCGGAGATCTCCTCACCAGCTCTGCTCTTGAGGCTTGGCAATGTGCAGCGGCTTCGTGGATGGAGGGCGGGCTGCTTTCAAAGCGTAATTCTCGCTCGTGGGAAAAACATATACACACACACACACACACTGTGGGGAAAAAACACACTGTGGGAAAAAAAACTCAGTGTTTTTTGTGTGTTTTTGTCCCACAGACTCGTGTGTTTGTTTCCCACAATGTGTTTTGTGCCGCGCGCATTGGTGGTAAAACATTGCAAGAGATTCGGGGATTGAGGGCGGGCCGGTTTCAACATGTGGCTCTCGCTTCAGCTTCGCGCAAGGCGCCGCGCACATTCGTTGCGAACGCTTGCAGGAGCTTCACGGATGGAGGGCGGGCCGACTTCGAATTGCGGCTCGCTCTAGCGCCGCGCACATGTTTTCCAGCATTTCGCAAGAGCTTCACGGATGGAGGGCGGCTCCTTTTCAACAAGCGATTCTCGCTTTACCGCTGCGCGCATTCGTCGTTATGCAACCGATTCAAGAGTTTTCAAAGGTAATGTACGAGAAATTGTGCTTTGGCACGATGTCGGGACGCCAGGGCGCAACTGTCACGTTGACTCGCGGTGTTGTACTCCCAGGAATGGTATCCTGGCACGATCCAGGGCTTTCCAGGAGCAACAGTAACGGTGATTCGTGGCGTTGAAGTCCCAGGAATGGCGTTCTAGCACAATTACGGATTATCACAGGCTTGTCTTCCAACGGGACTATTCGAGTGATATTTTTCGTAGGGGCCTCTATAGAGGGAATTAGCAGGGAGGGTTTATTGCAAAATCGCTGGTGAGTCTTAGTTGTACACGTGTCCTCCTCTTTCTCTTCCTCCTCCTGGGTTTCCCATCTCCTCCTATGCATCCTCCTCCTCATCCTCCTTTTCCTCTTGCTCGTTGCTCCTCTTCCTCCTGCTCCTCCTCCTCCTCCGCCTCCCGACGGTGAGCCCTTGCGTCTAAATGACAATCGCCGCACCAGGGGTCGTCTGTTCGATGGGTTTCCCCACGCGGGTGAGGAACACAGCTCCCCCTGTTTCTGGCTGGTCGGCAAGGCAGCGAGGAGGAGCAGGGCGGACCCAGCCAAGGGTGAGCCCCCTCCTCCTGTTGTCTTGTGCCCAGGATGTCCAGGGAGTAAACACACCCCGGACCCACTAGTGGAGCCTGCCAAACTGGCCTGGTCAGTGATGTCCCTGCGTGCGTTTGCTGCAGGGCTTCTCTTGCAGGGACCGTTTATTATGAGGGGCTCCTCGCCCTGTGTCTCCCTCCGCGGCCGCTTTCCCATACATCCGACGACATGATCTGTTTCAATGCGCGGCCCCAGAGGTATCGGGGGTGGACAGAGACCCCACGCTGACACGTCGATTAGTGAATTGTCCGTTTTCGGTTCTCGAGAGGGCGCCGCGGCCGTCATTTCCCAGGCTTGCGCCCGCCAGGTTTGGGCCCGAGGTCGTTTTCGCTAAACCACGTTTTACTAAAGGGGGTTCTGTCCATCCCCGAAGGTAGTTTTCTGGACGGTATCGGCACATGTGCGTGTGAAGGCGGTTGGAAGTTGGTAGGAAAAAACAGGAGGTCGTGGTTTTAGACAAGGGCCACGTGCTGTCATACTCGCGTCCTGCCTCATCCTCCCGGGTGGCGTCCCAGCTCCGCTCTCCCACGACGGCCTCCGGAGGCCGAGCACTCGAGGACACGCGCCCGGACTGCAGAAGCCCCCCCCGCTCGTCGTCGGAGATTCGGGCTCCCTCCTCTCCGTTCGTGTCGGGCTGCTGTTGCCCGACGCCTCGTGCCCAACGCCGCCGCCGCCGACAGGAGGAAGGAGGAGGAGGAGGAGAGGAAGAGGAGGATGAGGAAGAGTATGCGAGTATAGGGAGGAGGAGGAGGAGGAGGAGGAGGAGGAGGAGGAGGAGGAGGAGGAGGAGGAGGAGGAGAGGAGGAGGAGTAGGAGGAGGAGGAGGAGGAGGAGGAGGAGGAGAAGAGGAGGAGGAGGAGGAGGAGGAGAAAGAGGAGGAGAAAGAGGAGGCGGAGCAAGAGGAGTACGTAAGAGGAGGGGGAGGAGGAAGGAGGGGAGGAGGAGGAGGGGAGGGGAGGAGGAGGAGGAGGAGGCGGAGTAAGTGGAGTAAGAGGAGGGGGGAAGGAGGAGGAGGAGGAGGCGGAGGAGGAGGGGGAGCAGGAGGAGCAGGAGGAGGAGGAGGCCCTGCTGCTCGCCCCGCGGGCGTGCGCGGGAGCGTCGGACCGCGGGGAGGACGGAGCTCCTCCAGTGGGCGAACGACCTGCTGCAGGTGTCCCTCACCAAGGCGCGGCGGGTTCCGAGGCTCGGAGCCTCAAGGTTTGTGGAGGACGATCAATGGAGAGGAAGCATGCTGCCAAATAATTTCCAGATATCAGAAGACATGTTTCAAACATGTTAAAACTATAAAAATCATGTTTGAAACAGTTTTAGAAGATGCTTTACACATGTTAAACACATCTTTAACTCAATGATAGGATTGTTAGAGTGTCCATTGGCATGGCATCCACAGCTTCAGGTACTGAGGACCCGGACGCGGCGCGTTTCTCTCTTCTTCTTTTGGGCGGCCCCGTGAGATCCTGGCGTCGCATGTTTGGTCGCAAGATGCGTTTCCGCTGGGCTTCCGGCCCTGGGACCATCGCAGTTCGATCCGGCTCGGAAAATGCCGCAGGAGGATGGGGTTTGGGGTCTGGTCGTGATTCCTCGCGATGTTGCAACTTTTTCGCATCGTCGGATCTGAGGGTCTCGGGTGCGCCGAACAATGAGAGTTAGGACTACAGGGAAGTTTGGGAAAGTGGCCGGGGCCAGCCCCATCCTGTCTGTCCAGCCATGCCCAGTTTCCTTCTGGCTTGTGCAGCCCTGGCGACACCATTCCTACCGTTTCGCCCCCTGCCAATTGTTCCAGCGCTGGCCACTTCCACTGTCATTGGAATTCCAACTCCATTTTTTCAAGCTTCCCTGAAGTTCATGATTGTGGCTATGAAGTATCCGTAGTCGTAGTTGTAGTAGAAGTGGTAGTAATAACAGTAGTAGCAGTAGTAGTGGTGGTCAGCATGGTGTAGGTATGCAATCCGCTTCACAAACAATATAGGATCCCCTAGGATTCCCACAGGATTCCTTCGTATCCCCTCATATTCCCATCGGATTCCCTAGGACTCCTTAGGATTCATATAAGATCCCCTCGGAATCCATAGGATTCCCGTCGGAGTCCTTAGGATCTCCATGGGTCTCCAGGATTCCAGCGTGAGTGCGGGACGCCCACTCATGATCCAGTTTTATCCGTCACGTGCGTGCTGTGCGTTGTTTCTTCTGACAGGGGCGGTTGCCGGGGGGTTGGGGAAGGGTTCGTCCAGTGATAGGGAGCAGTGGTGATCCCTCCCCGAGGGGCAAGAAAGGGGGTCGCAAGGGGAAGAAGCTCTGTACCGCCTGCGCCCACAGGGCGGGTGGGACTCCGCCAGGCGCCGCTGCCGGCCTGGCGACCGCCCCCGCGTGGGGGGGGGAAGGTGGAGCAGTGCGCGAACGGTTGCATCTACTGCCAGGTGGTCGACTCCTGCTACCCAGGTCACGTCTCCGACGTGCCGCTCTCGAGGGGTTGGAGGGCAGGAGCGGGAGGAGGAGGAGTAGGAGGAAGGCAAGCGGGAGGAGGAGGAGGGGGGAGGATTAGGAGGAGGAATAGGTAAATGAGGAGGATAATGATACTGATAATAATATGTAGAGAAGCGGCGAGGAGGGAGGAGGAGAGCGGGAGGAGAGTGGACAACGAAAGGGAGAAGAAGGAGGAGGATGAGGAGGAGGAGGAGGGGGAGGGTCAACGGGAGGAGAAGGAGTATTGGGAGGGGGAGTGATAGGAGGAAGAGGGAGGAGGAAGATGAGCATGGGGAGGAAGATGAGCATGGGGAGTGATAGGAGGGAGGAGGAGAGCGACGAACGGGAGCAGGAAAAGGAGGGAGAGCAGAAGCGAGTATAGACGAGCACGATCAAGTACGGTACGTTCGCGGCGTGCCGACGCGGCGACGACCCGAGCGCGGGCGTTTTCAAGCTTCAACGCCGCCAGTGGGCAGTATGGACAGACCTGGCGATCGAAGAGCCGCCGATTGTTCAAGATTGATAGATCCACGCGGTGCCAGAAACCCAAAATTGGGGTCGTCGGGGTCGTCACGACCCGAACCTGTCGTACACTTTTTGTCGCTGGCGGCGAAACAAAGGCAGTCCGCACCAGCGTGGGGCTAATCGGGGGCAGCGATCGGCAACTTGTCAGGCGTGCAGCAGAGCGAGGAGGAGAAGAGGGATCGAGAGTTTGTCGCACGCACGGATTTCAGCATACGTGGTTTAAAACATTTGCCACTCGAGCGAACCGAAGAGGCAAAGACATCCGAGTGGGCGGGCGCCCGAGGCTTGGCGACGAGCCCGCTTGCATTACACGATTGGCATAACGCCACCTGCAAATATCACAGCAACACGACGTAAACAAACCAATAACAACCGCCCGACCAGCGCAAGACGAGGTAGGAAAAGAAGGGTGAGGAGGGAATTGCACCCGCAGAACTTCGACGCCAGAATTGTCGTCATCCGGGAGGCTCCCGAAACCCGTCGTTCAATACCTTCGGACCTTGTAGATGTCCCGCCGGGATGGCTTCTGGCTGCCAGCACTGTTTTTCTGAGCTTGGGCCGTCAATGTAGCTTTGGGCTTTGATCTGTCGTCCATTCCGCTTACCCGTCCCATTCCCGCGCTTCAGCCTGCTCCGTTTGCTGTTTATGTTTGTGGTCTCTTTTTCTCTCGCTCTCTCTCTCTCTCTCTGTCTCTTTCTTTCTTTCTCTCTCTCTCTCTCTACCTACATCTCGTGTACTCTCTCCCTCTCTTATTCTTCCTCTATTCGCTGGCACTCGAGGGTCGACATAATTGTGGGCGTCTGTATTATCGTTGTGCTTGCCCCTGTTCGTTGTAATTCGTCGTTCCTGCTTACATTTCGTTCTCTCTCCTCATCTGTTATTATCTTAGTGCGGCTAGTTTCTTGCTATGGTATATGAGTGGCCTGGGGATCGTCGCACAACGCCGTTGTACAGTCTCCTCTTCCGCATCTTCGTTTCTTCCCTCTTCATCTTCCCTCTGCTGCCAGCAGTCTGCAGCCCCTCGTCCACGACATCCGCTAGCACGTTTAGCCTGATCACTTTGAACTGCCAGCGCACGTCGAAGACTCATCCTTGACGTGACATTTTATCGTGAGTTGCTTGTGCTGAGCAAGGCGCCCGAACGATTCGTTGTCCTTGTGCGCGCTCACTGCATATCGTCCAAAGGGTGCCCACTGTGCGCTGGTTTCCCTTTTCTAAAACACCAACTCGCTGTGCTCGCACGCAAGCATCGGCCAGGTGCACCGCAGCCTGAGTCACAGCTAGGGATGGGGGGGGGACGGAGCGGAGCTGGACGAGGAAAGGTGAGGAGGAGGAGGAGGAAGAGGACGACAATGGGTCTGAAGGGTTGCGAAAGGGGAGGGAGACAGCGGCAAGAAGGACTGGAGGATGGGGGGGGGAGATGGGGAGAGCGAGGAGGTGGATGACAAGGACGATTGGTCTGAATGGTTGGAGGGGAAAAGGCAGCGGCAGGAGGGACGGTGGATGATAGGGGGAGACGGGGAGAGCGAGGTTGAGGAGAAAGACGACGACGACGATTGGGTTTGAAGGTTTGGGAGGGCGAGGGAGGAATCCGAGCGATGGGGGATGTGGGGGGAGACGGGGAGAGTGAGGAGGAAGAGGAGGAGAGAGGAAGGAAGGGGCAGGCGCGGATTCTCCACCAAACCTAACAGCCTCGACATGCCGGACGGGGCCCCAGGAGGCGGAGAGAAAGAGGTCGGGAGGCGAAGGAGTGCGGACGAGGAAGAGAGGGGGGTGGGGAGGAAGAGGAGGAGGAAGAGGAAAACCTCGAGGAAGAGGAGGAAGAGGAACACGCGGTAAGGGCAAGCAGGGAAAATGAGGAGGAGGAACAGGGGAAGGAGGAGCAGGAGGAGGAGGAGGAGGAGGAGGAGAAGGAAGAAGAAGACGCCCGAGCGATGAAACGCGAGTCCGAACGAACGGAGCCGCGCCAGCGAAACGATATGGAAGGGCGCCCAACGAGGAGAAGGAGGAGGCGGAGGAGGCGGAGGAGGAAAGAGCAGTGGAGGAGGAAGAGGAGGGGGGGGGAAGGAGGAGGCGGAGATTGAAAAGGGGGGATGGCACGCTAGGTTCGCGATGCGCCATATCTGACATCCTATCCTTCCCTCCCTTTCCTTCCAAATGCGCTGATATTTTCGTTATCCGCGGACGCTTTCACAGCTGACCTGGAGCTCGAAAGGATACCTCATCGTGTTATGGGCAATCGGTAAAAGGGGGCTGCGTACATACGGGGGGAAGTGGCGGAACAGCAGGAAGGAAAGAGGAACACAAGAAAGTAACAGGATGAGGACGAGCAGCAGCAGGAATTGGAGTGAAAGGAGCGGGAGGGCCAGGAGAAGGATGAGGACGAGAAGCAGCAGGAACTGGAGTGAAAGGAGCGGGAGGGGCAGGTGAACCAGGGGAAGACGAATGATGGGAAATGAGGGGGTTGGGACAACGATGAAAACGGATTCGGATCCACAAAAAGGGCCCGCGTTGGAGCACAAGCACGAGTCTGACTGGCCGGAGCAACACGCCGATCCTAAACGAGGCCCGCGCTGCAGCGGATTCTGAAACATCGAAAGCACTTGGGGTGTTCTGGGGGGAAGACAAAGAAAAACCACGTGTGGCTAATCCTGTGCGTAAGGAACAGTACGCGGAGAGAGCGGGTCATCTTCCGGACAGGGTCGGGGGAGAGGGGATAGTAGTATCCGTAATGTGCAACTCTGGGGGTGGGGGGTGGGAAGGAAAAGGAGGAGGAGGAGGAGGACGAGGACCAGAGGCGGGAGCGGCAGAAGCGGGCCGTGGGCCACCCTGGCCAGGCACGGTCGGCATGAAGAAGCTCAACTGGATGGCGCGGTGCGCGCCCGCGCTGGGGGGGGAGGAGGCGGACGAGGGAGACGGCGACGAGGCGCGGGGTCGAGGAGGGGGTGAGCAGAACTTCGAAAGTTCTTCGATTCTTCATTTCTAATTCTTCGAAAGTTCTTCGATTATGACATTTCTAATTTTTCTATCCTGGACCTCTTCCTGGCCACTAGGGGTCCAGGAACAGTTAGAAACGAGCACAATTAGAAATGAGCACGATCAGAAATGAACGACGTGTACCTTAACAACAATCGTCGCATCGCCTTAACGCGGGTGCCGGCCACCTCGAAAGATTGGTCAAGGGACATCTCGGAGAGACGAGGTATATGCGTGGCGCCAGAAGGGCTCAGTACGGAAGGGGCTGGTTCCTCCAGTGACACCGCGAAGCAAGCCAGACGCCTCCGCGCTTGCTGCCGCCGAGCAGCGGGGCGCGGGCAAGGAAAGGTTGCCCGAGCGTTGTGTGCGGGAAGTGCGGAAGGGTCGGGGAGCCTCGCCGGGGCCGCAGCTGAAGAGCTCCGCCAGGAGGCACGGCGGAAGGCATTGCAGCTCTCTTTCGCTTGCAGATTCACCGCGTGCATGCTGGTCCTATGCCTGGCGTGGCAATTTCTGGCTGCAGCCGGATGAACCATTCCCACGAACCCCACGCAGAAAAAAAGGTGCTTCCCAAACTTCAAGGTGAGGTGTTACACTAATCGTCCAGAAGGGGATAACTCAATTTGTTGTTTTCGCGGTGGCTAACATGTTTTCGTAGTGTTGTACCGCGACAGCCGTTCAGCTTTCAACTGAAAGTATGGTTGCACAGCTTTGTTCCCTCTCCCGAAGTTGCGCCGTCGCTGTGAATCCGCACTGCCGCGCGCCCGGTGCTCTTTCCCCACGATTTCTTTCACGTGATCCGCACATCCTGTTTGTGTCCTTTCCGTTCGTCACCCGCTTCTTATTTCCTGTGCCCGACCTGCGTCTGTGACCCGCTTGTGGGCCTGCACTCTGAGCCCGCTGCGCACCCGCGTCTTGTTTTCCCCCCTCCGCGCGCCGTGTTCGCTTGGGCGTTATCGTGTTCTCCTGCGTGCGTGTCTGAACATGCTCGCGTTTCTGCAGTTTGCTGTGTCTCGTGAGGGGCAGTCTGTTTCTGCATTCGGTGAACAGGTTCCGTGGATATCTTGGAATCCGAAGCCATGTGCTTGTTAGGTATTCCAGCATCACACTGGCTGTTGTATGGTTGTGCCACGAAGCCGCCGATGTGCACACATGCACGATATTGCCGCTGTTCTCGCACGGATGTGGCGCTTGTCCCTGCTTTCTTATAGTGGTTACGTGCACCGAGAAGATATGTTTCTTTCTCGCACGCCTTCGATCACTGCGAATTTCGCATGGGATATGACAGAAACGATGCCATCCGTAACGGCGCCCTAGTCACGTCAGTCCCGATCAGTCGCGCCAGAGAGATCCATCGTCCCCAGAACATTCGGGCGTTCCTCGCGTTCTCCCCCCGTTTCTCTTGCTGTTGCTCTTCCGCCCCCCCTCGTCCGCTTCCCCCACCTGCCTTCAGCTCAGCAACAAGGGGTGCAAGGCGACGGGAAGCATCGACAGGAGTAAAATGGAGAATCTGTTTCTTTGGGGGTGGGAGCAGGAGCAGAAGAAGGGACAGGACGAGGAGCAGGGGGAGGCGGCGGGAGCGGCGCAGGAGGAGGACGGCGCAGCCAGTCTTGCTGCCCTGGGCCCCTGGGCCTTTGAACCCCAAGAGGCCAGGTGCGGCCGCGTTTTATTGGCGCTTCCCCCCCCCCCATCCGCGTCTTCCGTCCCTGTCGCCCCCTCCCCTCCCGTTCCCTCCCCTGCGCAGGCCCCTCTCTTGCCCATCCCCCCCCTTTGGCCACCCCCCGGGCCACGGCTGGATGACCTATTCCCAAACGGAAAACCCGCAGCAGCAGGAGCCGGCGGCCAGTGAAATAGCCGCCCGGAGGGGGGGACAGATTCGATGGTTTCCGCGGCGGCAGACATGCGTCCGGTGCGTTGTGCCGCTGCGGCCGCTCGGCTTCCAACCGGCAATGTAGTTCCGCAGTTCTGTTCCCAAACATCTCGCGAAGTTGCGCCGTCGCCTGCGATCCGCATTGCCGCGTGCCCGTTGCGCTTTTGTATCCCACGCCTCCTTCCTCCATTTCCCCGCCCCCTTCTGTTGCCCCCTTCCGTTCCTGGCCCCCGCCTTGCTTTTCGCGCGCCCGACCGGCATCTGCTGGGCCCGCGCGCCGCACCCGCAGCGCGCCCGCGTGTTCACTTCGCCCCGCTCCGAGCTGGCCGCGTTCCGTCTTCGCTGGAGTTCCCCTGCCTCTAGCCATCATGTCGCGTTGGGTCCTGGATTTGAGTCCGCGGCGCCCCGCGTTCACGCTTCCCCCCCTCTCTCCTTCTCCCCCCTTTCTATCCCTGCCCCTGCCTCTCCGCATGCTCTCATCGCCGCCGCCATCCTTCCCATCGTGGTCGTCGCCATCACCATCAGCTTGATTGCCGCCGCCATTCTCGCCATCGCCGCCACCATCGGCCACGCTTCGGCGCGTCCCTCGCACGTTCCGCGGCCCCGCAGAGGGCTCCGCCTGAGGCCCACCGCGTGTTCATTGTGGCGTATTCTCCATACGCTATGTGGCCCCAGCCATCCTGTGGCCCCAGCCTTGTTTTTAAGAAGTGGCAGCGCCCCGCGTTCCCCGTCACTACTCTTCCCCCTCCCCCCTCGCCCCGCTCCCCATCCTTGCCTCTGCCCTCCGCGCGACCATTCCGGCGCACCCCTTCGTGCGCTTCGTGGCCCCATGGGGAGTTCCACCCAGGGCCCCAGCGGCAGTGTTCGCATGCATGCTCCAGCCCAGTACCTCCCACGTGCCGTGGCCTCCTCGGGAGGTCCACCCGAGGCCACAGCGGCAGAAGGCACGCGCGTCTCCCCCGCCTATTGCTTCTTGAACGACCTCCAGCCTTCTGCGAAGTTTCTTAGGAGCCTTGCCACCCTTTGGGAAGGCTTGCCTCTGTCACTTCCCCCTCTCGGCGCGCCGCCGAAGATGGCATCGAGGTGAGCCAGCAGCGCACTTTGCGAGTAAAGCTGAAGCTCTGGGAGGCGAGGGGACAGGCTTCGGCATCGGCGCATCGAGTGGTAAGGAGATGGGTAGTGGAACCCATTTTGCGCCGATGCGATTTGTGGCTTGCAGCACTGGCGTTGCAAGCAGGTGTTTTGACGTTCGCCCTGCGCATGCGTTTGGTCACCAGCTGATTGACGTGTTCTGTGCGGCGGTGTCAGCGGCAGCGCGTAATGTCTAAAGCAGCACAAAGGAGACAGCATACTGTTTGAAGCAACGCTCAACCATCTTCGAGTGGCACCAGGCTTGTGATATGTTCCGACGGGCTATTACAGATTTTCATAACCAAAGCAGGTCATAGTGTTCATGCGCGGGCAAAGTACCGCCATGCTGTTTGATACTAGGGTCCGAGAATGCGCCGTGCGTGGCCTGATTTATCTGTTGTACCTATGCAGGAGGTTTGTTTTTCACCACAGACTGCGACGACGTGCCAGTCACGCGGATGGCGTCGTCCATGATGCTCTGATTCGGTTCCCGGTGCCTCGAGGAACGAGTCTGAAACAGGGGTCGTTCTCATTGATTTCATGGCTCTTCCCTCTTGCCCTCAAGGGGGGTCCAACGAAGGAGCGCTGCGTCTGCAGCGGCCGCCCCGGCCCGAGGGCCGACCACGAGCACGTCCCGAACTACAAGGTGCTGCAGGCCGCCTTCGACAAGAACGGCATCGAGAAGCACATCGAGGTGGAGAAGCTGACGCGCGGCAAGTACCAGGACGGCCCGAAGGGGCGCGAGCGGCGCGGGGGCGGCACGGCTCTCCTGCCCCGCCCCCGTCGATCCTTCTCCTGCCTCCGCTGCCTCCCCCCTCCCTCACCCCCACGGGGTTGATACACCCTGCGAAATGCTCAAGAAATCATGGGTTAAGAAATTCATAGTCTCAGAATTGGAATAAAAACCCAAAGTTTCTATTAATTTTTAGGATTTACATTGAAACAGTAAGAAGACTCGAGACTCTGGCCGAAAACTTCAGTTTTCTTAAGCATCGCCTAAGGTGTACAGTCGGCCAGGAGTAGTAGGTCGACCCTGCCAGCTCAAGGGTACCCTTGTGTTCTGTGCCTCGCGACACGTGCCTGCTAACACTCCTATGGCGACGTGGCCCTCGGAGGGGTCTTGTGTCCTCTCGAGAGTCCTGTCCAATCAAGGCCGACTGTAGGATCGGACTGCACAACTCAACCGGCATAGTAAGGATGAGCGACTCTCCAAGGTCACCCTTGCATCCTTCCCCTTCGGCCCATCCTGGGCCGCTTTCGCTGGTCGCGCCCCGCCCGCAAAGGGTCGACATGGCCTTCCGAGGCCCTTGCATCCTTACCGCGCATCCTTCCTGTACGGGCCGACTGTAGGATCGGACTGCACGGATCTGGCGACGGACACGCAACACGCTGTGCACATGCTTGCCGGCACGCGGCCCCCCCTCGTCGAGGACGCAGCTCCCCCCAGTCCGGTGCCCTCGCTGCGCGCCGGCGACGTGCGGTGCATTCTTTGGTGGCCAAGGGAAGGGGAGCGGGAGGAACGAGGTGGCCTCCTCCCTCCTCCTCCTCCTCCTCCTCCTCCTCCTTCTCCTCCCTCCTCCTCCCTCCTCCTCATCCTCCTCCTCCTCCGCCTCCGCCTCCTCCTCCTCCTCCTCCTCCTCTCCTCTTCTCCTCCTCTCCTCCTCTCTCCTCCTCCTCCGCCTTCTCCTCCTCCTCCTCCTCTTCTCCTCCTCCTCCTCCTCCTCCGCCTTCTCCTCCTCCTCCTCCTCCTCCTCCTCCTCATCCTCCTCCTCCTCCTCCTCCTCCTCCTCCTCCTCCTCCTCCTCCCCCTCTCTGGTGGTCGAGTGATGGGCAGCAAGGGCAGAGCGAGGGCATCTCTTGACCCGTCGTGGGGACCAGCAGGGCCAGCCTGTCCTGGCCGTCTGTGATCTTGGCCGTCTCGGGGGCAATCGTGGGCCCTCTTGTGGGCCATCTTGGACAGTTTGCGCGCGATCTTGTGGCACTCTCGAGGGCCTCGTGCGCTGTCGTCGGGCCATCTTCAAGACCTTCCTGAACCATCTGAGGTTAATAAAAGGCTCTTTCGACATCCGATGTGTTGCGGACGTATCGTGCGAGAGCCCCAGTGTTGGAACACACACAGAGTAGCATTCGCGAGCTCACTCAACATTTCCATGCTCCGACCATGTCTACAGCGCGATTTTCACGTGCAAAAAATGACGATCGTAAGCCATATCTTCCAGCATCTCCGTGATATGAGGATGTCTCAGGCGAAACGCCTGGGCCCTCTTGGGGCCTCATCGGGCTTCTTGGGGGCCTCTTGGAGGCCTGCCGGCGGTCTCGGGGGTCATCTTGGGGGGGAAGGGCTCGACATGTCACTTCGTTCCCTCTCTCGGGCCCCTCTTGGGCTGCTTTAAAGGGCCTCTCGGGCCGTCTTGGCGCCCTCTTGGGCCGTCTTGGGACCCTCTTGTGGGCCTCGTGGGGCCGTCTTGGGGCGATCTTGGAGGTCCTCTTGGTTGGAGCGTCGGAAGCCCGAAAAGGTGAACATGCGGCATACTCATAAACCCGAAGAGCCAAGGGAAAGAGTTCACGATTCTCTACAGCAGAAACAGATGTCTGGGACGAGCGCAAGCTGACACCGACCGTGGTGTTCAAAGTTCTTTGCTCCAAATTACTGTGGCGAGGCATCAAGGACAAGTGCGGTTCCAGACTCGTCTCAGGACGGTTCGACAATTTTTGGTCCTCGGTGAACGTCTTTCGACCGTCTCCCGCGGCATTTCTGGTCAAGATGCGGGCACCCGGACACCACGACTACATGTCTGTGGGCTTGGCAGGAATGCCAACCGGGTTTCCAGAGGACTTTGTGTCTTTGCGGCCCTCTTGGATGGATGGCAGGGCGGCAGAGGCATTCAGACGTGCGATCATGCACCGTTACACATTCTCCCCATTCCCTGCCAGGATAAGGGGGATGAGGGGGAGTTGGGCATGAGCACGGGTGTGTGCGCTATCCCCTCTGAGTGCGCAGCGTGTATCGCAAGTCTTCAGAGGGTTGCCCTCCGGCTACTCCCACGTCGAGTGGGCGTGGGTGCGAGTTACAGGATGTCTCAAGATGTTTTGAAGTTGGTCGAACGACCAGAAAGGTTCGTACATCGAAGCAAGTATAGTCGCCCGCAAGTATAGTCGCCCGCAAGTATGTCGTTGTATGTAGTACACACCTTGGGGGACAGATGGTGAGAAACACACACGTAGCCGTTGACCTCCGCCATCATTGTCCACGCGAGGACAACTTGGAGTTTCTGCAGTGGATGAAGGCGTTCTGGGAGCGCGAGGGCGGCATCGGGAGGGTGGACTATGACCCGGCTCAGGCGTGCAGCCTTCCCTGCAGTTCCATGCGATTGCAGCCTGGAGCCGAAACAGCGCACGATCGCAATTTATGGGGTGTTGAGTGTGTGGGGGGCAGTCTGTGTGGTGCAACCTCTGTGTGGGGTAGGGTGGTGAGCGGGGGGGGGGGGAGGACGGGGCAGCAATCTGCATGTGGCAATGGAATGCAAACCGTACGGGGAAACTTGTATGGTGCAATCTATGGGATGCACTCTGTGTGGGGTGCGATCTCTGTGGTGCAAGTCACCCACCGCCCGACATCCGCGCGTGACCCCCACCCATGCTCGTGCAAACATGCCACCAACCCACCCGGGACCCGTTGACAACCCTAATTGGACCATGGTCTCAGCGAGCGCACGGGCGTGTGGAGCCCAATCGCGCAGACGTCCTGCAGGACGCGACGTGGCGATGCCGAGCTGGCGACGGCGGTGGCAGAGGCGACAACGACGACGATGATGATGATGTTCACGACGACGGTGGGGACGATGTTGACGACGATAAAAGTGATGGTAATGAAGCTGGTGGTGGTGAAATTGACGGTGGCAACGATAACACTGGCGATGACGACAATGGTTTGGGGATGAGCATGAGGAAGCGCACGCGCGCATCATTTTGACCAGGGCGACGACAGTCGACAATGATGACGGCTGCGGTGATGATGTCTACGATGTTGATGCGCACCATGGCGATGACAGTGATGTTGGTGGCGATCGCGGTAACGAGTATGATGATGAGGATGAAGAAGCACCCGCCCGCAGACAATGTCACCTCATATTCTTGGCACGTGTGTATTGGGTAGCCACGTGGGTTTCGTGTGTGTGACCAGGTATGTGTTGAAAGCGTGAGGCACGAACGAGTTCTGCAATGATTTTGAGATGTGTGCGTACGGATAGGCGCGCTCGCGCGTATGGGCCGCCTGGTGTGGCTTGACACGGCCAGCGGGCTCGCGTCGGTTGCGGAACGTTGTCGGCGTGCGCGCGCATGGGGCCCTCATGGCCTCCTTTGACATACGGGCTGAAGCCAGAAGGCTTTCGCGCAGGCGTGTAGCGATTGCGCGCGCGAGGACTCAGGAGACCTCCTCGCGGGCAAAACCGATGGGTCCTGACCGCTTTCGGCTAGCCATAGTTTGAAATGGTTGGGACACACACGCAGTGGTTCTGAATGACTCTGGCATGCGCGCGCGGCGAGGAGCGCATCTGCCCTGCACTGATATCTGGTGCAAGGGAGTTTGTTTGTATCAAAGACGCTGACGGCGAATCACCGCCGCCCCCTGCCTTTTAGGATACACGCCGATGTGGCCAAACGCTTGGGCACAGCTTGGCCACGCTATTGGATCGTGCGTTGGGTCCCCCAGCCATTGTGAAAGCCCCTCGGGAAACACCTGGGGGAGGAAGTGGAGAATGAGGAGAGGGAGGAACAACGAGGATGAGGAGAAGGATAAATCGACCTCTTGGGAGCTTCTTGGGTCCTTCTTGAGGTCTTCTGGGAGCTTCATGTGGGCCTCTTGGAGGCCATTTGGGGGCCTCCATGGGCCTCTTGGGGGCCTTTGGGGGCTTCGTTGGGGACTCTTTGGCAGTCTCACGGCGTTCCTGACCCGTTTTACGCTTTCGGAAGCCGTCGTGGGAGCATCTCTGGGCCGTCTTTTGGCCTTTTTGGGGCGCTTCAGGATCGTCTTGAAGGCCATCTTGGACATTCTCGAGGCCTCTTGGGGTCGTCTTGGGGCCCTGTGGGGGACGTATTGGGAGCCTTGTCCGCTGTCCTGGGGCCTCTCGGGCCGTCGACCGTCGAAAGGCCGTTTTGAAGCAAATGCCCAAATCGTTCAAACATTTATAAATCCATATTTTGTGCATCTTCGGGCCTTCCTGGAGGAACTCTTGGAGGCCAGAGGTTCGAGGATGTCTCAGGCGCAGCACGCCAGTCCACCTCGCCCGCAGCATCTCGGAGCCCCGAATGGCGAGGATATCTCGAGCGGAACGGGCCAGACCACCCTGCGCTAATCTTCTCAGAGCTCAGCGTTGCAAGGATGCCTCAGGGGAAACAGACTGGAGCACCTCTCGCGCAGCATCTCGGAGCTCAGGGGTGCGAAGATGTCTCAAGCAGAACGGGCTGGACCACCTCTCGCGCGGCAGCTCGGAGCCCAGAGTTGCGAGGACGTCTGAAGCGAACCGCGCCAGACCACCCCGAGCGCGGCGCCTCGGAGCGCTGCGTTGCTAGGATGTTTCGAGCGAACCACGCTCGGCCAGCGCACGCGCGGCAGCTCGGAGCCCAGAGTGGCGAGGATGTCTCGAGCGAAAACGGGCCAGGCCACCTTTCGCGCAGCATCTGGAAGCACAGAATCGCAAGGATATATCCTGCGAAACGCGCCGGACCTCTTCGCGAGCGGCACCTCGGAACCCAGAGTTGCGAGTGTTTCTGAGGCAAAACGCGCCAGACGACCTCGCGCGTGGCAGCTCGGATCACAGAATCGCGAGGATGTCTCAGGCGAAACGAGCCAGACCACCTCTCGCGCGGCAGCCTGGAGCGTAGAGTTGCGAGGATGTCTCAGGCGAAACGCGCCCGACCACCTCGCGCGAGGCGTCTCGGAGCTTAGAACTGGGAGGATGTCTCAGGCGCAACGCCCAATCCCGGAAAGCTCAGAAACGAGAGTTGTGAGGATGTCTACGAAGCGGCCCAGACCACCACATGTTCTTGAGGATGTCTCTGCTCGCGCGCCCCTCGATCAGAACCAGGGGTGGACCTATAAGGTGTTTTGGCGATTTCGTGGGCCGTTTTCGTTTCGAATTCGTTTTGCAGCAAAGGCGAATTCAAGACAAAACGAGGAACAACGAAAACACAGCGAACACGAAAAACACTGTTTAGGTCCAGCCCTGATCAGAACCAAACAGCACCCCGTGCAGCAAGCTGTCTGGGAAATCGTGACGTCGGGGGTCGGAGTCCCTCTCTCTCTCTCTCCCCTGCCCTCGCTGGCCCGCCTCGCCCCCGTGAGAAGGCCGAGGGCGTGGGAGGAACAATTACACAGTGTTCATGTCTAAGTATTCGGAAGTTCGTTGATTGTTTTGGGGGCCAAGATCCTCTCATTTCTAAGTCTTCTGTCCCTGGCCTCTTCCTGGCCACCAGGGGGCCAAGAACAATTAGAAACGAGCAGAATTAGAATGGAGCACGATTAAAAATGGACGACGTGTACATAAGCATAAACTTTCGGAGCTCCGCGCGGATCTCCTGGTTCGGAGCCTGGGCCCTCCTAGCGGCGCCTCTCGCCTCCCCCACGCCAGGGAGGGGTCCAGCGCCGATCTTGGAATGCCGCGCGGACCTCTCAGAGTTTCTGCTCGTGCCGTTCTCCGTGCCCCTGCTCCTGAAGCGGCGAGCGACGTTCGTTCCCACACCCCCGCTGCTGCCCCCCAATCTGGACGCCAGGTGCAGCAGGGTTACAGTCGGGGCGCTGAAGAAGGAACCCTTTTTCTTTGGGAGGGGCTCAGTGCTCCTTAGTTGCTCTACAGTTCGCATTTGGGTTATCGATGGGAAATCGAAGCTTAACTTATGGAAGAAAGGGGCCTCGTTCCTTATTTGGGGTTCCTTCGGTCAACGCCCCAACTGTAAGATAAAACCCGAGAAAAAACAAAAAGGTGGCCTCGGAGGCCAGAATCACATCCACGTGCCCGCGCCGGCCCCCTCGTGGGGGTTGGGGCGCGAGAAGGGGCGCATGGATAGACTGCCCCAAGTGCAGCCGCTGCCTCCTCGCCCTGGCCGTCGCAGGCCGTCGCCTCCCCCCCCGCGGCCCCTCGGCAGGCGCGCGAGGGCAAGGCCCTGCCGCCGTGGGCGCGCCCCCTCGACGCCTCCGGAGGCGCCCGCGCCGCGGCGAGCGCGCCGGATCGCTGTGGCCCTGCGGGCGTCCTCGCCGCCGTGGCGTCGATCGGCGGCGCGCAACCTGCGACTCCCCCCCCTCCTCCTCCCCCCCCTCCTCCTCCCCCTCGTCTTCTTCCTCCCTCCTCCTCCTCCTCTTCCTCCTCCTCCTCGTCCTCCTCCTCCTCCTCCTCCTCCTCCTCTCCTCCTCCCTCCTCCTCCTCCTCCTCTTCTCCTCCTCCTCCTCCTCCTCCTCCTCCTCCTCTCCTCCTCCTCCTCCTCCTCCTCCTCCCCCTCGTCCTCCTCCTCCTCCTCCTCCTCCTCCGCCTCTTCCTTTGTGCCGGCGCGTCCTTCCAACGCTCTGCGCCGGCCCGCCTGGGACGGTCGTTGTCGCCTCAGGCGACGGCCATCCCTAAGGGGAGCGGGACGCGCAGGCTGGGGTCTATGCCTGGCGCTACCCACGTGAGGAAGACGTCGCCGGCCTCCTGGCGCCTTCTGCCGCAACCAGGCGCAGCCTGCCGCCGCCACTCCCAGGAGCGCTCCAGAGCAGCGCCCGCAGCCCCGCGGCGCGGCTGCGCCGCCGTCGCTGCGCGCCCTTCTCCCCGGCGCCCTCAGCCTCCGCCGCGGCGGCCCGGGGCCCCAGCGAGCCTTGGCCGCCATCGCCCGCGCTTGCGGCCGCCCGCGCGCGTTCCGCGCAGCTCAGCAGCGCGCCGGAGCTTCTGCGCCAGCTCGCGCTGCAGGGCGCAGCTCGGCGCCCGTTGGGCCCGCTCCTCGGACTGCGCGTCCTCGGGGAGCTCCCAGACGTGGCTTACAGGAGCAGGCCCGCGCCTCGCCACCAACGCGGTCTCCGGGCTCAACGGCGAACGCTGTGAGCCGCTCGCTGGGGTAGCGCGCGTGCGTGGCGCGATCGGCCCAGCGCGCCGCCTCGCCAGGGCGTCTCGCCGCCGCGCGCACGGCGGGCTGGTCGCCAGCCGCTGTGGGCGGCGGACGGTCACGTCCAAACACCGCCTGCCGTCGGCGTTGCCGCTCTCGACGTCAGGGATGGGCCTTTCCAGGACCGCCTCTTGTCCTGGCCGCGGCGCGCGGTCCCTATCCCAGGTGGGAACCCGCTGCAGGTAGAGCGGAGCGCAGTGGCTCCGCTTTCCTACGAGAATGCCCGGGGCGCGCGCCACTCAGCCGTGCCGCTTGACGACGCCACCGCCAGGCTGGCAGATGGCGGCGTGGAAGCCCGCGGCGTCTAGCGGCCCCTGACATGGCACGCCGTCCGCTTTCAGGTTTTGGCAGGTCGCCGCAGCTCCCGCGAGCTCGTCGGCGGCTCAATCAGGCCTCGGGAGGCGGACGCGGCTCCAGGTCGCCCGCCGTCTTCCAGTGAGTGTCCTCCAGCGTGCATGCCGGCTCTGGAGCGGTACTTCAAGTAAGCCCCGGCCCCTGGTCCCTAGGCGGAGAGCAGCGACTCCTGGCTGCAATGATGCGTTCGCTGCTTCGCAGCTATGCTACGCTACGCTAAGCCACACGCCTAAGCGCGTGGGCGAGATAGGGAAAGCAGAAGTACACCAAGGCACCGGGCATTACGTGCAATGTTTGTATAAACTTGATACTGGTAGCCGCCTTCATCATAATTGCTCGCGATGCTCTCCGCAATGATTCGCCATTCGGCGGGGTCCTGCAGGAGCGGCAACCAATTTTGCTCCGGCCCGAGATGTGCAACCAACGCCTTGTGTTTACATTTCGCAGCAGCGTGGGCTTTCTTTTTGCACCATAGCAATCAAGGTCTTCTGCTTGGTCGGGTGGCCCAGCACGGCCTCGAGGGAGGCGGCCGGCTCGGGGTCGGCGCCCTCGCCTGCGTCCGCGCCGCCCAAGACGCCCCCGCGCGCCGAATGGACGCCCACTGCGCGCGCAGTCCGCACGCCTCCAGGCCGAGCGACCGTCGCAGCAGGCTTTCCCGGCAGCCCCGCAGTGCGGCGTCGTGGAGGGAGGTTTCGTCGTCCGAGGCCAGGGCCAGCTGCAGGTGGCGCTGGCTGACATGCAGGCGTAAGTGTTGAACAGCGCCGTCGCCGCCGCCTGCCGCGTGAGCTCTCCTTGCAGCAGCGGCTCCAGGCTGGCCCAGAGCTTCCCAGGGCGCGCCGTGGCCCCGTCGAGCCTGCCCCCCTGCCCGCCGAGCGGGATCGCCTCCCCGCAGGCGTCTCCTGGCGTCCTGAGCTGCGCGCCGAGGATAGGCGGCACGGCCACGTAGCTGCTGGAGAGCTCTGCCTGGACAGCCCGGACTCCCGCTGGCGACCAGACCAGATCAGCGTTTTGCCGTCGTTGAGCGCCAGCCCCAGGGGCGCGAGCACCTCGCGCAAGCCCGCCAGCGCCGAGGCGCCGAGGTCTGCCCGTTCCGCCAAGCAGGAGCCGTCGTGGTCGCCCAGGCCCAGCTGCTGCAGCAGGTGGAGGAGCAGCTCCAGGGCGCAGCGCTGCCGAATGGCAGAGCTCGCAGGGGACAAGGGGTTGCCCTGGTTGAGCCCGCGCCTGCTCCGGACCGTTTCGAGGCGCCTGCCGGCCGTGCGTCGGTGGTGCTCCGTTGGCTCCAAATACGGCAGACCCGCGAGGCCGCCGCCACCTCGGTCGGGGACGGCTTCGCCCATGGCCTCGAAAGCAGATTTGACATCCACTAACAGGAATGTCGCGCCGGGGCGGGCTCCCGCAAAGGCCTGCAGTCTTTTTGCCAGCACGGTCGCGCCGCAGTTGCGTCCAACGCCGTACTGGTTCTTCCTGGCCGCTCCATCTAACTGGGTCTTCCGCGCCCGCGATAGCGCGCGCAGCCCCAGGAAGGGAGGCTCCCACCAGCAGAGCCTCACCTCCCCAGCGCCCTCTGCGCAGGCAGCGCCAGTCTCCCGCGGCAGCGCCCCAAAGGCGACCCTCGCGGCAGCCCCGGCGAGCAACCGCGCAGTTTCGCCGTCCTGGCGGTCGCCCCCAGGTGCTCGAGCTGCGTCCCCAGCAGGCCCGGGGCCGCCAGCCGAGGAGGGCGCCGCAGCAATGTGCGCACCTCCTCCTCCTCCTCCTCCTCCTCATCCTCCTCCTCCTCCTCCTCCTCCTCCTCCTCCTCCTCCTTACCCTCCTCCTCCTCCTCCTCCTCCTCCTCCTAGGGCCTCAAGGCGGAAGAAGCGAGGGGGGGGGCAGGCCTTTGTCGGGTTCGAGGTTCGAGATCTTCGGGCGTTTTCGTAAGCTCTCGGCGGCTTTCGTGGTGCTCTCCAGCAGTTGCGCCTGGCCTAGTGAGCTCCAGGGGCGCCCGGATCGTCCCGAATGACGAGTTATGACCCGAACAGGCGGAGCGCCGGGGCAGACCTTCTCGGAAAAAAGTAGTTGGGATTCTCACAAGTCGTCCAGCGTCTGAGAAGCTCAGGGATCCCTCTGTCTTCTCACAAGCTGTGCGGCCTTGGGTTTCGGAGAAGGCGCAGAGGAGGGCTGGAGGCCTTCTGAGAAGGCCCGTCCCCTCTGACATTTGCTGTCCTTCCGAGCGACCCCCTGCGAACGGATCGGGCAGGAGGAGGAGCAGGAGGAGCAGGAGGAGGAGGAGAGTAGGAGGAGGAGGAGCAGGAGGAGGAGGAGGAGGGGAAGGAGGAGGAGGAGGAGGAGGAGGAGGAGAGGAGGGAGGAGGAGGGAGGAGGAGGAGGAGGAGGAGGATGAGGAGGAGGAGGAGGAGGAGGAGGAGGAGGAGGAGCAGGAGGTCAAGAACCTTCGGTTCAGCCCACCGCGCCCACCGCGCCGCGCCCTCGGGCTTCATTCCCAGCGTTCCCACGGTATCCCAGGCGCTCCCAGGCGCTCCCAGGCGCTCGCAGGCGCTCCCAGGCGCTCCCAGGCGCTCCCAGGCGCTCCCAGGCGCTCCCAGGGGCTCCCAGGCGCTCCCAGGCGCTCCCAGGCGCTCCCAGGCGCTCCCAGGCGCTCCCATGCGTTCCCAGGGGCTCCCAGGCTCCGCCCGGCGGCGCTCCCAGGCGCTCCCCGGCGACACGCTATCCACTTCCCAGTCCCCTGGCGTCCACGTCCCGAGCCGTTCCGAGCCTCTCGCCCCGCGGAGCGGAGCGACGCGCAGTCCGCTCGCATGGCATAGCGTGTCGCGGGAAGACCTCAGGCACCGAGCACGGGTGCATTGGAAGGCGAGCGACGAGTGCGAGTTGCCGCAGGAGGAGGCAGCGTGGGTCTCACCGGAGGTGGCCTAGTGAGGAGGAGAAGGAGGAGGAGGAGGAGGAGGAGCGTCCATGGAACGACATGAAGCGCCACGGCGCGAAGCTCTCGGGAAGGCTCTGGAACGGCTGCGACGCCCGATGTCGCAGGCGATGCCTCGCCTTCCATACAAGAGTCCCCCCCCCTGAGAATTGGCTGCTCAGAAAACCAAAGCATCGGGGACACACCCCCGCGAGGCTGTCTGGGCGCACCCCTGTCGAGGACCAGGGCGCCCTGGGCGCCCCCCGCCGCAGATCCCCGAGCCTGGCATCACCCGTTGTTGGGTCCCAGGCGAAGGGCCCCCAAGGGAGTCGGGGGTACGGCTCCGCACGTGCCCCCCGCTGCGACGCCTCCTCCTCCGGCCCCGCGGGCTCGCAGGGACGCCGAAGGCATCGGGCCCCGGCGCTGCCGCCCTCCTGCCGCCGCCGCACCGGGGGCGGCCACGAGGAGGGTGGCGACTTCGGGGGGAGGGGGGGAGGTACAGTCGGCCTTAGATTAGAAGGTCGGCTCTGCCAAGTCAAGGGTACCCTTGCGCCCTGTGTCTCGCGACCCATGATTCCTACATTCCTGTGGCAAGGGGGCCCTCGGAAGGCTCTCGTGTCCTCTCGCGTGCCCTGTCCAATCGAGTCCGACGGTAGATCCTGGCCGGGGCCAGTAGTGTGGGGGGGGGGGTCAGGCCATGAGATCTCCCCGAACTTCATGGCCCCTCGTTCTTGCCTTCACGCCTTTCCTGGCCCCCCCTCGTCCGAGCACGTGCCTCGGGCCGTGCTCTGCGAACCCCCCTCCCCCCTCCTGGGCGCCCCTGATCTCAGGTCTGGACGTAGGACGTACCCCCCTATAGTTAGGTCGGGCCTGTCCCTCCACAGGGGGGATATTCAGAAATGGCCAAACATAGTCCAGGAGCTATGTTTCGAGTACTTTTGGACATCTTCTGTTGAGTATGTTTGAAGCGTGTTTTATTTTTCGCCCAGCATCCCCCTGCAGGGGGACAGGCCCGACCTGACCTTCTAGATGTCTTTCTGCCCGCGCGCGCCGCTCCTCGAGTGTGCTGCCGGAGCAGCGCGCGCGCCCCTCTGGCCAGCCAGGCGCCCCTGCCGCAGAGCGCCGGGTCAACAAGGAGAACCTGAGACCCAGCCGGGGCCCCAGCGCCGCCGGCGGCGCAGGGGGGGTCGAGGAGCAGAGAGCCCGGGGAGCACGGAGCTGGTGGAAGTCTGCGTGGCTGCACGTCGGTTTCGGCCTCGCGCAGAGGATATATGATCCCGAGCTCCGGGCCCACGGACCCCCCCCCCAGATGGTATGGTCCCAGGATTCCTCGGGCCCCCCCCCAGATGGTATGGTCCCAGAGACGACGACGACGACGACGACGGCGACGACTACGACGACGACGACGACCACGACGACGACGACGGCTGCGGCGGCGACGCCGCCGGCGGCGACGGCGGCGACGACGACGATGACGACGATGACGACGGCGACGACGACGATGACGACGAGGGCGACGAGGACGACGAGGACGACGAGGACGACGAGGACGACGAGGACGACGGCGACGACGACGACGACGACGACGACCTCTGAACCACCACAGCACCACACCACATCCACAGGGGGGGGGGAGGGGGGCACCGCAGCGCAGCACCACGCCACGCCCACCTCTGAACCACCACAGCACCACACCACATCCACAGGGGGGGGGAGGGGAGCACCGCAGCGCAGCACCACGCCACGCCCACAGGGGGGGGCGGGGGGGACCATCGCGCGGGGGGGGGGGGCCAATGGCATCAGCATGGGGGGGAGGGGGGGCCAAGCCCTGGACCATTGGGGGGGAGGGGGGGGGGCCCAAGCCCTGGACCATATATAGGGCAGGGGGGGCGGCTTCTTGGAAGCAACCCCTGCTTCTCAGAAGGCGCAGGCCTTAACTGCGGATGTAGGGCCGGCGCCTTCTAAGAAGCAGCCTTCCCCCTCCCCTGCGCCCCTTGCGCGCGCCGCCAAAGGGGGAGGGGGAGCCATCGCCGAGCCAAGAAGTCCGCGCGGACCTCCGACGAGGGCCGTGGTTCGATCGAGTCCATTGAGGACAACCCAGTCGAGCCTCAACGCAGTGGCATGCGACATTGCCAGGGACTTCCCGCCAGAGTCCCAACGAAAGGCCAGGTCTTGAATCGGAAACGATCGTTGCAGCGCTTCAGCGTCATGCGGGACGTCTCGCCGGTCCATACTCATTGGGCTTCCTCCGGTCGCCACGCCCAAGCGGCAAAGCTTTACGGGTGCATCTGCCAGGGGGAAACAGTTCTCCATCCTGGAGCCAGGTAGGTTTGGGCGGGGACTGGCAGCTAACACGAGTCACTCAGGGGTTGGGGTGAAAGTCGTTTTGGTTGCAAGTTCACTGACAGCACACCTATGAGAATGTTACGCGGGACCCTCTGTAGGTGAAGGTATTCCTGCGCTGCCCTGTCAAGAAAGCGGGCATCCTCGCCGTGCACTTGAAGCGCTTCTTGATTCGACAAGGGGTGGTCGAATCACATTGCGGCTCTGGAGGGTTAGCTCTGTATTGTATTGGAGGGGCTGCTACTCGAAGTGTAAGGCACTGCGCCTGATCCGGGTGCCGAATGACGATCGCAGTTGCCCACACAGCTGCCCCTGATGAAGGCTGTCGGCCATCGCCATAGCTGGTCACCGGCGATCCCCGTCGCCACCGCTGCTTAGCCCGCTCACCGTTGCTGTGGTCGCCGCAGCCTGCATTGGAGTTGTACACAAATTGCACATGTAGCCTTAAGTCGGGCCTGTCCCCGAACAGAAGGAATAGTTAAAAATAGTCCAAACATATTCTGGAGACAATGTTTGGGAGCTTTTTTTGAATATGCTTGAATATTTGCTGGGTATGTTTTAAAATTTGTCGTCCAACATCCGCCTGCAGGGGGACACGCCCGATCTGAATGTAGCCAGATACGTAGCGAATGAGGGCGTGCATACGTTCAGTTGAATATACACGTCCGTGCCCCGGCACGCATCCGATAGATTCGACTTGCATAGGTGTGTCCACATGCATGTCAGTAGTGCGCGTGCGTGGTTGGTCCACTGAGCTTTTGTCGCTCATGGCAAACAGTCAAATCTGATGGGCCTGTTTTCCACCACCACCACCACAAGTTGGAGGGGGAGGGGGTCCTCCTCCTCCTCCTCCTCCTCCTCCTCCTCCTCCTCCTCCTCCTCCTGCTCCTCTTCGTCCTCCTCCTCCTCCTCATCCTCTTCCTCCTCCTCCTCCTTCCCCCCTCCAATTTATGGTGGTGGGGGTGGAAAACAGGCCCATCACAATCCCCAGAAATATGGTGTCTGGCGACGACGGCGTCTCGTTAGGAGAGCTACAGTTGTCTGGCACAGGGCACAGCAGCATGGAGGTAGACTCGATCGACGCACGTTTCCGACAGGCCTCCCCAAGCCAGGGTGAGCCGACCCTTTGAGCCGACCTTTGGCCTGGATGGTATGATTAGTTGGCCTATACTTCACGTGATCGAGGAATCGATGGTGGGGTGGCGTCCATTGTGTCCTGCGCGCCAGGCCGGCTGCAAGCCGTTGACAATGCCATGGCCATGCTGGCCTTTAGCCACGCTGCCAATTCAGGGGGTTCATGCGCACTTGACGCGGTGCTGCAGATTGATGATGGCGGTGATGCTGACGTTGGGCTTCCGACCACCTGCTGGACTTCAGAGAGAGGAGGTGAGGGGAATAGTGTGGAGGGGGAGGAGGAGGAGGAGGAGGAGGAGGAGGAGGAGGAGGAGGAGGAGGAGGAGGAGGAGGAAAAGGAGGAGAAAAGGGAGGAGGAAAGGGAGGAGGAGGAGGAGGAGGAGGAGGAGGAGGAGGAGGAGGAGCGACGAGCGACGAGCGACGAGCGACGAGCGTGGGGGAAGCGGGAAGCCCAACGAGGAGGAGGAGGAGAAGCAGCAGCATCAGCAGAAGCAGAAGCAGTAGGAAGATCTGCGCGCCCGCCCGCCCCAGATTCACGACGTCTCGACCTCTTCGAAACGCCATCCCCACAGCTCTCGGCCCCCGCCCCCCCGGAGGATCTGGCCCTTCCCGCCCGAGCCGTGGCCCTCGGGTCGGGCGTTGCTCGAGTAGGTGTCCTGGGGCCAGGGTGTCCCCAGCTTTTCGCTTCCTCTTGGTGCCCCTTGGGCCCCCTGGGGGCCTCGTGAGGGGTGCTCCTGGAGGCCACGGCGGCCTCCCCTGACGGTCGTCCATCCGACGACGCGGAGAAGTTGCAGCTCCGTCACAAGTCACGGCCCTGGCCTTAGACCAGGCCCCTGCTACATGTTTCGAGCCAGACCAGTCTGGCGCCGACCTTTTTGCCCGCGTAGCAGGATGCCTGTATCGGAGCGGCGGTCCTGGCCAGCACGGGGGCGCACCGGCCCCGCCGGGCTCCCGAGGCTCCCGCAGGGGGCCACACAGCCTGCCCGCGCACGCTGGCGTGCGTGACCGCCGAGAGCTGGCCACGCCACGACATGGACGCGGCCACACGGTGACGGCTCCCGGGGCGCGCACACGGGTGAGGTGACCAGAATTGCAACGCCTTCGCAGGGCACCGGCCGACAAGAATTGCAACGCCCTCGCAAGGCACCGGGGAGGCCAGATGTATACGCGGATTGGCCGGCCCGGGCGAGAGTCCGATACCGCAGCGGCGCGGATAGCCACGCCGCGGTCGAAGGCACAGCCGAGGCTTCAAAGTGGGCACGGCAGCAGGAGAGAGGCACGGGCGCGAGCGGGAGGGGGGGGGGAAGCCGAAGACACCGCCGCGTGCCCTTCCAGCGCCGTGGGCCCTCGCGTGGCCAGAGGCACGGTGAGCCTGCACGTGGTGCACCCAGCGAGGGGGGCCTCTGGGTGTTTCTCACGCGTGGGTGGAGCCTCTCGCCGGTTTTGTCCAGCCTCCCGGCATAGGACTGTGGGAGGTTACTCTCGGCGCTGTCAGTTCTGTCGCCGAGCGCGTTCCACGACTCGCAAAGTGCCTACTCGCAAAAATCCGAACAGCACAGGTGTGCTCTGGTGTAATTTATTGTAGATCCCCCGCGGGGGATCCGGGCCATCTTGCGAGAAGTTCCTTTGCGAGCAGTGGAACGCGCTCGTCGAGTCCTGGTCGCTCTCGCTCGCCAGGGGTCCGCCCGTCTCGCCGGCGCCCTGCCCACCGCGCGGTGTGCGGTCTACGGAGGCCTCCACAGGGGCCCCCGACGTCGCGGCCTTCCCCATGGAGGCTCTCCCCCGGGCCTCCGGGGGGCCCTGGCAAGGGAGATCGTGCTGTGCACCAGGCGCCTGCAGTACTGTCGGGCCGAGGTGTAAGATCGAGGTGACCTCGATCTGACACCTCGATCGGACACCTCGATCGAGGTGTAGATCGAGGTATCCTCCTCGAACCGTCCTCGACGAGGTCGGTTCGGGGAGGGTGCCCCATGATGCTCTCCGTGTTTGTTGGCTGCTCCTGTGCATTCCGGGAGGCTGTGCATATCCGAGGGTGCAGTCGAGCATTCTCGGATGATGTTCTTCTGCCCCAGGTCCGGCCGTAATCAAGGAATTGGCCTGTCAACGGGCGCCCCACGATAGGGTGTCTTGTCTCCCGGTGTAGGGCCTCAGAGCCCTTGGGCACCTCACGAAGTTCAGCGTCGACGAAGGGTGTGCCTGGAGCAAGAGCTCGTATTGTATGTGCCTGCTGTACCCTCCCCAGACATGCGACGTCCTGATTTTTCAGGACGACGTCCCCGCAAATGCCGACCCTGTCCCCAGGACCGGTTTTTCGTCCTGAGTCGTTCTGTTGACGGTCCCGAGGCCCAGCGAGGGCCCCCGAAGGCCGAAACTAGCGGAAAACCTCCCGTCTTGAAGTTTGTACGACGCCATCATGTCTGGGTCTTCGACGAGACGACGACGACGACGACGACGACGACGACGACGACGACGACGACGACGACGACGACGACGACGACGACGACGACGACGGCGACGACGACGACGACGACGACGACGACGACGACGACGACGACGACGACGACGACGACGACGACGACGACGGCGCGCGCACGCGCGCCGAGCCGCCGAAGGCACGGCAGGCCGAGAGGCTGCCAGCAAGAAGCCTGCGGCCACCGCGGTCGCGAAGACCCCGAGGCGCCGTGGGCCCCCGGGCAGCCCGGCAGCCACTGCGGCGGGGGGCTGCTGGCACGTTGCGTCCTCGCGGCGACATGCACCGGGCCCCTCCCCAGAGATCCAGCGCATTGTTTTCGACCACCACCACCATCAGTTGGAGGGAGGAGGAGGTCCTCCTCCTCCTCCTCCTCCTCCTCCTCCTCCTCCTCTTCGTCCTTCCCTTCGTCCTCCTCCTCCTGGTCCTCCACCTCCTTCCCCCTCCAGCCTATGGTGATGGTGGTGGAAAGCAGTTCCATCAGATCCAGCGCCGATATCCCAGGAATCCGCGCCGGCCGGGCCCTCTCCTTCTGAAGGGCTGCTATGCGGGTGGAGTCGAGACCTCAGGAAGTCCACGTTGCGAGAGGTCACGGCGTCGCGGGTCTGGCAGGGGGGTGGGAGGGGGTGGGGCAGGGGCGTGCGAAGACTGGTGCGCGCAGCTGGCTTCGGCCCCACCCTGGACTCCAACCCCTCGAGTAGGACATCGACTGCAGAGCTGTGTTATCCCAAGACTCAAATGCTCGTCGAATCTCAAAAGATACAGTTGCTTTTATCGCATTTCTTTTTATAATATACGTATGATTTGTCGACTCGGCGAAAAAAAACAAGCCTGGGGCAAACCGATTTTGTCATCGATCTACTCGAACCCCGACACGCCGTCGCTCCCGGCACCTCCAGGCGCCCGAGCAATCGAGAGCCTTGCGACGGGGGTCAGTGCAAACGGGAGTGAGTCAGAGCTCCGGCTCGTGCCAGATCCAGCAGAGCCAGGGGTGCATTGAGCCAGGCTTGGGTGGAGGATCTTGAAGCCTGACTGACCCGGGTTTGGCTTGACCCTGGTTAGTAGATCTTCGGAGCCAGACAGTTGCATGGAGGGCTGCAAGACGTTCGGCGCTCGGTTTTGTGGCGCCTCGTGGACTGGCCACCCTCGGACGGGCGCCGCTCTCCAGGAGCGGAGGAGGAGGGGGGGAGGAGGAGGAGGAGGAGGAGGAGAGGAGGAGGAGGAGGAGGAGGAGGAGGAGGAGGAGGAGGAGGAGGAGGAGGAGGAGGAGAGGAGAGCGAGAAGGATGAGGAGGGAGGAGAGAGGAGGAGGAGAAGGAGGAGGGGGAGCGAGAAGGATGAGGGAGGGAGGAGGAGGAGGAGGAGGAGGAGGAGGAGGAGGAGGAGGAGGAGGAGGGGGAACGAGAAGGATGAGCGAGGAGGAGGATCGAGGAGGAGTAGGAGTATCATGCTGGACCATGCTGACCGAACTTCCGAGGCCGCGAAGCACTCGCAACGGTAGCGATGAAAACTTCCCCTACCCCAGGCCGTCCCTGGGCGAGAAGGTTCGGCTGTGCTCTGGAATTGCAGCTGATGACGCGCAGTCCAGCTAATTTTTCCCCAGGCCGTTTCTCTCACGTGGCGGCGAGGGCCCAGGAGCCTGCTTTTTTTTAGTCTGGGCGATAACGCTCGTGATCGCCCCCGCCCCTCCCCCCCCTGATCACGTCACGCTGTTTCCCCCACATGTCTCAAGGAATCTTCCAGGGTTTCAAGAGAATTTCAAGGATTTCCCAGGAATTCGTCGACGTCGCTGTTGTCCGCGACCGGGAGGTGTAGGAGGATGAGGAGGAGGAGGAGGACACCAGATGCTTTCGAGGGCCCGTTCGAGGGATTTGTTTAGGGGATGTCTCGAGCGAGACGCAGATTCTTAAGCGAAACGCTTGGACCATCTTGGAGGTCATCCGAGATCGCTACGAAAAGGTGCCTTACAAGAGCGATTGGCGCATCTCATTTTTTCGAGGATGTCTCAGGCGAATGGCTCATTTTTGGAGGTCCGCGAATTAGGCCGACGATTTCAACATCCCCAGCTTCCGAGGGAGTCTCAGACGAAACGCCCATTTTAGCAACACACTTCTTAAGATACGACCCCCAACTTCACGATTTGGCGAGGAAGTCTCAGGCGAAACGATCGTTTTTCAAACCTTTCCTGCCATGAACGGGAAGCGCGTGAAAGGGAAGACTTGCGCAAGAACTTGCAGCATCATCGCGATCAACCTGGAAGACGACAAATGGGGAAGAGTTGCGCAGAACGGCGAAGACGACGACCAGGGAAGAGGGGAGAGGGGGAGGAGGAGGAGGAGGAGGAGGAGGAGGAGGAGGAGGAGGAGGAGGAGGAGGAGGAGGAGGAGGAGGAGGCGGAGGACGAGGACGAGGACGAGGAGGAGGAGGAGGAGGAGGAGGAGGAGGCGGAGGACGAGGACGAGAGAGGACGAGGAGGAGGAGGAGGAGGAGGAGGAGGAGGAGAGGAGGAGGAGGAGGAGGAGGGGGAGGGGGAGGAGGAGGAGGAGGAGGAGGAGGAGAGGAGAGGAGGAGGAGGAGGAGGAGGAGGGAGAATTGGGGAGGAGGAGGAGGAGGAGGAGGAGGAGGAGAAGGAGCAGCAGCAGCAGCAGCAGGATCTCAAGATGTTCCCAGAAAATACTCAATCCCCTCTTCCTCCTCTGCTCCCTCTCCCTTTTCCTTGTCTTCCTCCTCCCGAGGGCCCAGGGGTTCGAAAAAGGATCCGCCAGGCAGAAACCTGCGGTGATGTGATCGGTCCCCCCCAGATCACGCCTGTTATCGCGGGTAATAATAATAAGAATATTAAGAATATTAATAATAATAATACTAATACTCATGCTACTTCTAATAATAACGCGAATAATGATGATAATAATAATAATAATAATAACACTAATTAGTATTATTACTTTTATTATTGGTATTATTATTATTATTTTAATATTATTAATATTATTATTTTAGTATTATTATTATTAATAATAATATTATTATTTGTGTTGGTATTATTATTGTTATTATTATCATTACTATTTATATTATTATTCTCATTCGTATTATTATTATCATTATTATTATTAGTATTCTTAGTGTTATTATTTTATTATTATTATTATTATTATTACTATTATTACTATTATTATTAGTATTAGTACTATTTTTTTTATTATTATTATTATTATTATTTCCTCTTCCTATAGTTCTACAATCCCAGGCCGGGGAAAACCCGTCACCCCCCCCCCGTTACCCCTCTGGGGCTTTGGGACTCTCCAGACGGGCCTCGAAGCGCCCCCCCGGGCATCGCAGGGCGTTTTGCCAAGCCTTCCCAGCACACCTAGGGCGATCAGGTGGGTCATCGGAGACGTCCCAGAGACCCCCAAGACAGCAAGACAGCGCAAGAGCGCTCCAAGAGTGACGGCATGACCTCAAGATGGCCCAAGAGGCTTCCAGGACGGCCCCAAGAGGCCTCCAAGAGCACTCCCAAGAAGGTCCCAAGAGGCAAAAATCATTGATTTTCTGTTGGTTTTTGGTGAATTTGGGGGTTCTCCTCTTTTCGGCTTCCCGACGCTCCAAGACGGCGGTCTTCTGGGCGTCCGAAGCCGCCTGGGAGGCTCCAAAATCGCCCCACAACCATCTGAAAGGGCTTCCAGGCAGTCCAAGAGAGCCCCAAAACGGCACAACACGGGTCCAAGATGGCCCTCAGAGAGCCCCATGGCGGCCCAAGATGGTCCCCAGACGCCCTCCGAAGCAGTCCAAATCGTGACCCAGTCGTTCAGGGAGACCGCAGTTGGAGGCAGGGTGGCCCGAGGAAGCCCCCAGAGTCCCACAGAATACGCCAAGGAGGCCTCCAGAAGGCCTTAAGAAAGTTTGAAACAACTTTTGTGAGGCCCCCAGAGGCTCTCCAAGGAGGAGCCTCCACAAGAAAGAGCTGAGGAGGATGGGGAGAATGCGCAGGGCATGGTGAAAATCAGGAAAAAGAAGCGTGGAGGAAGGATAACGAACAACATTATTATATAGCGGCGATTCCGGAAAAGGCAACAAGGAGTTATCGCTAAATTGTCGGCTTGACCTTCCTGCTATTCTGCATGCATGCCAAATTTCAAGGACCTGGCGCGAAGCGCCATTGCAGTCTTGTGTATCTATATACACATACATATATGTATATGTATATATATATATATATATATATATATAAAGGCTCCAGCCGTGGCGACGAAGAGAGACGAGGGGGGGGATGGGCCACCCCCAGGTGGTTGGCCCATCTTTCGAGCCACGTCCTTCGGCAGCATAGCTCTCGGCGGCGGCCTGCTGAGTGCACTGGCGCACGCCGCCGCCTGCTGCCCTCCGTGGGAAAATTCGCAATTTCGCACGAGCTGACCCCAGCGGTGTAGCTGATTGCGTTTGCACATGCACTTGCGTCTGCACGCAGTGCCAGCTTCGCTGCCACTGCTTGTTCTTCTCACATTGCCAGCTCCCGCTGCCACTGCCTGCCCTCCTCGCACAGGGTGACCCCAGCAGCATTGTGACTGATAAGGTGTTCTTGCTGCGCCGGCGGGCACAGACAACCACAGATGCCACTGCTTGCCTTTTCGCACCGACAGCCATTGCTGCCACAGCCTGCTTTCTTGCACTGCCAGTCCCTGCTGCCACTGCTCTTCTCGCACAAGCTGACCCCAGCAGCGTTCTAGCTGATGAAGTGTTCTTGCCTCGCGGTTTGGCCCGGCAATTGTTACTACCACTGCCTGCCTTCTCGAACCGACCGCCCTCGCAGCCATTGCCTGCCTTCTCGCATGAGCTGACGTTCGCTGCAAATAGCTGACGAATTGCTCCTGCTGGCCACTGGCACCGACAGCCGCTGCTGCCACTGCCCGCTTGATCGCATCGACAGGCCATGCTGCCACTGCCGGCCCTTTCGCACGAGCTGACCCCTTTGCAATGTAGCTGAAGATGTGGCTCCTGCTGGCCGTTCGGAACCGACAACCGCTTCTGCCACTGCCCGCCTTCTCGCACCGACAGACCATGCTGCCATTGCCTGCCTTCTCGCACGAACTGACCACCGCTGCAATGTAGCTGAAGATAGTGTCCCTGCGTTGCTAATTTCTCGCATTCTCGCGTGGACAGTCCCTGCTGCCACTGCCTGATTTCTCGCACTACGCCCTCGGGGTCTCCCACACGAACTGGCCCCAACACTCAGGCTGATGCCGTTGGCTCGCACGTTCTCGCCGTACGGACCGCTCCTAGCACTGTAGCTGATGACGCTGCTGATCATGGCTGGCCCCTGCTCGCCTGCCTTCGCACGCACCACTCCCAACATTGTAGCTGTTGCGGTGCTGCCCTAGCTTTCTGATGCTTGCCTGCACTTTGGCAGCGGCGCCGCAACTGGCGCCACTGCACGCCACGAGGTGGAGGAGGGACGGGAGGATGAGGAGTGATATGAGGAAAGGACGGAGTGTGCCACGTCTCCTGGCTGGTGCGCACGCGCCTGATCTCAGCATTGTAGCTGATGGCGTGGGGCGCTACGCTTCTTGATGTCGGCTCTCGCGGGCAGGGCCATTTCGAAGTTGGCCCGCGAAACACCTTTGCGCGCCCCGTGAAGGGAGGGGGCGCTCAGGCGCGAAATGGTTGAGGAGGAGGAGGAGGAGGGGAAGGAGGATGAGGAGGAGGAGGAGGAGGAGGAGAACAAGGAGGAGGAGGATGAGGAGAAGGAGGAAAAGGAGGAGGGGGAGGAGAAAAAGAAGGAGGAGGAGGGGCAGGAGGAGCATTTGGAGCAGGAGGAGGAGGAGCAGGAGGTGGAGGAGGAAGAGGAGGAGGCAGAGGAGGAAAACGAAGAGCAGGAGGATGAGGAGCAGCAGGAGGAGCAGGAGGAGGAGGAGAGGCGGAGGAGAAGGGGAGGGAGGAGGAGGATCAATTCCCTCTCGAACGATCGCCTCAAACCGTCATCGGAGGAGGAGGGACGGGGGGGAAGAGTAAGAGTGGCGGGGAGGGGCGGGGAGGACGGGCGGGAGGTGGGAGAGGCTGTTCGACGTGGGGCTTTGCTCTGGGCGTGCTCTGTTCGAGGGACGTTTTTTGGGGGGGAGAGAGGGTCAGGACGACCAGGAGGAAGAAGAGGAGCAGCAACGAGAGGGGGAGCAGCAGCGAGAGGGGCAGGAGAGGGAGCGAGGGAAGGAGGCAAGAGGAGGGCAGAGAAGAGGAGGAGGAGGAAGAGGGGGAGGAGGAGGAAGAGGAGGAGGAGGAGTAGGAGGAGGCGGAGGAGAAGGAGGAGAAGAGGAAAAGGAGGAGGAAAACGAGGACGAGGACAAGGAGGAAAACGAGGACAAGGACGAAGACGACCACGTGGACGAGGATGATGATGATGATGATGATGATGATGATGATGATGATGATGATGATGATGACGATGATGATGATGATGATGATGATGATGATGATGATGATGATGATGATGATGATGATGATGATGATGATGATGATGATGATGATGATGATGATGATGATGATGATGATGATGATGATGATGATGATGATGATGATGATGATGATGATGATGATGATGATGATGATGATGATGATGATGATGATGATGATGATGATGATGATGATGATGATGATGATGATGATGATGATGATGATGATGATGATGATGATGATGATGATGATGATGATGAGATGATGATGATGAGGAGGAGGAAGGAGGAGGAGGAGGAGGAGGAGGAGCATGAGGATGAGGATGAGGAGGAGGAGGAGGAGGAGGAGGAGGAGGAGGAGGAGAAGGAGGAGGAACATGAGGAGGAAAAGGAGGAGGAGGAGGAGGAGGAGGGAGGACCAGTGTAGACTTAAGATCCAATAGCGATGTTGTAGCAAACTCTACCTCAAAAGCTCCCTCTTCGTAGGCCCAGGGGGAGGGCGAGGAGGAGGAGGAGGAGGAGAACCGTGTGATCGCCCTGCGCAGCTCTCGAATGCCGTAGGGCCCGAGGCAGCAGCTAACAGGACGAGGAGGCGGAGGAGGAGGAGGAGTCGGAGGAGGAGGAGGTACCCCCTCTGCCCGACGGGGCCCAGCAGGGGGGGGTGGGGGGCCTCTGCCGCCGCGCAGCAACCCCCCCGCCTCCCCCCCCCCCCGCACGCAGGGGCACCACGCCCACGCCGGCCAGGGCGGCCGACCGCGGCGGGGCGGAGCGCGCGAACGGCGAACTGAGGGAGAAGGTGCGCCGGTCGCCGCCGCCGTCGCCGTTGCCGCCGCCGCCGCCGTCCGCGTTTCGTGTTCCTGGTCCTCCCTCTCACCCTCTCTCCTCTCTCTCTCTCTCTCCCTCTGTCCCTGCCTAGAAGAAGAAGGTTAATAATAATAATAATACTAATAATAAGAAGAAGAATAATAATAGTAATAATAATAATATGACGAATAATAAGAAAAATGAGAAGGACCATCTGCAGAAACATCAACTCCCCATCTCCCTCTCTCTCACACAGGAGAAGACGAAACACCTGCACAAGCAGAAACTCTCGGAGGTCCGCGAGGTGCATATTGGGTCTGCGCTGGGGCCCCCCCGGTGGCGCGCCCCCCAACCGCCCAAATATCGCCGACGGGGGCCCATTAGCCCACCCCGCGCAGGAGCGCGGGGTTTTGCTGTCGGGGCACTGTCGCCGATCCATGGGCGATGCATCGCCGATTCCTGGTCGACGCTTTTCTTCCTCCGAGTCAGCATCCCCCCCTGCCGTTGCCCTGCGCCTGGGGGTCCAGGAGCCCGTCTCCCTCGTGGCCCCTCGGCCCCGTGCCCGACGGCGCCAGGGGGTGGCTGCAGCCCCTGCAGCCCAGAAGAGGCGGAAGTCTGTGGACGAGCAGCAGCACGCGGGAGCCAGAGCCCGGAAGCGGGTGCGGAAGCACGGCTGGGGAGGGAGGAGGACGGCCGGGGAGGGGGAGGGGGGTGCAGTCAACCCGCATTGCAAGGATGAGCAACTTTCCAGGTTATAGTTGCATTCTCACCCTTCGGTCCATCCTTGGCCGCTTCAGCTGGCCGAGCCCCCCTCGCAAAGTGTCGACATGGGCTTCCAAGGCCCTTGCACCCTTACCGCGCATCCTTCTGCTACTGCTTCACCGTAGTCCACAGGCGACGCATCGCCGATTCCAGGTCGATGTTCCCCCCCTGATCTACACGTTGTTCATTTCTACTTCTTCGAAAGTTCTCGGATTTTGTGTGGGGCCAAGATCCTTTCATCTCTAATTGTTCAATCCTGGGCTTCTTCCTGGCCGCTAGGGGGCCAGGAACAATCAGAAACGAGCACAAGTAGAACTGAGCACGATTAGAAATGAACGACGTGCACCTTCCCGCTGCCGTTGCCCCTCCAAATGGAGGGTTTTGGGGGGCCTCCTGCTGGCTCTGCTTGGGCGCCTCCTGAAGGGGGCGCCTCGTGGCCACTGGGCTCTGGTCTTCGCCCGAGGGCTCTGGTCGGGGTGCCCTCCGGCAGGGGGCGCGGGGGCCGACTTGGGGGCTTGCGCGGCAGCGACGACGGCGTGGTTCCTCGACGAGCGCGTTCCACTACTCGCAAAGTAGCTACTCGTAACTGCTCGCAAATGGCCCGGAGATCCCCCGCGGGGGATCTACGATGAAGTACATCAAATCAGACAGTTGTTTTTCGGACGTTTGCGAGTAGGCACTTTGCGAGTAGGCTCGGGCCGGACGAAAGGGGGGGATTAGGAAAGGGGGGGTTACGAAATTTGCTGCATGCAGCTGGTTTCGGCCTCACCGATGGGCCCATTCCTCGATACATGGCCGCCTCCTGTGCCGGGAGGCGCCGGGAAAATCAGCTGCGTGAGCTGATTCTCAAACCCCCCCTTTGCTATCCCCCCCTTTTGCCCGACCCGATTGACACTTTGCGAGTTCCGGAGCGTTTCGCTCCTGCTTGTGGAGGGCCTCGCATCTTCGCCGCCTCGAAGAGATCTGGCCTCTGGAGGGGCCCGGGTCCCAGGGGTCCCCGTGTGAGCGGGCACTTGGTCGGAGGGCAGAGCGATGGGGAGGGGCGACCTGACGCGGGGATGCACGGTGGAGGTGCTCGATGTCGAGGGAACGCAGGCTCGGGACCCTCCATGGGCCCCGGGACTTCCAGCAAACGGCTCAGGACGAACAGGTGGTCTTGGAGGAAGGCCCCAGGGCCCAGGGCCCGTGTCCCTCAGGACCCGTTCCCCCGTGCTCTGAGTACAGGTCCGCGGGCGCCCGCGAGTCGGAGCTGGTGCTGGCGCCGGTCGGGCCACGGGCGGGACAGGCCGGGCGCGACTTGGGGCACGGGCGGCGACGGCTTCCCTCGGCTGCACGTCGCCGTGGCCCGATCGCCGGGGTGACCTCCCCGCCGCGAGGCCTCTTCTTCGCAGGCCTCGCCCGGCTGCCAGCTCCGCGGGGCGGCTGCGGTGGCCGGGAGGGGGAGGGGGGGAGGAGGAGCGGCGCGAGGCCGAGCTCGGGCCCGCGGCGGGAGCGCCCGAGGCCGCCCCGATGCAGCGGCGGTGCGGTCTCGACGTGGATCCCGGTGGCCTGCAAGTCCACGTCGCAGAGGCATGGCCGACGCCGGCGACGCGTCGCCGCGGCATCCCCGACGCATCGTCGAGGCGGCGCGGGCTCCCGACCCCAGCTGCTCCAACGACGTCACGGAGGCCTCTGCCCTCGCGAGCCCTACTTTTACGGGTCCACTCGGCGCGGGGGCAGCGGGCACCCCGGAGATCTTGGCGATCCAGGCCAGGCGTTCTGCGTTCAGTTCCGCGCCCTCGCGTCCGGGACCCGTACGGATCGATGCGGCTCGGAACAGCAGCGCAGAAGAATGGGGTCTGGGGTGCAGGGCTCAGGTCGTGATCTGTCAAGATGTTTACACTTTTTCGCGCCACCGGGGTTAGGGCTTCGCTCAAGACAGGAGGCCAGGAATAAGCCGCGCCTAGACGGCGCATCGGCACGTATTGAATTGAAAACGAAGGCCAGAAAAATGCGGAAGACAATCATGATTCATGCATGCGCGTGCGAAGTCGATCCTTCAAATTCTGAACTCCAACCAGGTGTTTCGAATTCCGACTTGCAAGGGTAAGGTGCACATGCGGTTACTTGTTGTCGGCGTCAGATGGGCGTGGGGGCGCTTGGGGTATCCTCCGAGGCTCAGCGTCGACGAAGGATGTGTTCCTCCATGCCCCCCACATGGCGTCCGAGTAGATGGGGTCGAAGGATCGCGCCACATCGCCGAGGCATCGGCGATGCGGCTCGATGTGGAGCCCGATGTTCTTCACGCCAAGGGAGCCAATGCAGTGCGATGCGGCGATGCATCGGCGACGCGGTGCGATCCTCCAACACCATGTGCTCGGACCCCCCTTGGGAGGCCTCCAGTTCCTGGGGTGTTCTCTGGCGAGTTGCCGCAAGGAATCGTGCGTGGCATCCCCGCCCTCCTCCCCGCCTGCCTGGCGGCGAGGCCGGGGGGAAGTAAGAAGAGGGGCGGGCCTTCTCAGAAGGCTCGGAAGTCCCCGGGCCTTCTGAGAAAGTGTCTAAGCCTTCCCTTCACCACCCACCGAACCACCCCAACCCAACCCGAAGGCCTCAATCTGCCCTCCATTTCCAGTGGGGGGTGTCGGAGAACAGTGAAAAAAACATGGAACCAAGTCGAGTCAAGTTCGGGTCTTCGGGTTGGGTTGGGGAGGTCTTGGAAGGTAGTCGTCCCTGGAGACGTAACCAAAAAGTTTCTCGTACGGTTCGAGGGTCTCTGAGCACTCCCGCCGCCTTCGAGAAGGCCTTCTCCTTCCCACTGCCCCCCCCCTCGCTCACCGCCCCTCTCGCGCGGCGCGCACCCAGACGAGGACCTCTCGCGCGCCAGGGCGGGGGGGGGGCCAGGCGCCCAGCCGAGGCCTCCGGGCGGACCGCCGAGAGGCTGCACCGTGTGGCTCCTCTGGGGGTGCGCCTCTGTGGTCCGCTCGGCCCTCGCCGCCGCCGCCGCGAGAAGCCGACGCGGAAACAAAGAAACAGCCAGGGCCCTGTGGACCCCACGGTTCTGCGGCATCTTGCGGCCGGACCGATGGGTGATGGTCCCGGGACCCGAGGCCGGCCGACAATGCCCGATATGACCAACAAAAAGCGACGCCCGGATCTCGGGGCAGGTGCCGGTCCTTGCCATCGTCGTCCCCAGGTCCCCAGGGAGCCCTGTCGGCCGAGGGGCCTTTCCCGGCGCGAGCACGCGCGTGCGAGCACGAGGGCGCGCGTTCGCGAGCACGGCCAGGTGGCGCTGCAGCAGGAGGAGCTCACGGAGCTCCGGGGTACCCTCGACGGCTCCGCGGGGAGGGGGGTCCAAGTTTCCCAGATGGGATCGGAGGAGATGGTGTCGGCGGATCGCACCGCATCGCCGATGCATCGGCGATGAGGCTCCATGTGGTGTAGATCCGATCTGCGATCTATATTTATATGTATATGTGTATATATATATACATATACACACATGCCGACGTCGCCGATGCATCGCCAACGACGCTGATGCATCGCCGATGCATCGGCGAAGCGGCACGATCTTCCGACCCATCTATCTGGACCCTACTTGGGAGACCTCTTGGGGCGGTCCCCAGACAGTGTGTTGACCAAACCGTGTGGTGAGTCCGTGGGGGCCTCCAAGGTCCCAGAACCGTGGGGTGAGGTGTCTCGGGACTTGGAGGTCACCGCACGGGCTGTCACCGCACCTTTTTGGGACCCCCGAGAGAGGGAGGTGGTCGCAGGCGATTTCTCGGCTCCGATCACGAAATCCCCCCCGAAAGGTCAGGCCGCCCAGACAAGAAGAGGGGCTCGGGGATGCACCCCTTGGGCGGTGGCTTCTCTTACGCGCCCCTCGTCGAGGATGGAGGCCCCCCACCGTGCGTCCCAGGGTCGGGCCCCAGATCCTTGGTCCAGCCGAAATCCGCACACTTTTTGGGATTATGGTCGCCATGCTACACCCCTTGTGAGGGGGTGGGCTGTCAGATCCTGGCGTGGCCATCCTGCTCAAATTGCCCCTCGCGGCACCTCGAGCTGATAACGCAAAATTTCTTAGTTGGTTTTTGCGCTATCGGGCTACTGCTCCGGTGTCCCTCTCAGCCGCCACCAGCTTGGCACAGCACTACCCCGCAGCGGCAATGACGGGAAAGCGCACTTGGCACGCGCACAAGACGTGGTGCTGCATCTGCGGGTACGGCAAGAAATCAGCTCTCGTGGTCGATTTGCAAGCACTGCGGCGCCCACTGGTCCATGACGGTCCCAGCGTTCTCCACTCCTCGCGGGCTTCCCGTTTCATGGTCGTACCACAACCAGCTCGCTTTAGCTGGAGGATCTCCTGGGCGGCAAGGATCGTGTTCCTCCTCCCGGGCCTATTGTCAACGGCCCTGCCACCATTCATGCAGAGTCCTCTTACTCGCCCGACGAGCTGATGCAACTCATCAACATCGGGACGAAAGTTGGCCAGCGCGACGTGGTCGAATGGCACGAGGTGGCGATCGGGCGTCGTCAGCAGATTCGTCCGCCCGCCCAGTTCCGGGCAGCCGAGGCCTTCCGTCGCATTGGTCGCCCCAGTCAGGAGATCGCCCACGATGTCCGAGCTTGCCCGTGATGGTGAACGCCCCGTTATGGCAGGCTGCAGAGCGTTCCGTCGGAGGCGGTTCCCGGCAGACCTGTGGCGCGAGGCTGCGGGCGCGATGGTTGCAGGGCACGGCCGGCGGTTTGGCCCGATCGCAGCCGGCCGCAGCTTGGCAGAGCTGCAGATGGGGGCCGACATCGAGGCCTGGAGCGGCATCCCCGAGACTTCCTACGGCTGGCGCCCAGCCTCCCGCGCCCTCCCAGACACCCGTGTGGTGCTGCTGGAGGTTTGGGAAAGGCGGGAAACCCGCGAAGTCGCCAGACGCCGGCCCGACTACCAGTACCTCGCGGGGGGCGTGGATCGCTGGGCGACTCGCCAGTTTTTGGACAGCAGTGTGATCACGGAACCATGGGGGCGGCCGCAGGCGTGCCCGCGATTGCAAACGACGCGACACGCGGCCTTCGCGACGAGCGGCTTCACCCCGGCCGCCGCGCTTGCTTGCTTGCCAGCCGAGACCGCGATGACAGCGGTGTTCCCTCTGGACGTTCGCCTGGCCGCGTGATGGGGTGCGAGTTCGGAATGGCTTCCCGCTGCGCGCATCGACCGCCACGGCCAGGTTAACGGGCGGCAGACCGGGCAGCGTGCCGAGCTGTGGGCTGTGGTGCAGGCGTGCAGCCTAGCAGGGGCACCCGTTGACGTCGTCACTGATTCCCGCTTCGTCACTCGCGGTGTCGCCGCACTTATTTTAGAGGTGGCGCGAGCGCCGCGAGCGAGCCCAGCTCCCGCCTCTCGACTTGCGCCAGCGGCGGGCGCAGCAGCTGGACGCGCTCGAAGCGCTCCAGCGCGCGGCGGCGACGGTGGAACTGGCCGCTCGGAAAGGGAACCACGGCTGTGGCCCAGGCGGGCCCAGGGTGCGGCGGCACCGCTGGACCGCGCCAGGGCACCGCCGGAGGCGCGCGCCCCGTGCCGCCGCCGCACCGCGGGCAGGTCGCCGCCCCAGCGCCCGCGGTGGCACCGCGCCAAGGGGCAGCCACGGCGGCGCGGGACCTCTTCGCGGGCCGCGCCTGGCTGGCGCACACGGCGTGCCAGGGCTCAGCATGGGTTGCCTGCGTGCGCTACCGGTGCTGGGCGCCGGCGTGGCCGTAACAGGCCAGCCGCCCGCGTGGGTGCCCGCGTTGCCGCCGCGGGCGGGAATGCTGCTGATATTGCCGGCACCGCGCGCTGGCGGCAGCGAGGCGGCTTGGCGCGCCGTCCTCCGGGATCGGCTGGCTGCGCGCCCTGGCCCGCCCGATTGAGCCGGCGCGGGGCCGTGCGTGAGCGGGCGTTTGCCTCTATCGCCTTTCCGTCGTCTTCGCTGTCGTTCCCTCGTTTGGCCGCTGGGTTCCGCTGCGACGGTAAAACATGCAGCGCTTTGCCAGTTGAGTCCTCCGACGCTCATGGCCACGAGGCTGTGAGGGAGCCTCGGGCGGAGCACCTGACTCGGCCTCCCGACGGCACCCCCGGGTGCCGCCCCACGACGGGGAGGAGCTGTATACCAATGGGCGAGCGGGACGGGGTTGAGGGAGGATCAGCAGCAGGAGCAGGAGGGAAGCATGGGGCGGGTGAAAGGGGAGGGGGAAGAGCAGGAGGACCGGAATCAGGATAGCGAAGAGCAGGAGGAGGACGAAGAGGAGGACGAGGGGGGGGAGGAGAAGGACTAGGAGGGGAGGAGGAGGAGGAGGAGGAGGAGGAGGAGGAGGAGGAGGAGGAGGAGGAGGAGGAAAGGGGAAGGACAGGAATAGGAGGAGGAGGGGGAGGAGGGGAGGAGGAGGAGGAGGGAGGAGGAGGAGGCGGAGGAGGAGGGAGGAGGAAGGAGGCGAGGAGGGGAGGAGGACGGCGACCATGAGGGTGACGAGGACGGCGAGGAGGAGGAGGAGGAGGACGAGGAGAAGGACGAGGACGAGGACGAGGAGGCGGAGGAGGACGTGGACGAAGTCGAAGAGGACGAGGAGGAGCAAGAGGGGAAAGGGGGGGGAGTTGGAGGAAGAGGACGGCGAGGAGGAGGAGGAGGAGGAGGACGAGGACGAGGAGGCGGAGGAGGACGACGACGAGGTCGAGGAGGACGAGGAGGAGGAAGAGGGGAAAGGGGGGGAGGAGGAGGAGGAGGAGGAGGAGGAGGAGGAGGAGGAGGAGGAGGAGGAGGAGGAGGACAGCGAGGAGGAGCAGGAGAGGGAGGAGGAGGGGGAGGAGGAGAAGGAGGGAAGAGGGGGGAAAGGAGGAGGAGGAGGAGGATACCACATCCTTCGAGCTTGCGCGCGCTGCCGATGGGCGGGGAGCGGCCAGCGATGTCTTGTTAACGCGGGGAGGTGCCGTTCTCCTCGTCCTGTCTTCTATTCTCTCTCATCTCGTAGAAGACAACGCAAGATGTATGATGTTCCAGCTTACTTTAGCCTTGATCGCGACAAAGAATTTTGAGCACAAGAAAGCACCGAAACTCGATGGTTTTCACGTGCTGGGCCCTGGGAGACATTCGTCCGACACCGTTTCGACACTCTGTCGACTCTTTTCGGGGTGCTCGGAAATCTTCCTGGGATATGATCCATGATTACGATGGGAGCAACATAGCGCGAGATAGGCATGAAGGTTCAGAGGTCCGTGCGGGTTTCTTGGGCCGGCGCTGGGCCTTCCTGGAGCGCCTCCGGCACCACCCCTGGCGCGCTGCGCGCACCGGGGAGAGGGCTCCAGCGCTGCCTCATGGTTCTCCGCGCGGACCTCCGGGAGATCAGGTTTATGCGGCTAGCCTTATTGTATTGGTGATGCCGTCTTGTATTGGTTATTGCCTTATAGTCTGGTTCTCATTGCTGTCCTTCTGTGATTCCCCACAGCCCACATGTTTTCGGGAGGTGTCGGAGGGTTCCACCTTCCCGTGCGCAAGGGCAGCGGGCCATCTTTCTACCCGCGGAGGATGTCGTCAAGCCAGTCGTAGCGGCCGGACCTAGCAGGAATCACTCTTCCTCCTCCGCCTCCTTCTTTCGCCATGCGATGCATCGCTGTTTGCGGGGTAGACTCGCCAGGTGAGGGGCAGAGACGGGCAGGTTGACGAACTCTCCAGTCGTAGTGTGAAGGAAGTTGTTGTGTGCCACAGATACGGGGCTCAGCTGGGAGGTCTGGAGAGGGAGCGAGACTACTACTTCGCGAAGCTGCGCGACGTGGAGATCCTCTGCACCACGCTGCAGGCTTGCCAACGCTCGCCGTCTCGCCAGCGCTTTCCCATCCCATCGACGCTGCATTTTTATCGAATCGATCGATGTTTTGCGCGGGCGCCTTGTCGGCACGACTTCTCTTGTGCCTCCTCCTCATCGTGCTTTCGGGCCCGTGTTCCCACCATGTGTGCCCCTGGCGGTGGCCGCCATCTGGCCACATGGGCCACTGTGCTTGTTCATGAGGCCATCTGGTCGTCGTGCGTTGGACGCCTGGTGCTTCTGTCCAGCTACGGGCTGCGGTGTTGCTGATGCGCATGATGTTCGGCACATGCTGACATGTGTCCGCCGCATGAATTCAGTTGTTGCCGTGTGACCCTTCGATGATTCCCAAAGCAGCGCTTGCAAGTTCAATGTGCTGGTTCTCTTTAAGGAGCTGGGCCTGGTTGTCGGCCGGTCTGTCTTGTGTGCGCCCGTCGCCGCCGCCGCCTTTAGTCGCGATGCTGATCGTGCGAGGCTCGCACTTTGCATTGGTTTTCGCTGCTGTTCGTTTGTTATCGTTGCGTTGGCATTGCGTGGCATGGCGTCGCTTTGCTTTGCGTTGCGCTGCTGTGCGCAAATAGCATTACTTTAATTTGCGTTGCACTAGTTTAGATTGCTTCGCATCGGATTGCGCTGCTGCGTTGCATCTCATTGTATCGCTTCGATGCGCATTGTTTTGCATGGTTGGTGCATCGCTTTGCAATCGCATTGCATTGCTGTGCACTGATTTGCATTGCGTTGCACTCCGTTGCGTTGTTTTGTGTTGCTTTGCGTCGCTGTGTACGACAACAACATAGATTGCACCACATGGCTTGCGCGACATATACTGCACCACCATGATTGCACCACCTAGATTGCATCGCATGTGTTATAGGAAGTCGCTGCTTTGGGCTCACGATGGCCAACATCAGCATGCTGTCTCTGCTGTGTCGACGATGTCTTCGGCCAATGACCTCCGCCCCCCGCCTGTATGGAACGTGAACCGCTTCGGCCTCGGCCAATGAGCCGGTTACTGCTGCAACGTTCGCTCGTCTCTGGTTGAGTTCTGGTTCCCCGAAGCGTCGTGTGGACGTCTGGGGGAGCCTGTGGGGCCATCTTGGAGCCGTCTCGGGAGTGTCTTGGGCTGTCCTGGTGCCCTTGCGCCATCTTGTAGTGTGCACTTCGCTCTGCCTGGTGGTTCGACGTGACACACGATGCGTTGAGGTGGTGTGCCTCATCGCAGGTCGGTACTATGAGGCCGAAGCGGACTCCCCCATCCCACTCCTCCGTTATCCTGCTTCTTTTTTGCATCCCTCCTGTTGCTACTCTATCGGGTCCTCTTCCTCCGCTATTTCTTCAGATCTTCATCCTCTCTTATTTCTTTCTCTCTCTCCCTCTCGTTCCCTCTCGCTCTCTCTCTCTCTCTCTGTTTTATCTCTATTTCTTTGTATGTGTATATCCCCTATAGTAACTATACCATATACAAGATTATTCGGAGACGCCGTAAGCGAATCACCGCCGCACCCCGCCCTTTGGAAACATCTATGTGGCCACAAGTTTGGCCAAAGTCTGGCTATGCAATTGGACTATGTGTTCCTCCAGCCAGTGTGGGAACCCGTTGGGGGGGTATTCTCTGGAGAGGGAGGAAGGAGGACCAGAGGGAGGAGAACCAGGACGAGGAGGAGGAAGGGCCGATTGAGGCCCTCTCGGGGCCCTCCTCGGGTCTCTTGGGGGCCTCTCGGCAATTTTAAGGCGCTCTTGGCCCGTCAGACGCGTTTGGATGCCGTCTTGGGAGCCTCTCTGGGCCGACTTCGGGATCTGTTGGGGCGCTTTGGGGCCGTCTTGGAGGTCTTTTGGGTCCTCTTGGGGCCGTCGTGGGTACCTCTTGGAGCCGTCTGGGGGGCCAGTCTTGGGGCCTTCTTGGTGGCCTCTTGGACTGGGCTGGGGGCCGGCTTGGAAGCCTACGGGCCATCTTGGATTGTGGTATGCTAAGAAAAGGCGAGCATATCCCTTTGGAGCCCTCTTGGGGCGTCTCCGGGGCATCTTGGGCCTTCTGGGTGAAATATTCGGCCGTTCTGGAGTCATCATGATGAGCCGTCTTGGAGGCATCTTGAGACCATCTTTAGCTTTCTTGAGGCCATCTCGACTGTCTCTGTTACGAGTTTTCTGGGTTTCTCAGTTTTTTGGGCTGGCCAGCAGGTTGAGCTAGAACCCACTGGGAATTGAAACTGCCCAATGGGAAAGGGCCGAAAGGGTCAACATTCAGCACGCCGTGCACTTCTTTGCAAGCAGAAGGGGGCGGGCTGGTGGCCTTTGGCTCCATTAGCCGCCGTGCCTGGATTGTGAGCCAGAGTCCCCTCGGATGTCTCTTGGGGTCTCTGGGGGCGCCTCTTGGAGGCCTACTGGACGCCTCTTCGGGGCGAACTGGCAGTCTCGGGGGCCATGCTGACACTAGAGGACTCCAGACAAGAGATATGCTGAAACGCATTAAGTTATCCATTTGTTTTTCACCTCCAAGAAAATCACGTGGGGCATCGCCGAGAACACCCTGGAGCGCCCTGGAGCGCCGGAACTCTGGTGTCGGGACCTTCCAAAGAGAATTTGCAATCGAGTAGTCTTCGGCAGGTGCTTGGGTGGTGGGCCAGCGGCCTCTTGCATGCATGTTGCGGTCTCTTGGGGTGTCCCTCGGGGGCCTCCTGGAGGCCTCTTGAGGGCCGCTTGGGTGTCTCTTTGGGCCTCTTGGAGGCCTCGTGGGTCTCTTGCGAGCATCTGGGGGGATCTTGAGGCTATGTTGGGGTCTTTGGGCCAATGTTTATCAGAGCGTAAATTACCTACCCCGCTTTCGCTTCCAGGCAAAACCAAGCCATACCACGCGCCTCCTCGTCAAGCGGCCTGACCAGTACAGGCTGTAATTGGGCATCGTTTGGTATCTCTTGGAAGCGAGGGTGGTCAAAAACGAGGTAGGTTTGTTTTCCCCCTAGTTTAGGGGAAAGGCTCTCAAGGCCCATTCGCGTGCCCCTGGGCCCGTGTTGAGGCCTTTCTTGGCCGCCTTGGGGGCCGGCAGCAGGCTCTGGCTGCGGTGACGATCTGGCGTGCCGTGCCGCACGGGACCGTCGTTGGGGTCATTGGGCCGTCTTGACGCCCTCTTGGGCCATCTTGATGGCGGAGGTGGAAGAGGAGGTGGAAGAGGAGGAGGAGGAGGAGGAGGAGGAGGAAGAAGGAGAGGGAGGAGGAATATGAACCAAGACGCTGGTACGGGGGAGCTGTTTGATTGCGCCCAAGAGACCCCCTTCTGCTCTGTGACAATCTTCGGGCGATATTTGAACGACCTAATTACGCCAAGATGACCCAAGCACGTGAGACAGTCAGCGGCTTTCGCATCTCGGGCCTCGGGGAAGTCACCCAGCACGCCCCAGAAGTCACGCAACACGCCCCAGGGAGTCTGGCAATTTGGGAGCTTGGCCCACTCAAAGAACAGTTGAAGTACTCAACAAAGCTCGAAGATACGTGAGGACACTTCACTCAGTGCCGAGGGCGCGGTTGCGGATACCCAATATCTGGCACTCGAGGGGACCTGACGACGCCCTGCCCAGTGCCTCGCGGCACCGTGGCGGATCGATCGAGCAGACATCGACCTATCCCGCCGTCGTACTTGGGTCGTGGACAAGAGGCTTCTCGGAGGCCTCGTCGGGGTCTCTTAGGCAGAGGCCTCTGGGGACCTCTTGAAGCCCTGGAGGCGGTCTTGGGGGTCATCTTGGGGCGTGGAGGGCCCAAAATGCCCCTTCGAATTCGTCCTCTCGGGTTTCTGCTTGGGGGGGCCTCAGGAGCCCTCGCGGCGCTCTCTTGGGGGCCTCGTGGACCGTTTTTCGAGTTCTTCCAGCGCAGAGTTTACCCATGACCGGCAATCGTGACGCCTGCAGCGCAATCAAGTGTGTATTCATCGGCTAGATGTAAAGAGTGACCTTTCGCCGGAGTGACCTTTGGTGAGGGCACATATGGGTCCCCAGATGGCTGAAAACGAAGCAGGAACAGCGGCTTGCAAGCCCAGGTGTGGCCCCCCCGCGGCCCCCAAAAAGCCGCGCACCAAAGGTCACTCTTACCAAGGGTCACACTTGCGTGTAACCGATCATTTGTCAATTCATGTTCGCTTGTGCCCGCACGCCGCCACCTGTAACAGATTTCGCTGCCAATGCACCGTCTGGGCGCGGTTGTCGTTTGTCTCAGGAGTGGCGAGTATGCGAAACTCAGACAAGAAGTGTCACACAAATGCTGTGATTCGACGATCTGGGCCACTCTGGCGGGCCCCCAATCCTTCAATGACGGCCCAAGAGGTCTCCAGGACGTCCCTCGGGCCGCGCTGGTATCGACACGGCCCTGCTTAACCAGCCTCGAGCTTATCTTTATCCCTAAGATCGGCAATCCAAAAGGCGATGACAGTCGTAGGGATGTGCCCTCAGAAACTTAAGGAATCCTCAGTATTATGGCATGTTGGAAGTATGGACTCCGATCGAAGATATGGGTCCCTGAATAACTTAACTCTCAATCCAGGGAGCACGAAGATATACAAGGACACTCCACTTCGTGCCTTGCGGCATCGCAGCGGATATGACCAGGTACAACTTGGAAAATGTAATGTATTTCGCCATACCCCCAGAGCTCATCAGAACGAACAGCAAAATCGTCCCGAACACCTCGATGCTCCATCGTCGTCGACGGAGAAGACGATCGTTGCTTTGTTTTTCCAGCTCGCTTTCTGGTAATTCGCATGTCGCGGCCGATTTGATTCGACCTCGATCACGCGCTGGCGAATAAGTCCGATCTGGGCCGCTTTGGCAGCTCGGTGCATGCGAATCCCAGCCCAGGCCCACATGGACCCTGACCTGACGCCCGCGAAGCTTGTCGAAGACATTCAGGGGATCTTGTATGCGGAGCAGGAGCCAGAGCAGGAGCTCACAGGAGGCAAACACATGGATGCCGATCTTATTTCCTCGTCTCCACCCTGAGGCCTCATGGGGAGACCCTCATTGCCACGGCCGGATGTTGTCCTGGAGCCTTGTCGGAGCGCACCCCAGGAGAGGACTGGGGAGGAGCGGTATCGGTCCCTCTCTGGTTCCCCCAGCGGCAGTGCCAGGGGGTCTCGCCCGGGAGGGGGGAAGGTAGGGAGGGAGACGAGTAGGATGAGGAGGAGCAGCAGCAGTTGGAGCAGGTGGACAAAGGTGGGTCAGGAGGAAAAGGCGCATCAGCACGAGCAGGGTGGGAGGAAAGCAGGGGTGTGCAGGACGAAGAGCGGGGAGCAGGAACAGGAGGATGGTGATGGTCGGCAGCAGCAGTAGCAGCAGCAGCAACAGCGGCAGAGAAGGAGGAGCGGAGCAGAACGAGGGCGATAGCAGAAGGAAGGAGCATGAGCAGGCGTGGATGGAGGCGGACCCCTACGACACATAGGAACCCATAGTGCCCCTGGACAACTCTAGACCCGCCTGGGCCCCTCCTACCCTTCCCCCTCCTCTTCCTCTACCTGCTCCTCCAGGACAATTCGCAGCATCGCGTTGACAATGACAGGCGGCCAAGGTTGGCGAGCGGGACCGTTGGTAGTGGCTACCCCCTCTATTCGTCGCCCCGTCTGGCTCCAAAGCTCGGGATCGGCTCCCAAGCAGTGAAGCCGTGCGTCCCGTAGCCATTTAGGCTCAAGCCAGTGTGCCTCAAGCAGCGCTGGCGATCAAACGCGTCACATTAATTGAGGTGCAGTGCCAACGATGCTCAATGCAGATAGAAAAGAATCCATCCGAATTCTGAGTCCAGTGCTCGAAGGCATCATTACCGATTTGTTCGTGATCAGCTCTGGTTGGCCCAAAAGGGGGTCCAGCTACAAAGGGGTGGTGCAATAGATCTTGTGCAATAGACTTGTGAGGTGCAATAGATTTGGGGCGTGCAATACATTCTGGGGCGCAAATGTACTGCTTGATTTTCGCGTGCAATACATCAATTAGTTGCAACACAATTTACTACAACTTTCCGGCGCAATACCTTTGCAATCCAATTGCCCCAAATCTAGTGCACCACCCCCTTTCAGCTGGGCCCCCCGTTGGGGTCAACCAAATCAATCCTGCTAATGGTTTCGCTGTTCGTGCCAAGCACTTCATCGATACCGGGGGCTTCCAGTTGCCGCGGCAACATGAGCTGCCGGGCGTAGGTTGCAACGAGCGTGCAGATTTTTGTAGTTGCCAGTGATTAAGCATTCGTGGATTCTAAAAAGTATGCACTTCGACAAGAACTACTTGATCCAGGGATCTTTCTCTTTGATCGCGCCGTTTAGGCAGTATTTCCAGAATTGCGAGCTTCGCAGCGTGCCACCAGGAGCCGACAGCATCCCACGCCCTCTCTACAGCAAATATGAAGAGTTCGGTGCATCAAAGCTTGCCAGTCTTCTCGGTATGCCTGACCCTCACCTGCTAATCGGCGCAACGAAGCCAGCGATATTTAGATTTGCGGCCCGAATCGGCTTTATTCAAGTAGACAGCTCTGATGTGTACACTCGGAGCTGTTACTCACTTGGTCCGTACAGCCCGAAATATGCGTTCGAGAGTTTTTTCATGGTCACGGGCAAGACTACCCAATACTAAATGCCAGATGTTTTTGGAGAAGCATGAGTCGGTTACGATTTCGCCATGGCCATCTGCATTTGGCTCCAAGAGCATGGTCTCTCTGAATACTCGGTTGCAGAAGCGCTGCTAGTCGAAGGTACCATCGGCGTTGGGCTCTCCACGGCGGTTGCGCCGCATGTGCATATCCAAGCGTTGCAAGCGATGTGGAACTTGATTCCTGCGGTTGGCACCATTTGGATAGGCTTCATACTACGACAATTCGTTTGATGATTTAACCTCGAACACATCAACGTTGTGATCAAGCACATCAGCAACACTCACTGCGTAATGGATGCTCAAGTCACATACGTGCGCAGAAGTTTGTGTATCATCGATGGCCTTTTTACCACATATTGCCCGTTGAATGTCCTGTCGATTTTGCTGGCAGGCATGGGCTCGTTTGATAAAACATGCGGTGAATACCTTCCCTTAAAGAAGCAGTTCGCAAATTTGATGAAGCAGCGCACTGATGCAATCGGTTCCCATACCCCTACTTGCCGCAGCAGAGAAGACAAGTCACATTTCGACGCATACATCGAGAACCATGGAGGCTTCGCGATCATTGACAGCGTAATCAAATCCACCCTGCACGAAAAGCTCTGGAAGGATTGTCGCTGAAAACCCATGTTTCCAGGATGCCGAGTACGCGGTTCTCAATACCAGGCGCAGGATTCCCATATCATAGGGTTTCCATATCAGAAGCAAAAAAGCAGGAAAACCTTGTGCGCCAGTTCTGACGGCACAGGCGGGAATCTGGGACTCTTCTCGGGCTGGCCTACGGCTCTCTGAGGGCATTTTGCCCGCGGGCGTCGTATTGGAAGCTCCTCGGGGGGGCCTCGTGCATTAGTTTGGACGCCAGATCGCCCCCCTCGTCCCGATACTAATAGAAGTCGGTTTCGATCTTCTTAGAGTTGCGGCCCGGATTGCTTTCCCCCCCGCGTTCGCGAGCACCCAAAGGAGGTCGGCGGATTGACGTTGTTTCTTCTTATGAGTAGTACTAGACAACCCTCGGATTATTAGGAGCTTATGGGGTATCTTTCTGGGACTTTTGGGAGCATCACTGCGCCAATGCGGTTGCGTCTGGAGGCCTCTCGAGGCCACCAGAGCCATGTTCGGCGACAGCGCAGTCATTTAGGGGTTTCTTTGCGCTGCATCGACGCTATACAACATTAGGACAACTTGTGGGAGCTGGCGACTAGCAGAAAGCATCGAAACACCTGCGATGTGTTGCCGTCTCCGCCCGTCCTGGGGACTTGGTGGGTTATCGGGGCCCTCCTGGACCTTCTTGTGGCTGTCGTGAAGCTCGGTACGATCGAAGGAATGACTCCAGAAGACTGGCGTCGAAGACGCCATCAGTCCCTGCCCATTTTGGACAGGACTCGCTGTCGGCGTCGCAGCGGATGTTGTCTAGTTGAGACAGAAGCGTGCTTGCCCAGCATCGGCCGCTGTCGGGGATAACATATGCTGTTGGGCATCGTACCCGCTTGTATCGTACCCGTTTCGTGCGTGCCAAGAAGTTATTTCGGGTTTCCTCGGCCTCCCCGTGTTTTTTTGGGGGGGGAGGGACCTACATATTAATGTGTTGCTAGAGACCGCTCGGACCCTTTGGACGCCCAGTGGCGTCCCTACGGAAATGCTGAGGCAGGCTCGAGCTGCCAGGAAGCCGAGGGACATCCCATTAGATTCAGAGGCAACCCCTGGGGGGATTTTTTCAGCGTCGACGCTCGCATACCGGGCACACGGGGTTGTCGTTCGACAACGCATATATTACATCCGTTGTCGAGGACAGGCGCGAATTGGCACAGCCCCGTCGGATTCGTCTTCCGGCTTATTCCCCGGGCGTTGTTCGGGCTGATTTGGTTGATTGGGTGTTTCATCTCGCTTTGTAGCTTTTACTCGTTCTGACGAACACATCTCAGGAGATCTGTCATAGATTGGTTGCAAGTTTTGGTGCATCTGGCCCACCTGGTACTAAAGTTTAGAGAGGAGACAGGGTTGAAGAGGCAAGAGGTAGGATGAGTCAGCAGTAAACATACCACCACGCGAATGAAGACACTAGCAGGACAGCAGCCCATTAGTCAGCCTCGTCGGGCCGGGGCCGGGCAAGACGAGGAGCTGACATCGCCATCCGGGGTCAGCATTCTTAGGTCAAGGCGCTGGACTGATAACCGCTTCGGGCGCAGGAGGAGCTCTGGTGTCCGGGCCTTTCCTTCAAAATCTAGGTCGGGGAATTTGTTCGTGGCCGAGGCTCGCCGTGGCTAGAAGGGACTCTTCGTTCCCTGTTCGGCGCTCCTTCCTGCACTTGCTTGGGGGTTCCCTTCCCATCACTTGGGAAACTGGAAAATTGCATCATCGGTTGTTTTCCCGGGGAAAATACATTCGGCTGGTAGCACGAGAATTGTACATGACAGTGTCTTACACCTGCGCTGGACTATAATCTATCGATGGTGCACAATCGAGCTCATATGCTGTGGCTTCCATGGGCTTGGGCGGTTCTCTGGATTTGTCTGGCGACTCCCTGACTCGCACTGTGATTTTACACAGCTGAGGTGTCGAACCCTGGTGATCGCACCCCCTGCTCCTCCTGAAAAAGACATTGTGGCTTCCACTGGGCACCGCCTGCGGGCCGCCCGGAGAGTTGGGGCGCGGCCCTCGTGAGGACGCTTCGCCAGCGTAGAGGGCATGACGGAGAGCTCGGCGACGCGCGCGGCTCCTCGGACACCGCGCCTCCTCTCGGGTCGAAGCACAAGGAACGGCACAAGCATACACATGGCTCATTTCTAAGTATTCGAAGGTTCTTTGATGTTTTTGGGGGGCGAAGATCCTTTCATTTCTAATTATTCAATCCTGGGCCTCTTCGTGGCCACTAGGGGGCCAGGAACAATCAGAACCGAGCACAATTAGAAATGAGCACGATTAGAAATGAACGACGTGTACGGTCAAGACGTTGACAGGAGGACTGTTTCCGCTTCAGGAGGGGCTCTGGCTTACGGGCCGCTCCTTCGAGGTCTGGCTCGGGGAACGTGCTCGCGGCCGAGAGGCCCGCTGCGGCCGGAAAAAATGCCATTTCGTTCCCGATCCGGCGTGCTTTGTAGCACTGCAGCACGATGGCGTCATGCTTCCAGGGCTCTGCTGGGCCTGTTTCCCACCACCACCACCACCATAAGTTGGAGGGGGAGGGGGTCCTCCTCCTACTCCTCCTCCTCCTCCTCCTCCTCCTCCTCCTCCTCCTCCTCCTCCTCCTCCTCCTCCGCTCCTCCTCCTCCTCCTCCTCCTCCTCCTCCCCTCCTCTCCTCCTCCTCCTCCACTCCTCCTCCTCCTCTTCGTCCTCTTCGGGCCTCGTCCTCCTCCTCCTCCTCCTCCTCCTCCCTCCCTTTCCTTCCTTTCCTCCTCCTCCCTCCTCCTCCTCCCTCCTCCTCCTCTCTCCTCCTCCTCCTCCTCTCTCCTCTCCCCCTCCAGCTTAGGGTGTTGGTGGTGGAAAACAGGCCATCCAGCTCTGCTCCAAATTCCATGGGCTCGGCGCTGGCCCCCCCCCCCCCCCCCCCCCCTGGCGGCGCCAGCGGCGCCGCCCCTGGCGCGCGAAGCGCGCCAGGGAAGGGGGGCCTGGTTTCCACCCCCACCACCACCACCACCACCACCACCACCACCACCACCACCATAAGTAGGAGGGGGAGGGGGTCCTCCTCCTCCTCCTCCTCCTGCTCCTCCTCCTCCTTCTCCTCCTCCTCCTCCTTCTCTTCCTCCTCCACCTCCTTCCCCCTTCCAACTTTGGTGGTGGTGGTGGTGGAAAGCAGGCCCATCAGAAGGGGTATCCAGCGCCAGCCCAAGAATTTTCCGCGCGGGCCTCCCAAAGCGTACGGTTGTGCCGTCTGCTGCTCTTTTGTGTGTGGTTTGGCGCTCACGCGTGCGGTCGGCCACTTGTGATTGGGCCCTCGCTCCATCCGCAGATCGAGGCCTTGGCATTCTGGACTGGGTGGTGGGATTCCTTCCGCGCCTCAGGGGATGGAGGCCGTGGCAGGATGAGGAATCCACCAGCCGTTCCGTCGAAACTCGCATGTGGAAGGCCAGATGTTTCATCTCATCCCCTGCCCCATCCTTCGCCTCATCTTCCCCACGTCGGCCCGCCCCCCTCACTCGCTACATCTTATGTTTTCTCGCTCATATCTGACACTATTCGCCCGTATTACCATGTTGCAAGGTTTTCTCGTTCATTGGGCATTGATCCCCCCTACCAGGAGTGAGCATTAGCTGAGTTGTCTAGGAGGATCCTCGGCGCACGGCGTCGGCGTCGCGGTGCACGCGTCCAAGGCCTCTCACCGCGGTCTTTTTCGCGGCTGCGATTCTGCGGAAGGGTCGGCGCCGTTTTGGGGACCAGTATTCAGCGGCCTTTCCCAGGAGCAAATAGGGGTCTGAGCCTTTCGGTCGCTCGAGTTCCTCAGGGCGATGCTCAGGAGGCATGAGCACTGACCTGACTCGTGGCGGCCCTGAGGCGGCACTTCCGCGGCGGATCGGTCAGGTCAGTGCTCGGGAGGCTCTGGAGGCACTCCAGCAACTCCCGCGAGGCCCAGCGCGGACCTAACTGCTCCTCTGTTCCCTCCTTCAGGCGGGCCCGCGTCGCCGCAGGCTCTGCGTGGGATGAGCAACTGGCACCAGCAGTGTGCTGCTGTTGCGGCGCGGTTGCGGGGTGCCGAGGGCCTGCCCGGCGCCTCTTCTGCGTGGGAGGCGGGCGGGCGCCATCGGCGACGCCCGGGAGGGGCTCTTTGCATCATCGACCTGCGAGGGGTGCCGTGCTCGTCGCGTGTTGGTGGATGCCTCGGCAGGCTGTGGGGGCACGCAGTGGGCGTTCCGCTTGGGAGCAGCACCATGGAGTCTTGGTGCGGGGGTCGGAGTGCCCCGCCTGCTCCCTCATCTTGTGCGGCCCCGGTGGGGTCCAGGCTACGTGCATCCAGATACGGGGGGCGTCGGCAGAAACAGCGTGGTGCAAGCTCATCAATGTGTCCATCTGGTGCCCTTGGATCCTGGGCTCGGGGTGATTGCCCCGCGGGCCCCGCACATTTGTGGCTCGCATTTCATGACATCCAGGCTGGTCGCATGGACATCCAGTTGTTCGTGGGCGGGTGGGCCGGTGTGCATAGCATGGCCAATGCTGGGTGCGAAGTGGTACTTCCCCTCCACCACCTCCGCCGGGTCCTCCCACGAGGGAAGGCGGAGGAGGAGGAGGAGGAGGAGGAGGAGGAGGAGGAGGAGTTGTAGGAGCAGGACCTCGGCTCGGGATCTTCAGGGGGTGGGGGCTCTTTGACGAAGGGGAGGGGAGCGGACGGGGATGGGGATGGGGACAGGAACGGAGAGGGGGGAAGTGGATGGGCGGCTGCAATGGTCGTGCAGTGGGCGGTCCGAAAAATTTTAGAGGGCCCAGGCCTTTGGTGTCTTCCCCATGCGTGCTCCGGAGCTCTCGGCCCCGCCCACGGGAGCGGCTCTTCGTCGCAGGCAGTCTTCCGATGGCTGACGATAGCGAGGTCCGAACGGGGACTCCAACTGTCCAAACTCACGGAAGCACTGCCAGCCTGGGCATTGCAGGACGCCAGAGGTCGTTTAGGTAGGGTTGTGGGCGGGGGGCGAGGGCTGGCCTCGGCTGCGCCTGCGGGGCCGCCTGAAGTCGATGCCTTGGGCGTACGTGGAATACTCCTGGGGCTTCGCAGGATGGAGGAGGAGGAGGAGGTTGAGGAGGAGAAGGAGGAGGAGGAGGAGGAGGGGGAGGAGGAGAAGGAGGAGGAGGAGGAGGAGGGGGAGGAGGAGGAGGAAGAGGAGAGGGCGGGGAGGAGAGAAGGGCGCAGAAGGAGAGGCACACGAAGGGGGGGAGTCGAGGCGCGCGGGGAGGGGGGGAGATGTGGAGGATGAGGAGGTGGAGCAGAAGGGGGAGCGACGGCGACACTGGACGACGAGGACGGGGATGAGCACGAGCATGGGGAGGAGAATGTGCAGGAGAGTGGGGGGGAAGACGAGAACGAGGATGAGGAGAAGTTGGGGGATGGGGGATGGGGACGGAGCAGGAGGAGGGAGCGGGGGGGAGGAGGAGGAGGAGGAGGAGGAGGAGGAGGAGGAGGAGGAGGAGGAGGAGGAGGAGGAGGAGGAGGAGGAGGCCCCTGCGCGCGCGCTGCGCTCTGGGACGGGGCGCCGCGCGGGAGGACGCGCTGAGCGCCCTCGTCCACGTAATTCGGCGGCACGGGGCTGCACGAGTCCCTCGGGGGATGCGCGCCGCCGGGCGCCGGCGCCTCGTTCCCTCCGCGCTCGAGCCCAGCTTCCTCCCTCCGCCGCCCCTCCTGGCCGTGCTCCCTCCTCTCCCCTCCCAGCTGTCCGGCGTCCCAAGTGCTGTCGGCCCCAGACTTGCTCGGCCCCAGCTCCTCACGGCTGCTCTCGCCTTCTGACCTCCTCCTCCTCCTCCTCCTCCTCCTCCTCACGCTCTTCGTCCTCACATCCTCCTCCTCCTCACGCTCCTCGTCCTCACACTCCCCCCTCCTCTCATCTCGATGTCTCCCTCGTGAACTCCCTGCCCGTCCTACGTCCTCCTCAAGCTTCTCGTCCTCACACCCCTCCCCTCTCATCACGACATTTCCCGCGTGAACTCCCTCCCCGTCCTCCGTTCTGCCGTCCTCCCGTCCTCCTCCTCCTCCTCCCTTTCCTCCTCCTCCTCCTCTTCCTCCTCCTCCTCCTCCTCCTCCTCTCTTGTCCTCTTCCTCCTCCTCGGCTCCTCCTCTGGTGCCATTTCGGGCTCAGGATCGGAGCGTGTTGTTCGAACACAGTGAACGTTTCCGCTAGCATTCCCACCCTTGAACTGCTTGTATGGGCGCTCGTGTGCTCGATGTTCATGGCTCCATTCTTTGTCGCCTTTGGCTAGACTTAGATGCTGGATCGCGGGCGGCTTGCGCAGCGGGTCGGTCAGGACCCAAGTCGCCTCTCCAAGAAGATCGGCAAGCTCAACACAGCGTTTAACGGCTAATGGTATTTCGGCATTTGGTAGAGAATGTATGTTTGCGTGGTTCGAATAACATTGCGTTCTAGTTGTGATTTCGGATATCCAGGGCCAATTTCCAGGGTATCATGATGTACTTGCAGTGCTCGATCGCCTTCCAAATCATCTCGTCGACCAGATGGCCCAGGTGAAGGCTGCCATTGAATCCAGATATGTGACACCGACATGACCGCCAGGACAGCACGACAGAGTGACTTGCTTGAGGCTCTGAGCGCTCGTCTCAGCAAGCTCGAGATCCCCCCCCCGTTGTGCTGCCCACAGAGGCTCGCGATGCGTCTGCGAAGGAAGAGAAAGCAGACAAGAGCGAAAAGCAGGTTTCGAACAACAGGATGATTTCCAAAATTATGAGGATGCCCCGAGCAGCACTGCCAGAAACATCGCGAACGGGACAGTACGGGTTAGGCGAATCATCTCAGAGCTCTATGTCTTCGGAGAGGTGCGTATGGGAATCCATCTCTCTCCCTTTCTCTCGTCCGTTCTCTCTATGTTTCCCTTGTTTTTTGTGTGTCTCGCTCTCTCTCTCTCTCTCTCTTTCTCTCTCTCTCTCTCCCGCCGTTCAATCTCGTTTTCTCTCTCTCTCTCTCTCTCTGTGTCTCTCTTTCTCGCTTGTATATATATATATATATACACGTGCATACACACATGTA